TTTGCCAATTATCCTGATTATTGAGCTAACTTTCATTTCTTACACTTTGATGCAACTTTTTACCAAAAAGAATCACAAAATCATGACAATAATCAGTATAATCTTTGATAGAAAGTATAATGATGAAATATTGACTCAATTCCCAAAAGAAAATGGATCTGAATGATATTTTGATATAAAAATTACCTCAGAATGAATATCAAGAAACAAATAACAAGAAGCGAATTGGCTATTCAACAATCACCTTTACTTGATATAACAGCATAATAATTATTATATCGAAATATAATTAATACAAGTTAAATTAACTTGGTTCTGATTAAGCATATTAATATTCATCTACTAATCAGATCAAGTGATTTTGTCTCTATAATATATTTTTCTCTGTTGAAATTAATCTTGTTATGTTACATGTTAATCTGAATCGTCAAAGTTAATCAAAGATTATCTTTGAAATGAGTTACACTAAATGAATTCATTTGCTGTACGTAAAAGTTTTCATGATAAAACAATCAACTCTGTTATTCCTTCATCGCTGTAGCAGTTTATTATTTGATCATTACATGTACAATCTTAGGAGTGAAATCGTGATTACAATTGAGTTTGATCAACAATTTAATTTGATCAAATTATTTTGCGTTGCCGAGTTACATTGATAACTTTTTTTGCCTGAGAATGACAATATCTTGGAGGAACCACAAATTGTTACTGATTAAAGTACAAAATATTAAATGACCCATGAAAGACATGGATACAAGGACAATGATGATCATTATGATGAGAAGGAAGAGGATGAGACTGATGACTACGAGAATGAAGATAATCATTATTTTGTCGATTTCTGACAATTTAGTGATCATCATGATCCTCACATAGAAGTTAACAAAAGTTATATTACCACAGAGATGATTAATGTAGAATGAAAATTGAAAGATGAATATGAGGATAAGATGAGGATGAAGATCAATATTAAGAATAAAGTTTAACATTGAGTGTTTACTTTTAATAAGACAGAAATAACGAATAAGTGAATATAATGATAAAACCAGAACTTTCCATCAGAATCATCATGTTTATCGATTATGTCTAAAAAATTTCTTCGCTTTCATTCAATCAGTTTGATATTCATTCTCAATGTTACAATTGTTACATTTATCATCATCATTTACATGATTATCTTTGAACATGAATTGGAACATTTATCTTTAACAATTTAGATGAAAATTGATCAGTGATTCAGAAAAATTAAAAAATGAATTGAGGATTAATGTAGTAATAAGATGATTCATCAAATCAACCTTTGGTTACCATGAATATATTATTACGGAATCTCTGAACATGAATCTTTCACTCTTAGTAACTGCATCATTGAACATTCTTATATTCTTATAATGCTAACCTTGGATTATAATCAGTTTCGCTTTCTTGAATTGTATTAATCAGATTGAAATGTTTATCGATCCTTTATCATAATTAATTAGCGATAAATTTCAACTTGGATCGTGGTAAATTACTGTTCAAAATAAGGATTTCGTTTCTCCGACCTAATCACCAACTTTGGTCCAATTTATTCAATCCTCAAGTGAACTGATAATAAAATGAATAACATTAAGCTGAACATTGAAAGATTCTCATAATTTCTAATTAGATATACAGGGATATGCATGTACCCGAATAAGTAGAAATGTAAATTATTCTGTCTAAACTTATTTGAATATCGCAAACGTTTGTCAGCTGATTCCTGACAATTCAATAATTAGTAAGATTTTTCAATTAAGATACAAGAAATAGATGAATGTTATGAAGGAAATAATTTATGATAAGTTTGACCTCACTAATTAGTAAGACAATGAGCTTTAGTAAATGATTATGATACAGTGAAGTAAAATGTTGAAATTGAGAAGAGTAATTAACTTTAGGCTTGAATATCTACAATTATGAAATGACTTTCTTATTATTATTAATAATGTTATTTGATAATTGTTGCTACAATTTATTCTCGTTCATAATTAATTGGCTTCTTTTCCTGAACAGTTGATTTTTTCAGCTTTTCAATGAACAAGTTAATTCATGATTGCTTATTATTATTTTTCTACTGGAATTGAACAACAAAAGATGAAAAAAGGAATGAATCTTGAGTGAAAAGTAGTGTGAATGAAGATGAATGATTAGATTCAAGTTAAACTGAAAAAAATCACAAATAAAAAGAAATGAATTATTTGCTTGTCAACTTGTGTCTTTCATCTTCGTCATCTTTTCCTCTTCTGGTCATCGATATCATCGTGTTCTTATTGTTGGTCATCATTAATCTAAAAAAGAAACATTAACACTTATCAGCGACATTTTATCCCCACCGAAGTAAACATTAATTTCTGTCTCACAATTAACATTTAGAAGTAATTTCCTGATCAGAATCGATGCATTTAAATTCACTTAGCTTCTTAATCGCATTTACTTTGAACTTAAAAGTTAATTGTTATTCACTAAATCATCATCAGCCTATTGTAATAATGAAAACAATAGGAAGAAACAATATAAGGTAAAAATATAATGATTCAAGGGAAAATGAAAAAAGAAAAAGAAAAGAAAAGAAAAATAAAAGTCCAACGAAACTCTGGTAACCATGGAGATGCTGAACTTTACTCGAATTTCAAATGATAATATCTTTTCTCGTTTCTTATCAAATGCTGGAATTGTTGAACTATTCAATTTATCATCATTTAATGGCTTAAAAGCGAAAAGGATAATTTGGTTTACCATTTAAATTTAGCCAATATAATTTATCAACATTTGAATAAATTTAATCCGAGAAAAGTGATTATCATGATGATCAAAATTAATCTCAAGTTTCATGAGTCGCATTTACTCATATGTATATTAAGTTGTGGTCTTTTCTCATTCTAATTAACATAAAAAGTTTTATCTTCATTCACAATTAAAGAGAATTTTTATCTTTAATAGAAAGTATCACATCCCAGTAACTTTGTTAATCCTCATTTGTGATAAAATAATAAAAGAAATCATTGAGCCTTAATGGCGAAGTTATCAGTTTCATCCAGATTACTGAGAAGTTGGTATTAGTGGCAGAGAAAAAGATTAAGATAAAGAGGAAAGAGAAAGGATAAAAATACATGTAAGAGAATAGAGGGAAAAAGATGAAAAAAAGATAAAATATATAAAATGAAGACGAATGAAATATGATAAAGGAAATAATATTTCCTTGTATGAATCCAGAACCATGGAATTATAATTTAGTCATCATCGTTTTCGTGGGAAAAAGCAGAAAATTCTTTTTGATATATTACATGGAAAAAAACTCCACAATTATTGAATTATTTTTCTCTTCTTATCAAAAAGTAACTTGGAATTATTCTTTCTCTTGATATTCAATTTTCCTTATTCGAAACTTGATTCATATTCACTTGAGCACCTTTACTTTTCTGTCGATTAGATTGGTTCCTAATCTTTTTCAACTTCTTTTCTTCATCTATTTTATCGTCTTTCATCATCCTCTTCTTCCTCTTCCAGCAATTTAATATCTGTTTCCGTTCTCGTTTTGCTTATTATTTTAATAATTTTTCTTTTCTTTTCATACAAACCTGATAAATATCATATTCACAGAACGTTTCATAAGTTTATCTTATTAATAATCTACCAATGTTACAATCAGAATGAATCATCGAGCCTCACATGTAATAATCAGCTTATTTGTAGTTCCAATTAGGTTTGATAATTGATGGTTACATGGAGAGTTAATCATGTCCCTTGATCAACAATTGTTTGGTTTTTATTAGATTTTTGTAAACATTTGACTTGGAGCAATTTGCTATCAACCTGTTTCGATTTACTCTGGAAAAGGTAATAGCAAAATCAATTGAACTTTTTGTTGTCGTTTGTTTGGGTAATCAAGATTTTTCCAATTCACTTGGAATTTGCTATGGGTTTTGAATTCAGTTGGTTGCAATTCTCAATTACTTTGATTGCCCTGAAATCGAGAAGTAAATATAAAATTTGTTTACCATGAATGAATTTGAATGAATCAAGAATTGATATTTAGAGTGAAATTCTGCATCTTGAATAACCGTTGAAAGATGTTGGATGAAAATTTAAATATCGGTTTTTATTTCTATTGAAAAATATTATTTTTTATGGAAATACTGAAATCCTGTTCTTCAATCACAATTTATCCTCATCCTTTTCAGCTTTTTCTTGTTTATTCTTTAGGGATTTTTATTCTTAAAATGATGATCATCATACGCATGGCGATGATGATTAATCAATTGAATCGAAGTATTAGTCTCAGATTCCAACGGAAACTATTAGAACATATTCTCGACTTCCTGAAAACTATCGTTGTGTTAACACCCTTTGAATTTAGAGACACGAATGTTACTATTACGAATGATTCTTATTGAGGCGGAAAGAGCTCACACACCATCGAACCAATCATCATGTCGATTATTAATATTATCAAAATAATGAAAGTGTCGATGTTAATGGTGAGAGCATGAGCAAGTTCCATGTAACTTATGCATCGAAAAAGGAAAATTATGCAATAGAATCACTGGTAATTCCTTCATTTCAGCATTTTCATCATTTTTCAACTCCCACCACTTTTTTCTCGTTCTCCTGTTTTCTAATCATCATATTGATAGTTTTCTTTTTCTTTTATTTTCATTTCGAAATTGGAACAAAACTCCTTGAGGCAATAATCAAATTGCTTTGACAATCCGAATAAAAATGAGAATTATTACTATTCTCGAACATAAATCATCCTCATCTTTGACATTCGCATCTTCATCATGTCTTCATCTTCATTCAATCATCATTATCATCTTTATCATCACCTTCGAAGACCTTATAATAATAATCATCAACATTATTCCAGTAACTCGGTTACTTTCTTGATATGATTTGGGAGGATGAGGACTAGAAAGATGAAGATAAAGAAGAGGATGAAGATGATCATCTTTAGTAGATAATGGGAGTCCAGAGGATGGTCAACAGGGAAAAGGTTAATCAATTACAAGTTTATGCGAATGAAGAAAAACAGTTACAATAATCATTATCCTTTTCATTATTACCATTATGATGGTTATTGTTATTACAATCATTCTGATCATCATTTGAATCATCAACTTTGTTATGGTTAATCATCTGGGAAACAAATGATTAAGAAAAGGCTGAGAGTCTTTTTGTTTTTCACTTCATGATAATTACATTTACAATTGATTGATGATTTTTTCACATCTTTGTCTTAATCAGCTCGAAATGTTTTCCTTTGCCAAGCAAAAAATGTATCCAGTTTGTGGTTAAAGAATTAGTTTCATGATAAATTACCCATTGATTTAATTAACATCATTATTGATTCTATTTGTCGATTATTATGTTATCATAATTAACAGTTTCCATTTGTGGCTAATTTGTTTCCATTAATAGTTGGAGGCTTCATTGGTGCAATGATCACTTTCATCACTTGGAAAGGTTTCTTTGGGCTTATTGAAAAGGATTAATTAAGCATTCGTTTAACTTGACAGATTAATCGTCAAACGTGTGAGACATTAATTAAATGCTCAGAATAAACAAAATTATAGATGATACCAATTTATTAAGATTGACAAAGAAATAACAAATTCCGTCTAATAGTTGATATTGAGAAAACTCGAGATGACCTGAAAATAGAAGAATCGAAAATGTTTTAGAAAATTAAATCAAAAAATAAAGAAATTGATTTGAATAAAAAGGATCCTAAAGACCAATTAATCAGAGCATAAGTGAGAGTTATTGATGAATATAGCGAATGGATGAGTAAACCGAGTTGATTATTCAATTGTTGATTGTGTCAATCAACAGATAATTATATTGTTCACTTGATTAATAATATGAGTTAATCGGACAGGATGATGAAAATAGATTGGCATCAATTGTCATTGGGATGAAGAATCTTTCATAGTTTGTTGAAAGAAACTAAGTCACAACTCAGATCTTTTAGATTAACAAGAGCTCCGGCAAAAGATTTTTCAAATTTAGGCAAAGATACGAGTCGAATACTTTTCGAACCAAATTGTCTGATACAAGTTGAAAATTTTTCTTGGTTTCCAGTGAAATAAACATCAGGTAATTGTTTGAAAACGAAGGGATCATTATCTTGGTAAGTGTAACTCTGAAGTGTATCTGGAGCTGTCGGTGCCATGTGAGACCAATGAATAGTTTTCTCCATGATTTCAATTGAGTCTTTTAAATCACTGAATTGGCGAATATTGTCAATTGGTTGGCCAGAATTTCCAATAAAGAGACGAGAGTCAAATGAACCAACATAAGGATTGGTAACTGACCTTATTGCTGAACAAACACTGCTTCGGGGCAAAATGGAAGGATGAATTGGCTGTTGGGGAGAGATGAATTGGTAACATCAGTGTAACCAGGCATGATTTCAATTTCAATGCTTTTCCCTAATTCTACAAGATAATCATCAATTGCTGACATGATTTCCACAGTAAATGGTTTCGATTTTCTCAACCAAGGCTTTTTCAATGTCTCATCTTTGGCCTCTTCCTCAGCACGAACATTTTCTCCAATTAAATTACCAACAATAATAAGACGAATTATTCTAGCGGGCTTTCTATCATCTTCTTCAGGATCCAATAGACCAACCAAATAATCGGACAATAAATCAAGAGAAGATTTCAATTTGGAAGACAAATTACGACTGAAACCAAGCCCAGAAACAAGAAGAACGTATTTATCCTCGTTGGAATTGGGACATTTCGACCAAGGATCTGGTAACATAGGGTAACAATAATCTTCGACAGAGAATTCGTTGCCTTCATCGCTTGCGAATCCCATTAGTCCAATTACAACACCAGTTACATGAGAATCAACGGATAATTTTCCATGTAGTTTAACACATTCATTTTCGTCCTGAAGCATCAGGTAATCAGCATCGTCGATATAATTATCTTGTTGGGTCAAAGGTAAAGCGTCTTGGTTTTCCTCAGAAGCGATTTCCTTCAAAATAGTTGGCTGCTTTGCCATATTCTTGAATAAGACTCCAGTTATGATCACCTTCTGATCAACGTGATCGACCAACTCGCTCATTTTAACGACCTTAGCCCCATCGCCCCAAGTTGATTCAATAGACTTGAGAACCAAAGGTCTAATCGTCCTCAATCGGGCCAAATAGAATGGGAAATATTGAGCCGAAAACTGTTTCACTTTAACTCTGAAAATATCACATAGATCCTGATACTCAACTCGACTTCTTTTCACATGAAGATCACTTTGATTCGAGTCATTAGTCATAATTATTAGAAAATAACACAAATCGATCACAAACAAAAACAACAACAATTGTGAAGAAGCAGATTTTTGTTTACCTTCATTTACCCGCTTTATGCTTTTGTACTTGAGGCGAACGAGAAAAGCATAAAGAGCACAAGCCAATGGGAACATTTCAAGCGAAAAGGCGTCTCATTTGTAAATTCAAATTCTACTGGTCAATGGACGAAATGGTTTCGTGTGGAGATTAAATTGAATTTTCTTGATTTTCACTGGGTTTGCATGGAATACGAAGGAAAAAAAGGGTAAGATGGAAAGTGATATAAATTGTAAATATTTAAATTGATTAAAATGAGGTTTTGATTTCTCATGATTATGATTAGAGCTCTTAAAGTGTAATTTGATTTTTAGGTAAACATTAATATGTAAACAACCACATGTTGAGCAGAAAAGGAATGATATCAAATGGGGTCAACTGAGAGAAATAGGGAAAAGTTTAAAACAAATCAATGCTAAAATAGGTTTTCTAAAGCCAACTCTGAACAAATAATTCGATGGTTAAGTTTAGATAGAAAAATGAGTTTGAATAAATCGACACAAAGGTAACTTTTTCCATAGAAATGATCAGCAACAGGTTAATTAACACTCATTTATGGATAATATTGACAACATTGATTAGTTTTGCGGGCAGTTTTGAAGAATACTTTTGATTGGGCACTCAAATCATCGGATTTAGCCACAAGATCATCCAATTTCTCGCCTCTTTGTAAAAGTGATGAAATGGTCTCGTGTAGAATAATTTTGGTCTCATCAAGATCTCTCTGAAGTTTTGTCATAGCATCAGCTTCTTGTGGATTTTGGTATTTTACAAGATAAATATCAAGAGCATTAAAAGTGATGGAACTAAAAAATATTAGAGAAAAGCAAACAGCGATTAGATTTATATGAGTACATAGAGTTCATATTGTTTGAAAATGAACAATAGATGTTAATTATGACGATTGTCCTTACTCTTCCATAGCACTGGTCCATCGCTGACTTGGAATGGCAGCAGAAAAATCATCAAGGATTTTACTCAATAACGTATGGGCCACTCTATTTGGATATTCTTGGTCAGATATGATGACCGCAGCCAAATTATCAGCTCTCACATAAACATGACATAAATATTCTGTAATCATGAATAATGGAAAATATTGAGTTAGATGTTTGAAACCTCATCAATTATTTACCTTGTCGTTTGACATTAGAGACTCAGAAATATGTTTACCTTGTTCCTTAATTGATGATCGAGAAGCTCTTTCAGACCTATCGACAATCATTTTTGATGTAAATTTCATGAATTCTCCAACACTAGAAAAAGAAAACAAAAAGAGATAAATAAGCAAAATGATTCGGTGGCAATTTAAAAGTATAGTAAATGACAGTATGAAGGCCAAATGGAAAGAGACACAATAACAAGTTTACCTTTTCTTCTGAAAGTACCCAAAGGAACTCAAATCTGAACATGATTTGAGAATAGTTGAGTTCTTATCGTGTTTATAAATCACTGAAATAAAATATAATTTAACCATAATTCAACTGAAATGGAATTAATTTCAATCAAAAAGAAAAATATGCTTACAAAAAAATAGACTAAATTTCTTATAAAAGCAAAATTTTTTCTCAATCAGCTGAGTTGTCACATGGAACATGACATCTGTTAATCAATGAAAGAAAGTCTCTTCTCATAGCGGGCAAATTGTCTGTTCTTTTACTCTTTCGTATTTGTAATAATCGTTACTAAATAATTTCTCTAATTAATCTCCTTTTTAGGACCAACAATTTGTTCCTGGTAAGTGGCTCTCATCTTATTCTCTTGAAACTTTTTATTCTGTTTATATCCTAATAACAACTGTGGTTCTTTGGTTTTTATTGTGATACATCTTGAATCAATTTGCATTAATTACAGAAAAATTTCTTTTGCAGATTGGATCCGGTGAATCAGCTGTTTCTTGTGATCTCTTTCCCTTTGTAAATTATGTCAACTCTCAAAATACTTGCCAGTGGGCCAGTGAATGGCAGACATGCCCTTTTCTTTGAAAGGATAAATAAGGTCAATAAAAAGAATGGGCCATTCGATATGATTCTAGTGGTTGGTTCTTTTTTCTCTGATAACTCGGAAGAGAATCAAGATTGGGTCGATCAAATTAAACGAAAAGAACTGAGTATTCCACAGATTCCTATTTATATTCTGGGTCCACAATCATCCTCTCAAGCTCTTTATTATAGAAACAAAGAAGATGATCAATCAAGTTTCGAAAATGGCTTTGAAATAACGGAAGGAATCACTTTTCTTGGTAGAAAAGGCGTTCTTACCGGTAGCTCTGGACTTCGAATTGCTTATTTAAGTGGAAAAGAATCAGAACAAGTGTCAAACATAACATATACTAAAGATGATGTTCGTAATTTGGTGCAATTGACCGAAAGCTCATCTTCGCCGATTGATGTGCTCATCACCTCTCACTCTCCATCAAATTTCATTAAATATCTTGATTTTATTCCACCAGAGATGAAAACAGTTTCTGATGAAGGATCTGAACTTATTTCGAGGTAAACGATTGTTTTAATTGTAATGTGACTTTCTAACACAATTTTCAACTTCTTTCTCAGACTTGCTTATCATTTGAAACCAAGATATCACTTTGCCGCTGGTCAATACTTCACCGAAAGGCGACCTTATCGTAACCACGTTGTTCTGCAAGAATCCCAAAGACAAGCAACGCGTTTTTACAGTTTAGCTTCTGTTGGCAATGTTCATAAATCTAAATGGCTCTATGCTTTCAACATTTCGCCAAGTAATCAAGTGGAAAGAAAAGAATTGGTCAAACAACCGGAAGGAACGACTGAACGTCCATACTCGTTCTCTGATGATTGGTCTGAGCAACAAACAGCCATTAGTAAAGATCAATTTTTCTATGATGCAAGTTACCAGGAAAGTGACCAACAAACTTACCAACGAAAAGGCACACGACGGCAACATGACAATTTTCAAAGGAACCAAAACCAAAACCATCAACCTCGACAGAACTTAGACGATGGAGATCGACAGAATAAGCGATTCCAGGATGATAGACAACAGTCCCAAATTAAATGCTGGTTTTGTTTAGCAAGTCCTGACGTGGAGAAGCATCTTATCGTTAGTATCGGCGATTTGTGCTACCTCGCATTACCCAAAGGCGGTTTAGTGGATGGCCATTGTCTTATTTTACCTGTAGCTCATTATCGGCAAGTAGCTAATTTCTTTATCGATTCGTCAATATTTTAATTTCTAATCATTTTATCTTTTTAGATCATTTTTGGAATCATCAAACAACAAAGAGCTGGTTAGTGAAGTGGAGAGATTCAAAAAAGCAATCGGTGATTATTATTGTACCAAAGACTGTGTTCCAATTTTCTTTGAGCGCAACTTTCGCACTTACCATTTTCAATTACAAGCTATACCAGTGCCCAAGAATATTACTCAATCAATTGAAGAAAGTTTAATTGAGTTAAGCGGATCAAAAGGATTCAGTCTGAAGCCAATACCTGTTGAAATGGAGCTGAAAGATGTACTTTCCCCTGGATTACCTTATTTTTATATTGAGATTCCGGATATTAAAGTCAAAATGTACACGCAAATTAAGAGACTAGAAAGAAACGCTGACGGGAATCAAGGAAAAGGTCAAGATAATCATTTTCCAATCCAATTCGGTAGAGAACTATTAGCTGATCCAAAGATTCTTAACATTCCGAACCGTGTAGATTGGAAGAATTGCTCGATATCAAAGGAAGAGGAAACCGAAGAGACGAAAACATTTCGTGAATCATTCAAACCTTTTGATTTCACTTTGGAATAACTTTTTTGGACTCTCATCAAACTTTTCTGAGTCTAATTCATAACTTCAAATGGAATGATAGTCACCAGAACAACTGAAATGATTCCAGTCATTCCGATCTTTACTCAACTTTTTCGTCACCGCCAAGTTCTCAATAAATAGCAGCTCTGATATCCTTTTATATAACTTTCTCATATCGCAAACATCATTACAAACAATGACAAAGAACTTTCATTTTAAGATCTTACTAAAAGTGCAATTTTCATTAAATTGAAACCAAAAGAGTGAGAGAGAGAGAGTTGGCTCATAGCAAGTGACTTTTTAATCAACTTATTATGATTCACAAAAAAACATATCAGAATTGGAGATAATATTTCATAGTCTCTAGAACATTATTCAGATAATTAGTAACCTCTTGTAAAGCGAAAGAAGCGAGCTGATTATCAATAGCGCTTGACTTGCGGTGTGTTGATGAGACCGTTTGCAAACTTTTCTCAGTTTCAATCAGCAATTTATTTATCACGTTGTACGGTTTCGTCCATTGGATATTCGAACAATCCTTTAAGTACTTTTTGAGATTTCGTCCTTTGCACTTATATCTCCACGCTACCCAAGCATCGAACCCATGAACTTGGTAAATTTTGCGAACACAATTAATATCATCTGTTATATCGTCATCAGCCAAATCAGCGCAATTAATTGCACAAACGTTTATATCGTTGGGAGGTCCACACCAATATCGACTATTTATCTATTAGAGGAGAAAATTAAATTGATTGTAAATCAATGATTACCTAATTGAATGAGAGTGTTGATGTTACAAGGACACAATTTGTAGTTAACACAGATACGTGTCAATATAATCAACGAAAGGTGTCCATCAATATTAATCCCCACGAGTCAGTAAATACAATTCAACAGATTAGTATCAATTCATCATCATCACAATCATAATTATGCAGGTAACCATTTAGTCATATTGATTTAATTTGATTATCACCAAGATCTATTGACCATTTTAAATTGGGTTCAGATTAACCTTCATCAGGCCCTTATGATTAACTTAATTGCTCAGCTTCTTTATTGATCATATAAAGCTCAATTGTGAATAAAGAAGAAACTAAATTCACCTTGACGATCAATCACAATCTTGTTAAATAACAATCAGTTGATCAGTGATTCGACTTACCTGAAATAAACCATAATCACGGATTCCATCATATTCAGGTTGACTAATTGCTCTTGTATTATATGAACTTTCGCCTTCAATTAAGCAAAGCCAATCAGCTAATTGTGATTCAGGAAAATTAAATCTTGTTAACAGTTCATTTGCGAGTTCACATCGATCATAAACTTTACTCGATGAAAGATCAATTGAAACAATCAAAAGAAAAACAAAACTTAACATTTTGTATTGAATGGAAACTTAATGAGATATGATAAGTTACAAAGAATCGGATTTAATCAAATCTCAAGACTTGGCTGTTCGATTTGCTCGGAAAACTTGAAGATAATTGCTTCAGGCAATTAACGACGATTTAATTTACTTGCTTATCATCATGTTCATGTTGATCATTATGGTTCAGAGTGATAACATCATCATTATTGAATATCGTCATCAGAATGATAATTATAAGACAATGTGATGGTAATTAACATAATCAAGTTTATTCAACTTATTAATTATTGTCAACCAAATCCTAATAATTACCTCTAACCTTCAAATTGATTAAGAAGAGTTAATTTAAATAAAATGCATGTAATTTATATGAAATATTAATAAGCAGAGATTTTGATAACAATAAGAGTTAATGATAACCTTGGCTCTTAATCAGGATTAACTGGTTATCGTTATGATTACTAATCAATTAAATGTTCATAAAGAATTCGAGTTTATAATCAAAAAAGTCATTTCAATTGGAACTATTTTCCTTTCAAGGCAAAATCGAAAGGATTTAATTAATCATAACTGATAAATTGTATGAAAATCGGAACTTAATTAATTAGATAATTATTAGTTACTAAACTTTGTTATAAATTAACAATGATTAATTTAGGAATTATCAATAAGAAGGTTTCATCTGTTAAAAGAATCGAACCTTTTACCTTATTTAATTGTATTGAAAACCAGCAGACAATCTTAATTATCGAAACGATTCGCATCAAATATTAATCATATCATTAGAATCTAATTTATTGTTGACGAAATGAGCGCGTGTCAAGATTACCTTTATCAATGTTTATCCTTTGACCTGTGCCAAAGATTAGTAACTTAAATTGTTAAAAAAAGTTAAACTATAAAACTGATTGTCCGATGTTAATTGTCAATCTAATGTTCATTTGACATTGTACACCTTTTGAATGATGAATGAAATGGTTTAACCATTAACTGCCCTGAGGGCACATTTAGGGGCACTCACAATGTTATCATCATCATCATCTTCTTCTTCTTCGTTATTATTATCATCATCAAATTTTACTTTCTTTTTCTCTTTCTCTTTCTCTTTTTTATCTTCCTCCTCTCGTTATTTTTTCTTCTTCTGTTAGTAAACATGCAAATGCATTTTCTCGGGCACGTGCAGAGATTGTTATTAACAATGTTTCTGTTACTAAATCGATTAGCAATCAGACCACAGACTCATTAAGATAAAAGACTTTAAGTGGACAAAACTAGTCATTAAAATGGGAAAAGGTCGTGGAATCCGTTGGGATTCAATTGGAAAATCACAAAATTTAAAATGTCCAATCTTTGGTCGTTTTCTGATCATCTCATGAATTTGACAACAAATCGAAAACAAACAATTAATCAAATTTCATCGACAATGATTAACTTACTAAACGTAAACAACACGAGACAAAAACTTTCAAATTTCCTGTTGTTTTTATTCACCTTAACTGTTTGTCTTAATTGTTCTTGGTCACTATGGGTCATCTTTCCATGGGTCATTCTTATTTGTTTTAACACTGCAAAGAAAAAGATTCAAAAAGTTTCTTGGCTTATTTACTTGTTATTCTTACCTTTTACTATCTGCATACACAATCAATTCCATAGGTAAGGATGATAAAGATGAATATGTTGACCTTTCCTTTGACTTGACCTACCGTTGGATATTAACTGAGGTCACTCACCATTTCCTTTGGTCATCTTCATCTTCATCTTCATCTTCATCAACTACATGTATTGTTATCACAATTATCTTGTTATTGTTGATTGTTGATTGTTTATACTGATTAAATGAGATTCAGCTTGTGAGGTAAATTGAGTGAGTGAGTTGACAATTCAAGTGACACACAAAAGGTTATTGATTATTTCATTTGATAATCTTTATCTCCTTTGGATTAAGATAAGAAAGTGAGTTACACTTTTTTTACTCATTTTCTTTTACATAACCAAAGAGCCTAAGGAACTTGAAGTCTCATAAATCCGATAAATCACCAGATAGATATCATTGAATTGTAATCAAGCTGTGAAAACAATTACATTTATCACTTCATAAAACACAATCAAACCAAATCAATTGTAACTGTAAAAATAAAAAGTAAAAAACGATCATCTCATTTGTCTTATTTTGATTTTGTTTCAGAATTGCTTATAAAAGTGAAAGGAAATTAGTTTAAATTGTAACCTTGACTCTATTTGAGGATAAGTTTAATTACAATTAAATGTTAGTGGTGATAAAATGGATTCTTTGATTATCGTGATGATAAAACAATAACATCTATGGATTAACAAGGTCATAGAGTCAATGTGCTTATGGTTTGGATATCGTAAGGGCGTTGGATCTGCAGCTGGATAACATTTCTCTCCATCCTCATCCTCATCCTCATTCTCATCCTCATCATCTTCAACTTCATAATTTCTCAATGCGTTGATAACCGTCTATATATTATCACTATAGTATAAACAGTAATAAAATCGCGAGCAAATTGAACACGCGTCTCATCAAAAGACAAAAGGTGAAGCCTCTTCTTGTTGTCGATGTTCAACAAGTAGGTAAAGGGATGGAAATCCGATTGCAGAATAACACAATTAACATATTTCTTTACCTAGAAATAATCATCACCCAAAGAATATCAATTTGTGAAACTTTCGAACATAAAAGAAATATTCTCTATTCTTAACTAGCAATTTACACAGAATTTTCATCAGTTTATTTAATAACTGAAAATAAGGTCAATAGTTAATTGAAAATCTATGTAGATAAAAGATCCAAAAGTAGATACGAAGCAAAATATAATTGAAATTCTGACCTAAATTTTTCATCGACATAAAGGTTTCATCAGTCGTTTCATGTCCATCTTTTCTTAGTTAAATTGATACTCAAGTTACACAAAGATCATTGATTTTTATTTTTTCATTCATGATTGAATTGGAATTCACTTTTCTACTAACCATTTGACAGATTATTAATACTTAATAGTTTTTAATGTCAACAGTAAATGTTAATTAAAATCTACAAATACTACTGAACGAGAATCAAACCAACTTAATCAAGTTAATTATCTTGATTAACTTGACCGCAACTAAATTGAGATTAAATAATTAGCCGAATAAGATTATCTTATTAATAAATTGAGTCTCTTCCAAGCACCCAGAGGTTAAATTATCATGAGTTAATTGTGATAATGATTCCAACTAATCAAATAACCAATCATTAAGGGTGAGGCTTAAAGTTTACATTTGCAATTCATTTCAATTCAGTTCAGTTCATTCATTCAATTGGAGAAAATCAATTCCATCAATTCCATCAAATCATTCCAATGATTCATTTGATTCAATTGATTCAATGACGCGTTTTGTGTTTCATTTGGCGACTTTGGTGATTAAATATTCACTTATTATATCAATTAACTTGTTTACTTGATCAACTATTACAATTTCTCCTTCTGGTGTGTTGATTATTTAAACTAAATGTCAACTAATCATCAACTCTAAACCAAATCGATATCCAATAGAAATATTATTGTGTCTTTTTTTTGAGTTCAATGTTTTAATTAAATGATGAAAATAAGAGACAAGAGATTAATAGAAGAAGAAGAAGAAAAAAGTGAAAGGAGAAAAACAAGAAGAAAAAAAGAGAGATGATTATGTGATGTTAAAGGTGAAGAAGATACAAAGAAGGTAAAAGAGCTTAAAATGCCCCGAGGGAAGCAGGTGAACAAAGTATTCGGACTTAATGTCCACAGTTGATTAGAAATTAAAGAAAACGATCCAACATGATTATCATAATAGTTATCTAATCAATGGCTAATACAAAACCTTTAAATTGTAAAAATATAAGTTTCCATTTGATAACGAGAATTAACTAAATCATTTTCGAACCACAAGTTCAAATAGACAATTCAAATCATTAATCATACGTTTATTTTCATCACCAACTTATTGTCATGATTACAATAGGATTCTAACAAGTACTATTAGAATAACAATTTTAATGTTTCTAATGTTTATCATATTTTTGTCACTTATTCGTTAACTAAAATGACGATGTCCTGAGTCCAATTACTGTCCCTTGGAACACCTGAAATCGACTAATTAAATAGGAATATTTACTTTTTCCCGATGTTCATTCTCGGTCATTGACATCAAACGAAATCAACGGAAAATACAAAATGTCGATAAAACAAAAGTTAAACTGCTTTTTCGAATCAGAACTTATTATTTATTGTGAAACTAAACAATTGCAGTAATTTGATAGGACAGATCAAGTTCTTAATTAGAGATACATAATGATAAAACGGAGAAAATAAAGATGATTAAGATAATGATCAATCTAATTGACAAAAGGCTAAAAGATTTGAAGCTTGTCTATTAGATTAACTAGAAAAATATTCGCCAAGCCTTAAATGCTATTCAAATTATACATTAAATGAACAAATTGAATTTCTTTCATTGTATCCGCACCTTTTTTCATTATTTCCTCAGAGACTCAGTAGCTACATTAATTTACTATTAATCATTATCAACTTCCAAGATAATTGAATCATCATGATTGGAATCATGATCATACTCAGATTACATTATTCGGGTAAACAGAAAGAATCGGACACAGTCGAAAAGCTGTTGGAACATTTTCGTGGCGTTAATCAAATTTGAATTTGATTTAGAAATAGATTAACTGAGAGTGTTACAAAAGTGTAAACAATTAACTAATTAGCTAAAACAATCAGAGATCTTGCTGAGACTGTTGAACAAATTAAAGCCATTTAATTGATGACGGTACCTTCATGATAATGATGAAATGGACGCGTGTTATAAGTGATAATTTTGTTTAATAAGAAAACAAATCACCTCAGGCGATTTCAATTAAAACCAAAATACGGGCCTAATTATGATCAGTGAAATCATCAATGACTTACCTTGAAAAGATAAACAGAAGCGTAAGGTAAATCAATAAGAAGCCAATCTATTTGATTACTGTGGCCTGATTAATTCAATATTGACACAAGATTAAATTGTTACATTCAAAACAAATTTTATCACAGTTAATTAGCTCGAAGGTGAGATATGATTGAATAAATGAAATGCTTCAACTCCAAGCTGATTCTAAGAGATTGATTGAAACTTCGAAATGAGTTAATTGCAACAATTAAATTTTGTTCAATGTTTTATTTTACGATTAGGTAATAATACAAAAACCCGTTTAGACCCAAACTGTAACCGTTTATTGTAATTAAGTGTAACAATTACTAATCGAATCTGTCAATATCTTACCGAGGATTATCCTTGATCCTTAATCAGTCTCAACAATTTGTAAAAGTTACACTTTTTACAATTTACAATAATTAATTTACAATTGAATTCTTGAGACAAGATTTCAATAGTTATAATATAATAAAAATGGCAAATTTTTCATTTGGTAAACGAGATTCATTCAACTTTTAGCTTGTTTGTTGTTGATCATTTGGTTGATCAATTGATTAATTGGTGATTGATTGTCAAATAGTTTTGGTAAATTTGAAGGTCCATTTGTTTACTATCGCTCACAATTAATTGATTATTTACAGTTTAACATTGTCTTTGGGCTTTTGGTTTTTGTTTCTGTCTTCGTGTTGATTTTCTTTGTCTAATTAATGTGACCCGTTTCATTGATGACAAGAATTGTATGAAATTGATGATGACCATTGATCAGCTTTGGATGGTTAACTTATTCACTAGATAGTTAATTATGGCCACGATGAGAGTAATCAAGTCAATTATCTTACTACAATTTAAATTGTTACTTGAGAGTAACCATCGTAAGGAGCATTTGAACAAAATGGTTGATAATATGAATAGTTACATGATTCATATTGATGATTTGTATTGTTGTTAAAATAATCCATGTTTCCATGATGATGTTGATTTTGGTGTTGCTGTTGATTATTGTTGTGATTATGATTGTGGTTAACCTGTTGATTATAAGAAAGAAATTGACAACATTAGGTGAAAGTTGAATAAACATTTTTTAGTTGATTGTTTTTCTCATCAACAAACTGGACATTTAATTGCTGTTCATCATCACCGTAAAATTAAATGTCCAGTGTCCCTTTTAACTAAATCCAATGAACCGTTATGATGATAATCTCTAGTCACTAGCAACTTCAATCAACCGATTAGTTTCCCACAAACAGAAAAAAACAACAATTAGAATTGATTTCATTGTAAGTAATTTAAATAATCTGATTCTCAAGTATTGTTATCATGAAAACATTGTCAACATAATTAATTTCACGAGCGACCAACTGCAGAATGAGATTTAATTTATCATCGATATTTTGTAATTTAAAGGTCAGCGTAATGCAGTTTCATCTATCGTCCAGTGAAGGGTCACTTTTTTACCTGGGAACTAAATTATTCAAAGATCATGCGATCAATGCATCAGCTTAAAGTTAATTAAATTTTACCTTAGATTCGCTACAAAGTTCCGGGTCAACATTTGACCTGATACATGAAATCGACATGTTTTTTGGTCAAAATTTGACCGGAAGTTGAATCCAAAAAACCCTTATCACTATTATTGATTATGTATTTAGTCAAATGATTGATCTAATTATCGTTGAATAACAAAGGGAAATCGAAAACAAAACTAACCGGAAACGTTGATTGCAACTAAAAATCTTGAGAATAAAGTTTTAAATGATGAATGAAGATCTAAGGAAGAGGATGAAATAGACACACCTGAGATCGTAAAAAGCGTGTAGGTAAACAGTATCGTGATAGTGACAGTTGATGTTCATTGAAAATCAAATTACAAAGTCAAATTGTTTGACCATTTAATCAATCGTGAAAAGGTCAATACAAATTAACGTTGGATTAGTTAAAAATCAACAGTTTCATCTAAATTTCAATGAAAGTTGTTTGCTAATATTGGTCAATATTTACGAATCAAGGTAAAGTTCAACACAAGTTATTACCTTTCCTATCATTTCAAGGTTAATTCATTAAACTAAATAATCTAACTGTACTTAACATTAATCCAATGACTAAATATACATTAAGACCCGTATCTTTATCATTATTGTGATATTTTTGTTATCAATTAAGATCGCCTCAGGTAATTTGTTTTACTATCAAGATTGTCACTTGCACGCGTCTACCTAATCATCTTTATCCTAATCACTATGATTTTCTCATCATGAAGGTACCTTCATCAATGAGAAAGTTTCAATGCTCGTTCATGAAAAAGTAATAAAACTTCAACATCATGAAAACTTAGTAATTTACTGAATATTTGAACAAATTATCATCAATTCTCTGTAAATGCATGATTCATTAATCAACTTCTTTCAGTCCTATTTGCTTTTAGTTAATTAATTATTAATTTCTTTCAAATTGTACATTCATAGTTTGTCTTTTGTTGGTATCAATTAATCATTGAGGATCTTTGCTCATCGTTGGCAAAAAGTTCATTGTAACTGAATAATAAATATAGTACATGTAGTTGAAAAGTTTCTTACATTATCATTTGGATTCCATTTTGTTTCAACGATATTTTCCTTATTAATATTATCACAAATCATTTCATCAGGTGAATTTAAAAACATTGTATCTGAATAAATTTCAGTTGATTGTTGGCTGATCAACTTGATGTCAACCGATGTGTCCATCAAAAGATGAGTAATATCATTGTTATTAACGATATTGTTTTCATTGAGATTAACAGTAGATCCAGGGGAAAGGATTAAAGATGAAGCTGATGATGTGGATGATGGGGATGAGACTGATGAAGAAGACGAAGAAGATGAATGGGGTGATGAGGACAATGAATTATCTGAGCAATTAACTGTGTTATTAATATCGAAACCACAATCACTTTCGTTGAGCAGCTCTTGTAGATGGGAAATATATTCGATCGCTTTTTGTAATGTTTTCACTTTGGATAATCTCTTATTTCGGTTCTCAACGGGGACAAATGTTCTTAGCACGGCAAAGGCACTATTTACGGCTTGAACTCGCCGTCGTTCACGGGCATTACGACGAGCAACAAGATGTGCTGGTTTTTCACGATGAGGAATATGCTTGTAGCTGGATTTGCCCATTTTTCTGTAAACATCAACAGAGAGAAACAATAAAATATGATGTGTTAATCTTCATTGTTTGTTCACTGATTAAACAGTAAAAGAGAAACTATTTTAATCTCATTAATCCATGATAGCGACGTAACTAATCGTAAGTTAATCTTATTTGTAGAACATGAAAACAACAAAACAAATAAAATTATCATTGATTGTAGGTGGTCAATGAAGCCTTTTGGTTACCTTTAGGCTAATCCATTGACCAATGGTCAGTTTAAAATACTTTTGTTTATCTTAGGTTTGAATTTAGTAGTAAAACATTTAATTGACCTTTCAACAAGAGCCAAGCAATTTATATGTCATGAGATTGTGATGATTGGTTGAATTGCCTAAAAATTGTAAATTATTTTCTAATTGACTTAAATTACTAATGAAATTTAATCAGTCCAATTTGATCAAAATAAGATACTAATAGTAATGATAATTTAATACATAAAAACATATCAGTGTCTATCTGATTGATTTCAACACATTACAATTTGATTAACAATTTCATTGAATTGCGATTCACATTATCATGAATTATTTAGTGCGCAAGCTTTTTTCAATTCAATTGATAACCTATATTATTAATCTGATGAAATCGACGATAAATTTATAGGGTATTCAATGAGATGAATGATAATATTAATATCAGGATGATGATGATAAAGTAAGAAGCGAAAATTGCGTTAATTATATTGAATGTTGAAACAATTTAGTTGAGGCCTTCATTCATTATCAATGGTTTGCATTGAGGTAAGTAAAACAGTAACATGATTTTGATTAAGATGATGAGAGAGGAAAGGATGATGATGGAAAGAGAGAGGAAGAGAAAGAGACAGAATTAAGGTTGGGCATGAAGATAATCATCATAAGCATGGCAGTAGCTTGATGCCTGAGCCTTTAAGCGATCAGCATCATGGTAAGATAAACTTTTCCTTGATGATTATTTCAATGATCCATCGTGGTTTCGTTAATTGTTGCTGATCATTATATTTTCATATTAATAGTTATCATAATTTTATATTGATATTTAGGCCCTAAATTGATTGTATTAGATTTCGGCAATTATCACTATAATAAAGGAAGGTTAATTGTACCAATTAAGATTTTACATCACAATCAACCTGAGCTAATTAACTTTTCAAATTGTCGTTTTTTACTCAATAAGTTTAGTTATTAGTTAATCAGTTTTAATAACTGCAAGGATTGTAAACAAGGATTAGTTTAGGGAAATTGTAAAGATTGTTATTTTATTGGATTAATTAACTTACTTTTTTGTATCAGCCATTGATTTCTTTGTATCCATTACACAGACAAAATATCAACTTGGAATCAAAGAGAAACAATTACTTGAAGTAGAAGTAGAATTGATTACCTGAGGCGATTGTTGAGGTGAAAATGATACAATGATGAGAGGGCGAGAATCGTGTGTTCACTGAAACATTGTAATCGAGACAATAACAAGAATAAAGTTTGTTCATGAAATAGTTTCTTCTTAAGGGGAAGCTAAAGGTTCTAACGAGGGGAAAGATCACCTTTCATGCGCATTTAAAGTTATCCAACTGAATATTCTGCTAAATGTTGACGCAGCTTAGGCCCAGCCTTCGATCGAACTGAGTTTCCTTCAGTCGAGTTTATAGGAGATGGAAAAGAGAAATTTCCATAGGATTTTCTATCATAGCGACTTCATCTTCATAATCATGTTGGGTCGTTTTCTTTAATTTCTAATCAACTGTGGACATTAAGTCCGAATACTTTGTTCACCTGCTTCCCTCGGGGCATTTTCAGCTCTTTTACCTTCTTTGTATCTTCTTCACCTTTAACATCACATAATCATCTCTCTTTTTTTCTTCTTGTTTTTCTCCTTTCACTTTTTTCTTCTTCTTCTTGTTTTTCTCCTAATCTCTTGTCTCTTATTTTCATCATTTAATTAAAACATTGAACTCAAAAAAAAGACACAATAATATTTCTATTGGATATCGATTTGGTTTAGAGTTGATGATTAGTTGACATTTAGTTTAAATAATCAACACACCAGAAGGAGAAATTGTAATAGTTGATCAAGTAAACAAGTTAATTGATATAATAAGTGAATATTTAATCACCAAAGTCGCCAAATGAAACACAAAACGCGTCATTGAATCAATTGAATCATTGGAATGATTTGATGGAATTGATGGAATTGATTTTCTCCAATTGAATGAATGAACTGAACTGAATTGAAATGAATTGCAAATGTAAACTTTAAGCCTCACCCTTAATGATTGGTTATTTGATTAGTTGGAATCATTATCACAATTAACTCATGATAATTTAACCTCTGGGTGCTTGGAAGAGACTCAGTTTATTAATATGATAATCTTATTCGGCTAATTATTTAATCTCAATTTAGTTGCGGTCAAGTTAATCAAGATAATTAACTTGATTAAGTTGGTTTGATTCTCGTTCATTAGTATTTGTAGATTTTAATTAACATTTACTGTTGACATTAAAAACTATTAAGTATTAATAATCTCTTAAAGGTTAATTGACTTATCGACTCACAATTAATGTAAGTTACAATATTAGTTAGCATTTTTTCAGAGCGAAACAATCAACTTACTGTGGTATTAATTCAGCTCAAGATTTATTCTTAATCTGAGCTCGTGCTTCAGAAATACGAGTCTTCCTATTCTTATGTGTTAATTGGATTTTATTCTTAATCACAACAATAATCTACATGGAATCATGAGTTACAACAGTTAATTGAATTTCGATAAAATCTTAGCCCGTATATTTAATAAAATAAATGGTTTGATGTTTACAATCAATCAGTAAATTCAAGGTCTGAACTTCAAACTGGGTCAGTATCTTTAATCATATGAATAAATTCAATTAATTTAAAAGTAAATATTACAGAGACTTTTTCACTTTTTTCGTTTTCTCTGTTATTATCTTTTGACCTCATTTTGATTCAATAAAACTGATTACTTTAAATCATAACTGTAATCGTAATGATAGTCAAGCAAAAGTTTAAAAAGCATAATAATTATTTTTGTTGTTACCTAATATTCAGTGAGTTTAATAATTGTTCATAAGCATTACTCCAATTCGAGCAGCATTAATAGTTTAACCTTTAAACCTTTGAAACAAATAGTCAATTGATTGTATTTTTTATTATTGATTAAATAGATTCTTATCAACGCATTGAGAAATTATGAAGTTGAAGATGAAGATGATGAGGATGAGGATGAGGATGGAGAGAAATGTTATCCAGCTGCAGATCCAACGCCCTTACGATATCCAAACCATAAGCACATTGACTCTATGACCTTGTTAATCCATAGATGTTATTGTTTTATCATCACGATAATCAAAGAATCCATTTTATCACCACTAACATTTAATTGTAATTAAACTTATCCTCAAATAGAGTCAAGGTTACAATTTAAACTAATTTCCTTTCACTTTTATAAGAAGAATGAGAAATGAGAAACAAAATCAAAATAAGACAAAACAAATGAGATGATCGTTTTTTACTTTTTTTACAGTTACAATTGATTTGGTTTGATTGTGTTTTATGAAGTGATAAATGTAATTGTTTTCACAGCTTGATTACAATTCAATGATATCTATCTGGTGATTTATCGGATTTATGAGACTTTCAAGTTCCTTAGGCTCTTTGGTTATGTAAAAGAAAATGAGTAAAAAAAGTGTAACTCACTTTCTTATCTTAATCCAAAGGAGATAAAGATTATCAAATGAAATAATCAATAACCTTTTGTGTGTCACTTGAATTGTCAACTCACTCACTCAATTTACCTCACAAGCTGAATATCATTTAATCAGTATAAACAATCAACAATCAACAATAACAAGATAATTGTGATAACAATACATGTAGTTGATGAAGATGAAGATGAAGATGAAGATGACCAAAGGAAATGGTGAGTGACCTCAGTTAATATCCAACGGTAGGTCAAGTCAAAGGAAAGGTCAACATATTCATCTTTATCATCCTTACCTATGGAATTGATTGTGTATGCAGATAGTAAAAGGTAAGAATAACAAGTAAATAAGCCAAGAATCGGTTTGAATCTTTTTCTTTGTAGTGTTAAAACAAATAAGAATGACCCATGGAAAGATGACCCATAGTGACCAAGAACAATTAAGACAAACAGTTAAGGTGAATAAAAACAACAGGAAATTTGAAAGTTTTTGTCTCGTGTTGTTTACGTTTAGTAAGTTAATCATTGTCGATGAAATTTGATTAATTGTTTGTTTTCGATTTGTTGTAAAATTCATGAGATGATCAGAAAACGACCAAAGATCGGACATTTTAAATTTTGTGATTTTCCAATTGAATCCCAACGGATTCTTGACCTTTTCCCATTTTAATGATTGGTTTTGTCCACTTAAAGTCTTTTATCTTAATGAGTCTGTGGTCTGATTGCTAATCGATTTAGTAACAGAAACATTGTTAATAACAATCTCTGCACGTGCCCGAGAAAATGCATTTGCATGTTTACTAACAGAAGAAGAAAAAATAACGAGAGGAGGAAGATAAAAAAGAGAAAGAGAAAGAGAAAAAGAAAGTAAAATTTGATGATGATAATAATGAAGAAGAAGAAGAAGAAGATGATGATGATGATGATGATGATAACATTGTGAGTGCCCCTAAATGTGCCCTCAGGGCAGTTAATGGTTAAACCATTTCATTCATCATTCAAAAGGTGTACAATGTCAAATGAACATTAGATTGACAATTAACATCGGACAATCAGTTTTATAGTTTAACTTTTTTTTATCAATTTAAGTTACTAATCTTTGGCACAGGTCAAAGGATAAACATTGATAAAGGTAATCTTGACACGCGCTCATTTCGTCAACAATAAATTAGATTCTTAAAATTTGCGATTAAGATTTTAATAATTTTCTTATTTTTATTTGACAATTTAATAGCCAATTATTTCATCAAAATTAGCAAGTTATCGCTTTCGAGTTCATCTGATTTAGTTAAAACACCAATTAACTAAATCGCAAAGTTAATGATCTCCAAACATCAAATAATTCACTTTAATGGGCAAAAGAAAAGATGTTCAATCAAAGTGCTAATTATTCTTCAAACAAATTATGCAAATAACACCAAGTAAATTCTACTTAATGGTTCGATTGTGACCATGTGAAGATATATCGATGTTAATCACGATAAAGTTATTAAAAAGCGATTCAATCAATCATATAACTTGAACTTCATTGAGTATTTAAGGTTCACTTTCATTCTGATCATCAATCGATTAGGATTTACACAGAAATGAAAAGTTGATGTTTAATTTTAAACGATATCAGTTTTATCATTACAATTTAGTTTCGATGATCTTTTATCATGCAACATGAGATTAAATTGTTCACTGATATTTTCTATCTCTACATATTAGATTGTAATCTAAAGTTGATTCAGTTAATCATGATAATCATCATAACGCCCTCGTCATCATTTAGACTTGATCTTACCTCACAAATAAATACCTGAGGCGATAAATCAAATTGATTGTAACTACAAATTGGTTGAGACATTTTGAGGTCGAAAAATGATGAGACAAGATTAATTTTAATTCTTCATGTTTAATTACAGTTTAACAAGTTAATTATTAATACACACTAATTATCGATAATAGGTAAGCCAACAGTAATTAATAAAATTGGATCTCTATCAGAGTGACTCTTAATTTTTAGCGAGTTGATTAGTGTTTAATTAATGGTAATGAAATATTTCTGATATTAACTTTGATTTTATATGAAATCACAGTTAAGTGATTTACAAACGGAAACAATCAAAATAAACTCAACAATTAATGTTACTTGACAAGTAAATGATAAGTTAGTGATTACAATTGATTTAATTTAATTTTCTCTTCCTTTCCAGTCAATTTGAAACCATCACACAAATTGAATGGATCTCAAATCATCATAGGTAAATAAAACAACCAGAGGACGAGATGAAGGTAAAGGAGAAAAGGTGATGAGTAAATGTGATAATGATGAAGATGAGGATGAAGAGGATGAAGAGGATGGAGATGATAGAGATAAAGATGGCTAGAGGTCAAACTATCAGTCAAATTGGTCAGTTAATCGTGAAGAGGAAAATACGTTTATAGTCAGAGGAGTTTAATTATTGATGAAAATCAATTGTGTTTACAACACGAGCAGATGAAAGCACATGGTTGTCATCGTCATTAATATCAATTGTAATAACCTTTAATTTGCTTCTTAATCACAATCAACGAAAATATCATTTGAATCATGATCAATTCCGCTATTAGATTATGGCATTGATACATTTGTGTGTAGAAACCACAGTGATTAAAGTTAACGATTCTTTTATTTCACTTTTGTTACAATTTTTGTTGATTAATTCATTAAACATCAATTAGCGGTAATTAATTGATTGGATATTGGAAGAATGATAACTTCATATTGATTGTTTCAAATAATCGGATGATTGGATTAATTATTATGACAATCAAAAGCTAAATTGATGTTGCTTTTTGTTAACGTACAATAATAATGATAATTTTTAAATTAACTCTTATTTCTTGGGCTTGGCTTGATTTTATTTTAATTTAGTTTAATTTCTTACAGGCAAATTGCCCTCAGGGTTAATCTTTGCTATTTGTCTCTCAAAGGCACATGTGACAGTTGCAACTTGATTCAATAACAATTAGTCTTGATTGATTAAACATTGATTGCTAACTAACTCTTAATTCACCTTCCCATTTTAACTATAACTTATATCGACAATTAATCTGAATAATAACTGATTTAAATTGTTATCATTGAAAGAAACAAACCAAATCTATTTAGATAATTTGATTAATGTTTCTAATATTATTTAATTGTATTTAGCAAGACCCACCACCGATATGCTAATCAACAAACTATTTATTCAAATTATTGATAATTTAGATCAGAATAACATGAAAACCTCTTCAATATTTTGAAATGTTAATTAATGATTGTTCAATATGCGATCGATTGAATTTTAACTGATAATTACAACACTTTTATTGGACAATCATGTAATCATTTCTTGAGGATTCACCTCGCAGGTTAATTGTCAAGGTGATAAATTATTGTCACACAATTTGTACTCTATTTGAATTTAAACTTACAAATATTTTGTTAATTGTTGAGGTTGAGATTTGCTTTTAACTTTCTCGGTGAAATCCAATCTTTTTCTCTACTTGATCATTAACGTTTCTTTCAAAAGTAGTAATTAATTAATTACATTCTAGTCTCTAATTGTTGACTTGATACATTTGGAAAAGATTCATCATTATCATGATTATAATGAAGGTTCGCTTAAATATTTACTTATTAGATTAAGAATCAATTTGACATTTTATCAACTTTAATGATATCGTGTCAGTTTATCAAAAATTGTTCCTCAAACCGATCAACTTTAATTCATTTTAAAGTTAACAATTAAAAGACCATGAAAATCTCACATTCATTAACTGAATCACAATTCAATGCCTTAAGAAATTGCAAATGAAAATTTAGTGGAAAATTTGAGGCAATTGGTTAATTATCTAATTGTTTGTTGATTCGTCTCATCGATTTGATCATTTCGGATTATCGGATAATAAAGTATCGACAACTAAATGCTCATTGTTTACACCCAAAAAAAATTATAATCAGAGGAGTAATTAGAGGCCGATACACTAATCAGCAGGACAAACCCTGAATTATTATGAGATGAAATATTATATGTTACTTTGATATACTCCTTTGCCCACTGATGAGTGGTAATTAGTTGTCAACAAGTAAATAATCAACCGATTTTGTTGATAAAATCTTGAAATAATTAAGATGAAGTCTTGATAAACTCGCTACTAAAGTGCGAACAGTCAAGTGATGATTTAGTTTGATATAAATCTTTGTAAGGTGATATTGAAGCAATGAGGGTGGACCAATGAACACGAAATTGATTAGTTGATTACTAATAAAACAGAGCGAGAATCAGAAAATTAATCAATCGTGTGAAAGTTGTAATTAATAACGAGCCAGAATATTCAAGATCGATTCAAGTTCGCTCAGCAATTGAGCAGCTCAATATTGATAATTTTGTAAATTGAGAGTTAAGATTTGCTAATGCAGAATAAATTGAAATCGCTCTCAAATACAATTGAATTGATTTTAATACAAATTATTGTAAAGCTGAAGGTGTTTGTAAAGTGATAAAGGTTAAATCTGAGGGCATCATTTCCTTGTTTATTAACTTTGTTAAGGACAAGTTTATAAAAGAAAAGGTTAATTTACATCTTCGTCTTTGGTTCTAGTCGACTGGCAGCTCATAGTTTCCTTTCGTCCACCGAACCTGCCCCACTGCTGATTCCGTTGCCATTTCCATTTCCATTCCCACTTGCACCACTACTGCCGCTTCTCTCGGTGCTTATTTTAAGATCCTTTTGAAGTACATAAGCTGCAGCAGGTTCGATCCTTTTATAATAGTTCTCCTTTACATCGATTATTTCGAATCCAAACTTTTTATAGAAATTTATGGCTCCTTCGTTGTTTATCTGGACATGAAGGAAAAGCCCATCAAGATCATTCTTTTCAGCGTAACTCAGCACGTGTTGTAACATCATAGTTCCTAAACACCGAGAGAAAAACAAATGAATCACATTAGAGAGAAAGAGAAAGAAAGAGAAAGAAAGAAAGAAAGAAGCAAACAAAGACAATCATCAATCTAGAGAAAAATCCGAATGAAAAATGAGACAATTTACCGATTCCTTGTCCTCGATACGAAGCTAAACACCCAAGGGTCATAATGTAAACTCTCTTTTGGTCGTTTGTTGTGTCGATCCGACAACAAACACCACCAACAACAATGTCATTGTAAAAAGCGATTTTAGCCAATTCACCAGCTAACAAAACATCTTTGTAAAATTTATCGTTGTAAATCACTGGAAAAACAACTTGGTTTATTAATCTAAGCAATTTTATATTATGTACAGTGATGGTTCCCAATTCCATCCGTCCACGTTTGTAAGCGGGTTTTTCAGGCATAATCAAAATGATTAAATCGATTGAACTTTTTCGGAAATTAAAAAACAACCAAATGTGAGAGATCAGCTGGAGTCAAAATCCAAACCAATGTGGTGTTTGATTTCTGCTTCAACAGCGACATCAGGGGAGCCATCGGTGAATTACAATTCGTCGTTTCCGGCAAATACAAGCGTTCACGGGAACAGGAACAGGGTAAGGAAAAGAAAAGAAAAGAAAACAATAATTAACAAAATTTCTCCCCTGAGGTCTAATACAATTTTTAAATAAAATTTGTGAGCTCAATACTAAGGACTTAAGTCATTTGAAAACCCACCAAAATGGTTGAACTGTCGACTCAGTTTTGTGAGTAACAAAATCAACTGAAGTTATCGTTGGACTATCGTAGTTTTGGTATTAATCAGATCCGTGTAACAAGATGAATAAAAATAACACAAAATTTAATTCTAAATCCATAGCTATTGAATTTATCAGGAGCGATCGGTGTTCATTTTGATTGAAAAACTCATATTCATTAAACTCCATCTTCAAAGAGCATCAATAAGATTGAAATCATTTGATCTAATTGGTCAAAAACAAATTTCTGATGAAAATGAATCATTTTAATTGATAGAAAAATCAACGAATTTTCGTGTGAATCGGACAGTAGAGACTAAACGATCATTTAGATTAATTGATTCCTCTAATCTGGACTTATGAACAGAGAGTGACACTCAATGTGACCAAATGTTCATCAAGTCGAAATGAAAAATGTTGAATTAAATTTTTCTCAAGACTTTGACTACAAAATGATTTCATTTAGAGAATTCAACAACTAGATTAATTCTGAGTAACTAATGAACAATTGAAAATACCTAATGGGATGAAAGGAAGTTGCGTGGATAATGATATATGTTTGACATGATTTATTGATGTTGATTAACAAAACTTGCAAAATATTCAGACAATCAATCTTCTTGTTTCTTGTTGTTATCTGATTTAGAAATGATTGGACCATCTCCTGGATCATCACCACCACTTTCACTTTCACCATCTTCATCTTCCTCATAATCATCATCTCCAGGCACTTCTTCATTCATTTGTTCCAATCTTTCCAGTTTCTTCTGTAATTCTTGATCATCCAGATCAGTGACGACCTTCGGTGCTTGTTTAATTGAAAAGATTCCACCAGCCTTTTTAATTGATTCTTCTATTTCTGTCAGCGCTTTGTCCAGTAAAGCCAGACCAATTTCTCTCTCCATCGTGTGAGTGGTCACCACATAAGACGGAGGGGCAATTAAATTAATTTTGATTGGCATTTCGGCACTTCCACAAGCGATTCCAGCTCTGAGAGCCACTTTCACGGCATCGATTCCCTCGTAGGTACAACAGCCCACATCAATGTCCGCTCACTTTCACCGCTTGAGGAGTCAATTTCCTTTTGATGTGGGTGAGAAGAGCATCTCTGGTCTTCTCGTCAAGATCACATTCATCCAAGACACTTGAATCGTTAACAGCGAGTTTGAAGAAGTCAAAAGCACAACCTTGTTTCTTGTGTTTCTCGTCAAAGTACCAGGCCGTCCTTTCATAGAGATTCTCTAGTTCTCCGTCCGTAGTGTAGCCCAGAATCTCGGCCACATGACGTAAAATACTGTTAACAGCTTTACCTTTGGCATATTTTTCTTCACACCGAACAATGTCTTCGGGCGAGACTCGACGTTTGGACAAATCGATGTACCCCTTATCCTTGTCCACTCGAATCACAACTACACACTCACTTCTTCCAATTCTGATCAGTTTGTTGATGGAACGGATCCTACGCCGAGACAATTCCGACAAAAGGATCATTCCTTCAATGTTTTTATATTCCAAAAGGTCCACATAAGCTCCCATTTCGGCGACTCGCCGAACCATTGCCACGACAACATCTTCCACTTCAGGGAACTTTTGTTTGTAAAATCTACAACTTAAATTCGGCATTTCACTCAAAAACGATTCAATTAATTGACTAATTAGTTATTAATTTAAAACTTATTAACAAACGGAGACAATAATGTCGATTGTTGAAAGGAAATCACATATGTGCGATGAAAGAGCCACCTGGTTTTCTTATTTCTCTTCAGTTTTATGACCGCAATTTTGTTTCTTTTTGAAACAGAAAATTAATTTTGTTTCTAAGAAAATGAATCATTGCAAATGATTCAATTGAATTGAATCTTTCTCACAAACTTTTCCCTCTTCTATTTTTATGAAGACAATCAACTTTCTGTCATCAAAGAAACAACAAGACTACGATGATTGTCAATTTGTCGTGATTGATTCAGTTGTGGATCATTTTGAGTTCTAAGTTACAATTTTCTCGTCATATGGGAACGTGAATTTAATTCCAATGGAATTGATTCCTGTGACTCAAGCGAATGTTAAATCTCTTCGAAGAATAAACCAAGTTGTTTTTCCAGTGATTTACAACGATAAATTTTACAAAGATGTTTTGTTAGCTGGTGAATTGGCTAAAATCGCTTTTTACAATGACATTGTTGTTGGTGGTGTTTGTTGTCGGATCGACACAACAAACGACCAAAAGAGAGTTTACATTATGACCCTTGGGTGTTTAGCTTCGTATCGAGGACAAGGAATCGGTAAATTGTCTCATTTTTCATTCGGATTTTTCTCTAGATTGATGATTGTCTTTGTTTGCTTCTTTCTTTCTTTCTTTCTCTTTCTTTCTCTTTCTCTCTAATGTGATTCATTTGTTTTTCTCTCGGTGTTTAGGAACTATGATGTTACAACACGTGCTGAGTTACGCTGAAAAGAATGATCTTGATGGGCTTTTCCTTCATGTCCAGATAAACAACGAAGGAGCCATAAATTTCTATAAAAAGTTTGGATTCGAAATAATCGATGTAAAGGAGAACTATTATAAAAGGATCGAACCTGCTGCAGCTTATGTACTTCAAAAGGATCTTAAAATAAGCACCGAGAGAAGCGGCAGTAGTGGTGCAAGTGGGAATGGAAATGGAAATGGCAACGGAATCAGCAGTGGGGCAGGTTCGGTGGACGAAAGGAAACTATGAGCTGCCAGTCGACTAGAACCAAAGACGAAGATGTAAATTAACCTTTTCTTTTATAAACTTGTCCTTAACAAAGTTAATAAACAAGGAAATGATGCCCTCAGATTTAACCTTTATCACTTTACAAACACCTTCAGCTTTACAATAATTTGTATTAAAATCAATTCAATTGTATTTGAGAGCGATTTCAATTTATTCTGTATTAGCAAATCTTAACTCTCAATTTACAAAATTATCAATATTGAGTGCAAATGCTCATCTACGTTGGATTGGGGAATTTTTTGATTAAATCAGAATTTTATTTAGAGTACATTTCATATGAAAAAGACTTTCGAATATATGTTTGAAATTAATTCTGAGATCGAATTGATTTTTATGATCTTTAAATGAGATCAACAGTTTAGTCAATGGCTTTCTTATTCGTGAGTTGTTGTAAGAGCATCATGTCACTTTTTTCAGAACTTTCAGCACCTTCATTTGTTTTTTCAGAATTTTCTCCTCTGTCTTGCTCACGATCATCTGTTGTGAGTCGATTGAACTCGATTTCTTCAGATAAGTTATCAACGATTGGTCCGAACTGTAAACAAAAACAATGATTAAAATGCAAATTCAGAAGGAAAAGAATTGAAATGCGATTTTCAATGCATTCGACTTACCCCTTTGTGTGAAGGTGCATAAAGAATCAACAGGACAATTGCATAGTTATTCCACATGGCATAGACGGTTGTGTACATGGCACTGGTACATTGGAGCTCAATGTATGGGTTTTCCTCTTCCCAGTGGAAATTTTCATCGACAAATTGATTCATAATAAAAGCTGAAATAGTTATACCAGCGCAAATCACTGTTGCCCAGAGTAGGAACTTGAATCGGTAAATTATTCCAAGGTAAACTAAACGACGAGTGCTGGACATTGATGGAAGAGAACTTTGTTTGGATGAGAGATTACGTTTTACCATCCAAACTTGATAACAAAGGAAAAAGAAAAAGGTAGTAGCTGAGATGATAGCGGAGATGATAAAGATGACGGCGAGATGAGAGTCCACCTCCCAGATTGTAAAGAAAGGGTTGATCCATTGGATTCCTCGTTCGATAGAATCAAACACGAATAACGCTGTAGAAGCGCTAAGAATTATGGCTAATTGTTTGGCATAATAAGAGAGACAAGATCTTTGAACTCCGTCTAATAGATGTTCTCCAGTGAAAATACACCAGAATGAGAGAAGACCACAATAGAGGACTCCTTGGCGAATATCACTGAGAAAATTCATGAATCCTAAATCGAAAAATAAAGACAAAAATTCAATCGGAGCGTTGAGCTGAGTAATAGCAAGGCCAAGCATGATTATAGTCCGTTCGAGGAGAGTTGTTTTTCTGGACAGTTGCTGAAGACGATTCCAGTACCAAATAAGTGTAAACAAAGTGATTATAAAGAAAACGGTCTTCAATAAAAGCCAAACTTTTGTGAATCCACCATTCTGATGAATAGCAGCCATATTCAGTCCAGTTAATTCAGCATGAACCAATTCTAGATAATATAAAAAGTAAAGTAATAAAGTTTTTGTTTCATATGATTTTTTCGTGAGTCACTTACGAGGAGAAGAGTCGAATACAATATTGATCAGGTAGTAGTCATAAAATAATGATTGTAACTCGAATAAATGAATTAAGTCACATTCATACTTTTGTTCATCTTCAAGCTGGAAGTAATTAAATAGAGATTAAAATTTATTAAGATTCAATAATATTAATAATAAATAACGGAGAATAGAATAAAAAATTTACCTTTTCTGTCAATATTTCACAGTTCAAAGTTCTTTTTAATTTATCCTTCGAAGCGATGATTTTCCAATCATCATCCTGAGCATCTTTAGCCGCTAAAGTGACATTCATTCCAATCTCTCCTTTTATCTTCCGGAGGTCAGAACTGTTGACTGCATATGACAAACTGCGATAATTTATATCAGGTGTGAGAAGAGCAATCAAATTGGACATCCATCTTGAATAATCAAGTCTAAGACCATCTCTAGGCAATGGTATTTGAAAAGCGAAGATGATTGGATTCTTGCCACTAAAAATTAAATTGAATTGTGAGTCAACAAGAACGAGAAAAAATTTAAATCAAAGATGAAGATGGAACTAACCTTATTTGGCCAGTGTCATATCGATGACAATTTTTTGATCTGATTTCATCTCCTTGAATTTGATGAATAGGAATAGCCAGTTTCTTGTGGTCATCAGCTATACATAAAGTAGCCATTACTTGTTCTGTGTTGGCTGGTGCAGGAGCTGAGGAAATGGAGAAAACAAAACAAAAGTAAATAAAATGTTAACATTTTTAATGGACCAAGAAAGTTGGTAAACAAAGAAACTTACCAATAAAAGCTCCAATTAAAAAAGAGACAAATTGGATTATGAAGATGATGAATAAAATTACCACTAATTTGCGGTTTGAAAGGTTCTCCAAAATGGTTCCAGGCATCGTTGTCACGATTAAATAAAGTCAATTAAAAGATGAATCAATTTAGTTGTTTGTCTGTAGAATGTCAAGAGTTTTGATGAAAGAAATGATTTGAATGATGAATTTTATGTTCTCCAAACTCACCGATTGGTCGATTTTCATCGAGAAAACTCATTGGCGCTCAATTCATTTTCTTTGGAACATCAGACCAGTAGACCAACAGATGTCTCTTTCTAATGAACAGATGATCATTTCAACAGAACAATTGAGTTGATTGTCTGTTTCGGTGATCAACAATTAACCCAAGTGCCACTAATTATCTTAATCTTTTTAACCTCTTAGAGAAAAGATCAACATCTTGAACGAAATCAATTGGACTGTGGATTTTATGGTTTGTTTTGAACAGACCTATTGATTTATTTGTGATTTCTAGTTGGAACTCATTAATCGTTTTTCATTGTCGTCGCAACATTTAATTTTAATCTGGTTTGAATTACAAATTCTAAAGAAATGGTGAGTTTTAACTATTTAATTATTGAATTGAATTGATTTTGTTTATTGGATGATTGGAATGAGCTTTGTTTGTGTGAATTTGATGATTTATTGTCTATTTATTTTTATTGATTTTCCAATATAAAGGCTGGCGCTATGGAGAGAGCACAAAAGCTTCCTAAATTAAAGGAGGTCGAAAATGAGAAAATTTATGGTTATGTCCAAGGAGTATCCGGTTGTGTGGTTGTCGCTGAAGCCATGGCTGGAGCTGCTATGTTCGAGTTGGTCCGAGTTGGTCACGACGAATTAGTCGGGGAAATTATTCGACTTGAATCGGACTTGGCAACCATTCAAGTCTATGAAGAAACATGTAAGTTGTATCAATATAAGTAAATATTTAGTCTGAGAATACAAGTAAATTTATTGATTGGTTTTGATTACAATGCGACCACTTAGCTGGTGTAACTGTTGGAGATCCTGTTCTTCGTACTGGAAAACCTTTATCGGTTGAACTCGGACCAGGAATCATGGGCTCCATCTTCGATGGTATTCAACGTCCCTTGAGAGACATTCACGATCTCACCCAAAGTATTTACATTCCAAGAGGTGTCAACACACCGGCGTTAAACCGAGAAATCAAATGGGACTTTTCCTCAGTATGTGAGAATCGGAAGTCACATAACTGGTGGTGATGTTTACGGTTATGTCCATGAAAACACTTTGATCAAACACAAATTGATGCTTCCACCCAAAGCGAAGGGTACAATTACATTCCTGGCAGAACCTGGTTCTTATGATATGAATGTAAGTACATTGTATTTGATTTGTTTCTTGCCATAAATAGAGCGATACTTATTCCTTGCTATTCCTTGCATTCTACCGACAGGATGTCATCTTAGAGACTGAATTCGATGGGAAAAGTCACAATTCACCATGTTACAAACATGGCCAGTTCGTCAAACGAGACCAATCACTGAGAAACTTTCTGCTAATCACCCTCTTCTCACCGGTCAACGAGTACTCGACGCTTTGTTCCCGTGTGTTCAAGGTGGTACAACAGCCATTCCAGGAGCTTTCGGTTGTGGTAAAACTGTCATTTCTCAAGCTCTTTCAAAATATTCCAACAGTGATGTTATTGTTTACGTTGGTTGTGGTGAACGAGGAAACGAAATGGCGGAAGTACTTAGAGATTTTCCTGAACTTACAGTTGAGATCAATGGGGTCACTGAATCTATTATGAGACGTACAACTCTTGTCGCTAACACATCAAACATGCCGGTCGCAGCTCGAGAAGCTTCAATTTACACCGGAATCACATTGTCAGAGTACTTCCGAGATATGGGTTACCATGTTTCCATGATGGCAGATTCAACTTCGCGTTGGGCTGAAGCTTTGAGAGAAATTTCTGGTCGATTGGCTGAAATGCCTGCAGATTCTGGTTATCCAGCTTATCTTAGTGCTCGATTAGCTTCTTTCTATGAGAGAGCAGGACGAACCAAGTGTTTAGGTAACCCGGAACGAGAAGGTAGTGTCACCATTGTCGGTGCTGTATCACCACCCGGTGGTGATTTCTCCGATCCCGTGACATCCGCTACTTTGGGTATTGTCCAAGTTTTCTGGGGATTGGACAAGAAACTTGCACAAAGGAAACATTTCCCTTCCATTAATTGGAGTTTATCTTACAGTAAATACACTCGAGCATTAGATGAATATTATGAAAGAAATTTCCCTGATTTCGTTCCAATTCGAACTAAGGTTTGTCTCTTCTTTTCTTCTTTTATTCCTTTCTTCTTTTCTATCCTCTCTCACCATATTTGATATTGTTAATAATTGTCATTTTTTTCTATTCTTTTGTTTAAAGTGTCAACAAATTCTACAAGAAGAAGAAGATCTTTCAGAAATCGTGCAACTCGTTGGTAAAGCTTCACTTGCCGAAGGAGATAAAGTGACATTAGAAGTTGCTCGTCTAATCAAAGACGATTTTCTACAGCAAAACAGTTATTCTCCTTATGACAGATTCTGTCCTTTCTACAAGACAAGTGGAATGCTTAAGAATATAATTTCATTTTATGATTTGGCCAAACACTCGATTGAGGCCACAGCTCAAAGTGAGAATCGTATTACATGGGCAATGATTCGTGAAGCTCTTGGTAGTACCATGTATGAGTTAAGCTCAATGAAATTCAAGGTATTTTTATTTTATTTTTTCATCCATTAAACCATTAAATCATTAAATTGTTATTTAATTAATCGTTTGTTTTCTCTTCAAAATCATTTAGGATCCTGTTAAAGACGGTGAAACTAAGATTCGTCGTGATTTCGATGATCTCGCAGAGTCCATGCAACAAGCTTTCCGAAGTCTTGAAGATTAAGAATCAACAATAATCAAGTCAACGCAATTATCTATTCCAATAATTACTTGGAAACCTTTTCTTCAAACACAATTCAATAATCATCAACATGCGGAGAACAAAATATGGAAATCAAATATTAGCCTTGTTGTCGTTTGCAGTTTTTTCTCAGTGTGTGCACCTTAAAAAACTATCACGATAAATACGGAATTTTCTATTAGAAAACATATATCGCATTTTCTTCTGAAGTTTTTTATCACTTGTAAATTGAACTGTTCTCAAATCCTTATTGTTCGGTCGACCTGCTCATTTGAAATGTGACATCTCATCTTCGCTCTTCAGATTTCTTATTTTACATAGAAATCTTTTTTGAAATCTATTTTTACATTCCTCTTCAGCATCAATCTTTTCTCATTTGGAATCACATCGATTTCCAAGTCTCGAATTGACTCACTGCTTATCTTTCGTGGACACTCAATTTTGCCGTTTAGTTCGGTACAATAAAAGGATATGCGTCCAGTTATTTGTTGTGGAATCGTACACATATACTAGATGGCGACTTTTGTTGAACCCTGAGACAAAGAAGAAGGATTTGGATTATCATTTCAACTCTTTAATTTAATCTCTCAATAACCTCATTGAATCAGAAAATTCTAACCAAACAACTAGAACTCATTCTTTTTTTTCTGAGAGCTGATGTTTGCATAATCACCCAGTTCATTGTTGATCGTTTTCTTGAAGAGACTGTAAACTCATCATCTCATTCAGAGTATTTAATAGTCTCTGTCACATCATTTCTTTATATGAAAAGGGTTTCGACCAGAGCGATTATCTCAGGTAAACGCTCGACAAGGTCCACAATCTAATGTTTGATCATCAAACTACTTGTTGATTGTGCAGAATCGCGATCAAAAGATTCTGGGAACTCAATTTTTGGTATTCGGGAGAAAGAAGAAGAGTTAACCTCTTTTTCATCTCCCACTAAATCGAATCTAAACTGATTTCTTAATTTTCATGCCAATTGTAATTTTCTGTCAAGCGTGTGAATGTTCAGATCAATGAAAAAAACAATTAAAAGATTAAATAAGCAATAGTAATTAAATTAAGTATTCATTTTCTATTTTATTGACCCGAACTAAGGTTTACCTTGATTTTCATTCGGTGCTTTCTCAATTCTAATTAGCCAATTTAATCAACCAAAACTTACAAATTCATTTCTCATTTTCATTAATTGTGATAATTGAATTGCCTCTCGATGGGCGTTGAGAGTAAATGAGAGATTCTCATTAAGCCTCACCAAGCTCCATTTCTCTTGTCGTTGGCTTCACATTCGGTCATTGAGACACCAAACGAACAACAATCAGATCATTAAATTCGATTAGTGGCCGTACACTAGTGTTCGGACTTCGGATTCAACTAATTGCGGTTCGACTCGAACCAAGAAAAGAAAAGCAAAGAGCGAATGAGAAAAAGTGAATGGAAAGAAAGAGAAACGACAGAAATGAGATTATCTTTTTGTAGCAAAAAGACATTGAGTTTATTGGTATTAATGTGATAAAGATAAACTACTAACAATTAACAATCGTTTCCCGAACAATCATCAGCTTTTCTCTGTCTTTCTTTCTCCTTCTTACTTACCTTTTGCTCTTTCGTTTCTCTCTTTCTATTTCTCTGTCTATTCTCATTTCTCATTTTCTATTCTCATTGAATGAGACTCATTCTCTCTCTCACTTCATCTTTTCTGTCCTCTTTCCCTGAAAGTCATTTCTCTCTGTCTCTCTTTTCTCTTTTCTCTTTAAGAGATTTTAATTGTTAATTGTGATCTGATTAAGGCCAACAAATTAAATTAAATTCATCACAATGGTAAGTTAATCTTGTTCTAAATTTCTTAATAATTACCTGTAAAAAAGTATCACCTGTTTATAGTTTACCTTTAATCATTCACAGTTTTATGTGTCCTTTAAATGACTCATTAGAATCTAGATTCTTACGCCCATTTCATGAATTTCTTGTGATTTCCTTTCAGAATTACTATTTAATTATTGAATTGAATTGATTTTGTTTATTGGATGATTGGAATGAGCTTTGTTTGTGTGAATTTGATGATTTATTGTCTATTTATTTTTATTGATTTTCCAATATAAAGGCTGGCGCTATGGAGAGAGCACAAAAGCTTCCTAAATTAAAGGAGGTCGAAAATGAGAAAATTTATGGTTATGTCCAAGGAGTATCCGGTTGTGTGGTTGTCGCTGAAGCCATGGCTGGAGCTGCTATGTTCGAGTTGGTCCGAGTTGGTCACGACGAATTAGTCGGGGAAATTATTCGACTTGAATCGGACTTGGCAACCATTCAAGTCTATGAAGAAACATGTAAGTTGTATCAATATAAGTAAATATTTAGTCTGAGAATACAAGTAAATTTATTGATTGGTTTTGATTACAATGCGACCACTTAGCTGGTGTAACTGTTGGAGATCCTGTTCTTCGTACTGGAAAACCTTTATCGGTTGAACTCGGACCAGGAATCATGGGCTCCATCTTCGATGGTATTCAACGTCCCTTGAGAGACATTCACGATCTCACCCAAAGTATTTACATTCCAAGAGGTGTCAACACACCGGCGTTAAACCGAGAAATCAAATGGGACTTTTTCCCTCAGTATGTGAGAATCGGAAGTCACATAACTGGTGGTGATGTTTACGGTTATGTCCATGAAAACACTTTGATCAAACACAAATTGATGCTTCCACCCAAAGCGAAGGGTACAATTACATTCCTGGCAGAACCTGGTTCTTATGATATGAATGTAAGTACATTGTATTTGATTTGTTTCTTGCCATAAATAGAGCGATACTTATTCCTTGCTATTCCTTGCATTCTACCGACAGGATGTCATCTTAGAGACTGAATTCGATGGGGAAAAGTCACAATTCACCATGTTACAAACATGGCCAGTTCGTCAAACGAGACCAATCACTGAGAAACTTTCTGCTAATCACCCTCTTCTCACCGGTCAACGAGTACTCGACGCTTTGTTCCCGTGTGTTCAAGGTGGTACAACAGCCATTCCAGGAGCTTTCGGTTGTGGTAAAACTGTCATTTCTCAAGCTCTTTCAAAATATTCCAACAGTGATGTTATTGTTTACGTTGGTTGTGGTGAACGAGGAAACGAAATGGCGGAAGTACTTAGAGATTTTCCTGAACTTACAGTTGAGATCAATGGGGTCACTGAATCTATTATGAGACGTACAACTCTTGTCGCTAACACATCAAACATGCCGGTCGCAGCTCGAGAAGCTTCAATTTACACCGGAATCACATTGTCAGAGTACTTCCGAGATATGGGTTACCATGTTTCCATGATGGCAGATTCAACTTCGCGTTGGGCTGAAGCTTTGAGAGAAATTTCTGGTCGATTGGCTGAAATGCCTGCAGATTCTGGTTATCCAGCTTATCTTAGTGCTCGATTAGCTTCTTTCTATGAGAGAGCAGGACGAACCAAGTGTTTAGGTAACCCGGAACGAGAAGGTAGTGTCACCATTGTCGGTGCTGTATCACCACCCGGTGGTGATTTCTCCGATCCCGTGACATCCGCTACTTTGGGTATTGTCCAAGTTTTCTGGGGATTGGACAAGAAACTTGCACAAAGGAAACATTTCCCTTCCATTAATTGGAGTTTATCTTACAGTAAATACACTCGAGCATTAGATGAATATTATGAAAGAAATTTCCCTGATTTCGTTCCAATTCGAACTAAGGTTTGTCTCTTCTTTTCTTCTTTTCTTCTTTTATTCCTTTCTTCTTTTCTATCCTCTCTCACCATATTTGATATTGTTAATAATTGTCATTTGTTTCTATTCTTTTGTTTAAAGTGTCAACAAATTCTACAAGAAGAAGAAGATCTTTCAGAAATCGTGCAACTCGTTGGTAAAGCTTCACTTGCCGAAGGAGATAAAGTGACATTAGAAGTTGCTCGTCTAATCAAAGACGATTTTCTACAGCAAAACAGTTATTCTCCTTATGACAGATTCTGTCCTTTCTACAAGACAAGTGGAATGCTTAAGAATATAATTTCATTTTATGATTTGGCCAAACACTCGATTGAGGCCACAGCTCAAAGTGAGAATCGTATTACATGGGCAATGATTCGTGAAGCTCTTGGTAGTACCATGTATGAGTTAAGCTCAATGAAATTCAAGGTATTTTTATTTTATTTTTTCATCCATTAAACCATTAAATCATTAAATTGTTATTTAATTAATCGTTTGTTTTCTCTTCAAAATCATTTAGGATCCTGTTAAAGACGGTGAAACTAAGATTCGTCGTGATTTCGATGATCTCGCAGAGTCCATGCAACAAGCTTTCCGAAGTCTTGAAGATTAAGAATCAACAATAATCAAGTCAACGCAATTATCTATTCCAATAATTACTTGGAAACCTTTTCTTCAAACACAATTCAATAATCATCAACATGCGGAGAACAAAATATGGAAATCAAATATTAGCCTTGTTGTCGTTTGCAGTTTTTTCTCAGTGTGTGCACCTTAAAAAACTATTTACGAATTTCATATTTTATGTCATGGATAATTCATTATATATATTTCAATTCCAGAGAATTAATAAGTATTAAAAGAATGCATAAAGTACTTATTATCAAAGCCATAATCAAGTAAATAAAATGTAATTTAAACAGATTGGCAATTTAATCTTCATTCATTTAAGTTTCCATGTTGTCTTCAAATTGGACAATTCTATCAATAGATTAACATGAAATTTACTCTTTGATCGCATAAATTCAAAAGAATCTTGTCTTCCCAAAGATTTTTGATCAATTTTATCAAAACAGTAACGAGAATTAATATTAATTATTGAACGTTAATCGTCATTGAAAATGATTAAGAGCAAAGATCGATATCGATGTCGATACATTGATTTGAAGAGGAAAGTGAACTTATAATAACATTGATGTTTCTTCAGTTGTTAACATTCAATCATTGAATTTCAATGTTCAATCTCAATGTTTGTCTTTTGTAATTAAAACTATTAATCAATTTACTTGTGATTCTTGTTATACTTTTCTAGCTCTTTTTGTATTTATATTTATTACTCTTGGTGTTTGTCAATTGGACTTCTATGTTTCCCTCATCGCCAAAGAAATCGCCAATATTGACGAGGTTGAAATCATCAGGCAGTGAATCGGCTGATCCCGATGGTGGGGAAGATACTGTTGATGCTCAAGATGCTTTGTTTTACTCGATTAACGATCGTCAAGTTGCTAATATTCAACTTGAATTTTTCTACAAACCTCATACGATCACATTGTTGACATTCACATTTATTCCCATAATTTATTTTGCTTTCACTCGTGATACAGAGGAGAGTCTAGCGAACAATGTTTGGGCTGGTGTCAAGTTCATCATTTTTCTTTCACTGGTCATAAGTACTCTCGCCTTCCCTAATGGGCCATTTACTCGACCCCATCCGCTGATCTGGCGAATGGTTTTTGGTCTCAGTGTCCTTTACTTAATGGCTCTAGTTTTCATCTTATTTCAAAATTATGATACGGTAAAGTATATGTTGGAATGGGTTTTCCCTGATCTCGAAGGATTCACTATAGACAGCGAGAGGGTAAGTTCTTATTCTGATTAGCAAATTTTTCAAAATTAAACGAAAATCTCGCTAATAATCTTTCAGGAGTATGGTATCAACTGTTCTGATGTTTCCATCGAAAGAATTTGGAGTCATTTAGATGTTTTCGCATTGGGACACTTTTTTGGGTGGACATTAAAGGCCATGTTGATTCGTCACTATGGAGTTAGTTGGTTAATTAGTGTAACTTGGGAAATCACTGAAATGGCCTTTTCTCATCTACTACCAAATTTCATTGAGTGTTGGTGGGACGCTCTTATTTTGGACGTTCTCATCTGCAATGGGGCTGGTATCTGGCTTGGAATGTATATTTGTAGAAAATTAGAAATGAGAAAGTACCAATGGGAAAGTATAAAGTAAGTTAACCTACAGAAATCTAAATCTAAATCGGAGATTGATGATTAATTCTGCTTGCATGTTAATTTGAGTTGCATTATCTAATTTCCTTTTCTCATCTTTCATTTTTACAGAAACATCACATCAACTAAAGGCAAAATCAAACGAGCTGTCCTTCAATTTACTCCTGAAACCTGGACCAGCATGAAATGGCTCGATCCTTCGTGTACATATGTTAGATATTTAGCTGTCACTCAACTAGTCATTTATTGGCAAATTACAGAGTTGAATACATTTTTTTTGAAGCACATTTTCGAAATACCTCCCGGTCATCCTCTTAGTATTGGCCGTCTTGCGATGATCGCTTTGATTGTAGCCCCGAGTCTTAGACAGTATTATGTTTACGTTGTCGACGCTCGATGCAAACGGGTAGGAAGCCAGTGTTGGGTGTTTGGAGCTATCATGTTCCTAGAACTGATCATCTGTATTAGATTCGGGCTTGACTTATTCGCTCAAACTCAGATCAGAAACATAGTCATCTGGATAATCATACAGGTATGTTAAATCAAATAGAAACATTTAATCGATAGTTTGTTACACTCACTTACCCTGAGATTTTGTCTCTTTCCAGTTTTTCCTTAGTATAGTCTGTGTATCCTTAGGAGTTTGGTGGAGTAAATTAAACACCAAAAATGAAGACCATTCAACTAGAAAAGACAGATGATTAACGGAATAAAGTCAATTCAACTTTGAAAACTTTTGGACTCAATTGGTTCTTTTCGATGTCAACAATCTACTCAGACCATTGTAGATGCGTTACTATTTTTTGCTAATCACTAATCTTGTTTATACCACTGAGTAGTCCATCAATAGGAATTAATAACAATTTCATCTTCGACATAAATGGAATCAAGCCAATGGAAACATATTTATTATTCTCGATGAAACAATAAATTGACGAGGCCATTTTAAAGCAAATAATTACATTGTAATAGATACAGAGTGTGCTTCTAAGAGTTAATACCAATCGAGCTTGTCTCTCAAACAATTACTTCAACCTTGTGATTAGCTGATCAAAACTTTCTAATCAATAAAACACTTTGCTAAGCATCTTCCGATTTTTAACTTTAATCCTCTTTGTAACCATTGGAAATGATTCCACATCACCAGTCATGGATCTTTGGGTTGTAATCACTTTGCTAATTCATTATCGACGATCTTGTTAATGGCAGTCCAAAGATCACGAATTGAAAACTGTCGAGTTTATTTAACATTGATTTTAATCTCGATAATCTGTTTGATACTAACACGATTAAAGATTGTCAATGGCGATACCGTGGGCTGAATTTCAAGGGGTGTGACTTTCTAAGGATTAACAATCAATCAATTGACGATATGGTTTAATCAGAAATGGAGCAAATAATTCACTGAAATTAACTTGATTTCATTTCTTCTTCTTTATTACGATTTATTGATGATGAATCGTTATGAAACAAACCAGGTAATTAAGCAGAGATTAATATTTATGGTTACACAAGTAATTAGTCGAGATAATGAATGAATGTTATCGCGATCTTGTTGGAAACTTTATTTTGCATCTAAATTAAATTCGTTGATTTTCATTGTGAAATTTATTCATTGAACGAGATTTTCAATCGAAATAAAGTTTAATAGAATTAGAATTTATCTCAGTCTTTTCTGTTTGTATTTCTATTCGTCCTCCCGAGTTACTCAACAATTAGCGAAATTATTTCATTGAAACGAATTAAAATTAATTCGATTGCTTTACTAGTGGCGACTTCTGGTTAATTGGTTTAAATTGATTCTCTCAAAGTTAAATCAACAAATAATCAAATTTAATTTCTTTTTTTTTGAACTCTTGTCATTAATGCTTTTAACCGACACAATGAAAGACATTTATTTAAGTGTTTTATTTTTAATCAATTGTCAATTGTTCCAAGTCATCGCTCGACCAACACCAGAGTCTTCAGCCGAATCAACTTTGAATGACCGATCATTAGCTTCCGACGCTGCCACTTATTTACTTGTTCCAGCGGCTGTCGTTTTAGGCACCGAAGGCGCTATTTTAGGAGCAACTGGGACCACGTTCGGTGATAGTATCCAGTCGATTGGCGATGGAATCAAATTCATCGGTGACGAGGTTAAAGATGTGGGTGTTGGTTTCACAAACATCAGTCGTGGTCTGAAAGGAGTGTCGGGAGTAATGTACCAGTGGGGAACCGGCGGATCTCTAGTCCCAGTAATTGGAAGAGATTCTGATCTAACCGACACACTCGAAGTGTTGAGTAAATTTTCACCAGATTTTTCCCGCCAAGTTTTAGATTTTTATTTCCACAATTTAAACCAAAATGACTTAGATTATCATGATGATCCAGGCGATCAAGATTATCCAATTGATTCAACCGATTCAACACCAACCAATTGATTTAATTTCAATCTATAAATCAAATTTTGAATTTTGAATAAAAGATCCTTTAGTTTTTTATCTTTCATTTAATTAGACCCTCAAATTTTTACATGATTATTAAATTACACTATTTACAGTTGATGTGATAACTAGGGTGAGTATGAATCAATCTTCTTGTTTCTTGTTGTTATCTGATTTAGAAATGATTGGACCATCTCCTGGATCATCACCACCACTTTCACTTTCACCATCTTCATCTTCCTCATAATCATCATCTCCAGGCACTTCTTCATTCATTTGTTCCAATCTTTCCAGTTTCTTCTGTAATTCTTGATCATCCAGATCAGTGACGACCTTCGGTGCTTGTTTAATTGAAAAGATTCCACCAGCCTTTTTAATTGATTCTTCTATTTCTGTCAGCGCTTTGTCCAGTAAAGCCAGACCAATTTCTCTCTCCATCGTGTGAGTGGTCACCACATAAGACGGAGGGGCAATTAAATTAATTTTGATTGGCATTTCGGCACTTCCACAAGCGATTCCAGCTCTGAGAGCCACTTTCACGGCATCGATTCCCTCGTAGGTACAACAGCCCACATCAATGTCCGCTCTCACTTTCACCGCTTGAGGAGTCAATTTCCTTTTGATGTGGGTGAGAAGAGCATCTCTGGTCTTCTCGTCAAGATCACATTCATCCAAGACACTTGAATCGTTAACAGCGAGTTTGAAGAAGTCAAAAGCACAACCTTGTTTCTTGTGTTTCTCGTCAAAGTACCAGGCCGTCCTTTCATAGAGATTCTCTAGTTCTCCGTCCGTAGTGTAGCCCAGAATCTCGGCCACATGACGTAAAATACTGTTAACAGCTTTACCTTTGGCATATTTTTCTTCACACCGAACAATGTCTTCGGGCGAGACTCGACGTTTGGACAAATCGATGTACCCCTTATCCTTGTCCACTCGAATCACAACTACACACTCACTTCTTCCAATTCTGATCAGTTTGTTGATGGAACGGATCCTACGCCGAGACAATTCCGACAAAAGGATCATTCCTTCAATGTTTTTATATTCCAAAAGGTCCACATAAGCTCCCATTTCGGCGACTCGCCGAACCATTGCCACGACAACATCTTCCACTTCAGGGAACTTTTGTTTGTAAAATCTACAACTTAAATTCGGCATTTTACTCAAAAACAATTCAATTAGTTTAAATTGATAACTAATTAACAAACGGAAACAAAAATTGTTGAACGGAAATCACATATGTAAGATAAAAGAGCCACCTGGTTTTCTTATTTCTCTTCAGTTTTATCGCCGCGATTTTGTTTCTTTTCAAAAGAGAAAATAAAAAAATGAATCATTTGGAGTCACCAATTTATCATTAGTTTGTTTTCTTCTCAGCCTTTTGACTCAATTTATGTGAATTAAATTGTTCAACAATGAGATTAACTTGCTCTCTGTCTAAGTGGAAAGGAGCCTTTATTGGTTATATTCCGAAGTATCCTGGATCTTTGACCTCAGGGTAAGTGATTGTTGATAATTAGAATTGAAATGATTCGTTTTATTTTCATATCTTTGGCTCTTGTTTTCCTTTTATGTTATTGAAAATTCAACACTAATTTAGTTTATTCTCGATTTAATTTATTCACAGGAAAACGCGATGGGTTCCGCCAGTTCGAACAGGTCATAAAGTTGATTTTTTCTATGAATTATCAGGCACCCAAAGAGCAATGAATGTCTTAGCCAAACCTTACATAACAAAGGTAAGAATTCATTAATTTTCGGCAACTGACTCATTTGATTTTATTGTTTCATTTTTTTATTGGATTTCTTTTGAGAAATCTGATGAAAGAATGATCATTAAGTGAGTCAACTAATTGTGCTTATGTTCCATTGTTTGGTTTACTTCTAATTCAATAACTTAAATTTCTCTCCCATTTAGGACCAAGAAACGGCCTATTTGCAGCATGTCGGCAAAGCGAAACCTGATTATTGGGACGATTTCATGTGGAAAACACATGTAGTGCCACCGAAACACCGATATGCAGCTCATTTCATCGCTAGTTTGGATCGAACTGCTAAATTTGAAGATGAAGATTGAATCATTAAAATTCATTGAACAAATGTAACGTGACTGCATTTATCACGAATTTAGCAAACCAATTAAAAAGCATTTGTAAATAAAAGAGACACCATTCAGTAGAATTGAACTTGTCTGATTAAAATTTTCATCTATTTAATTCTATTATTACAATTTGAGTAGAACCAAAAAGGGAAAAGATGAACAGCCTGAGTGGCAAGACATTCACTCGTCAGAGTGAATGTTTAGTTTCTATGGAGAAGCAGCACTGTTCACCTTTCATTCATTTTCTCTTCTATTTTTACTCTTCATTCACATCACATTTTTCCTTCGACATTTTGTTTCTTTATTATTGTTTTGCAATTTTCTTCTTTCAACTCATCTAATTATCGATTAACTGTCAATCTCAAGCATGGGTGTTAAAATTTACGTGAGCGGAATCTCTGCAAGTAAAGAGGTAATTAACTAATTGTCTTGATCATTCCCATTCTTTCACTTGTACCTTTTTGTTTACCTTTTTTTTCCTATTCTTCGGATTCAAGTTGAATGTGTTTCTAAATTTTGATTTTCATTGATTTTCATTCTTCAATTAATCGTATTCTTATTTGCTACCTTATTTCAGGTCAAGAAACACCAGCAACGGGCACAGTTCATTCTTGACTCGTTTAGAATTGAATATGAGAAAATCGATGTGACCGAACCAGGATTTGAGGAGGAGAAACAACGAATGAAGGAAATTTGTAAGCAGAGAAGTGACCAACCTGCTCTTCCTCCTCAGTTCTTCAACGATGATCAATATTGTGGAGTAAGTAAATTATCCAGATAATCAGAATTGGTTGTGAATTTTTTGAGTTAATTTGAATCGCAACTTTTAATCAATTTTTCTTAGAATGAAGATCTTCGATCAACACTATTTACTTAATTCTTAATTCAGTTGATATCATTTTGTTTATTACTTTTTACTTTATTACGGAACTAGGAAAAAGTTCCCCGAATTAGTCACTTACAATTAATCGTTAATTTTTGTTTCATCCATCTATTGAATTTGATATGTTCATAGTGACTTTATTTGGACAAAATGAGTTTACAGTTTTTTATATCGAATCTGGTTATGCTTTATCTAGAGATTAAATTACTAAATGATAACACTAAGCTCGAAACAAAAGGATTTCCTTTGCTTGTTTCATTCTCTAATTTCCGCAGCTTGCTGAATTGATTACGATTATTTCAATAGACATTAAAAGTCTAATCATGTCAAATTTCTGTTTGTTCAGGATTGGATTGACTTCGAAACTGCCAGTGAATTGGATACTCTGCCAGAGTTTTTAAAAATTAAGATGTCCAGTTCGACAATAGAAAAGTCGAAAGAATCAACTGAAGATGAGGAACAAGTAACGGAAACCAAAGAGGAATAAATTAAATCTATGAAAACAATTGTTCTACCCCAAATTATATCCAAATCATTAAACAAGACACGAGTCAATATGATGAACAATTAAAAGCGAAATTTCAAAATTTGTCAATATGCCTGACCAGCTTTCATTTATGAGGACCAAAGGCCGAGAAACAATTTGAATCTAACCTACACTGTACATCTTTGGTCTTCAGATTTAAGAATAAACTTAAGAAAAATCTATGAAATGAGACAAAACATAAAAAAACTCACTATACAGTAATCACTTATCGTTAACTATGAATATACTTAAAATAAAATGGTGATTATTGATAGCCGCGATTAATAGTTCATTTGAATGTTAACTTTTGTCAAGATAGAGACATAAATAATCGGAAGGAAAAAGGAACAATAAAAAGCTGGAAATTACCAAGTCAGAAATTAAGTAAAAATTTTGCAATTTTGAGTCTTTACTATTCGAACATGAAAGGTATCTCTTAAATTAAGGTAAAAATTTGGCCATTGAAACGATGTCGCTCTTTGTTAGACTTTAACTAATAAAATTGAACAGACATAACACTGACTGTTCAGTAAGCACTAATTTTTATCTACAAATATATTGAAAATAAAATTACGATTCGTGAGAATATTAATTGTTTATTTAGATTTTTGCTATTATGAAGATATAAACATAAATAACTGGCAGGAAATGAAAGCAAAAAATACTCATGAGAAAAATTTAATCAGAAGATTTTGTAGTTCTTTCCATTGATATTCTAGATTTTCCTAAACTTTAGTTTTATTAAGTTTTTTCAAGAATAAATTTAAGTGTACCTAGTTAACTCATTGATTGATTGAAGTTATCCAATGGAAATAAAAGTCTTCAGTATCTCAAGATTGCAGAGAATCGAAAAATTATGAATAGCAGAAACAATGGAGTTTAGTTTTGTCAATAATTTGGTTCGGTTAATCTCGTGTCTCGTTAAATCACTTGAAAGGTCGCAATCAATTTAGTTACTATTCTAATGCTCATTAATCATATGCACATTAAATCATCAATATACTGTAAGTGACGATCAATGATGTTCATTCTAAAGGGTGTTAGATCAATAGGTAAACGATAGTATCTTGATCTCTTGCGAGTAATTATCCAGATGAAATTGTCTCCAATTTTATTACCAAAATCAATAGATAATCTTAAAGTTCATAAAAAGGATCCAAAGTAAAATAATCGTGAAATATTCCACCTAAAACTTTCTTAAATTTCGAGTTAACATGAAACCTTTGAACTATTAAAAGTCTTTCGCGACTTTAGCTGAAATGTAATGTTGATTTTATGCAAACAGATCAAGACGGTTCTCACTATTACCTCTCATTTAAAATCTCGAATTTCTGATACAATCTCTTTTTTAAGTCTATGTAGACATTAATTTCGTCTTATTTTATCAGTTAAATCAAAATTATCTAAGGACAAAAATGTCTTGAGAAACTCAAAAACACTATGACTGACCATCAAAAGAATACTATCAATATTACTTTGTATCGTTTCTTTACTCCTTCGAACAGTATTTGCATTCGTAAGAGAGGATCTTTTTCATAAAAACTAATGAATTTTTTGCCTCCATGATAAGATTTTCAGAATTTTCTTCATTGATGAGCCTTTTTCTTGCTGGAGTTTCGTATTTTTTTGACAAGTACAAAAAGAAGTTCAGACATTTAGAAAATTTCGAACAGGTCTTGTCAAAAAGTTGTTTAAACGTCGAGTGTTTGATGTCATGATTTATACATCGAAAACTCATTCGACTTCGTTGTCACTCTACAATGTGAGATTTTGTTTTTCTTTAATTTAAATTGAATCAAATCAATCGATGACTCAAAGCATGGAAAGAGTTTTTTATTTCCAAGGTAATCGTTACGACCACCACAATGTTAGGAAAGATATTATCTCACCTCAAGATACCAAAAGTCATATCAAGACCTTTGAACGCGATATCTAAGTCTTAAAGGATACCAGTTAACTTTTTTGACATAATATAAACTCATCTAAGTAAATATTGATCGTTTATCTTAATTAGCCATTTGATAGAAAAATTGATATCAAACACCAGGATTGGTAACTATCAAGCCCGTTCGACTCCTCTTATGATCAAGCCAACCAATAATTTTTCTACCCAAATGTTGCATCAATGGTAATAAAATTGGCCAATCAAGCGATCAATGTAAAAATCTGTGAAAATAAATAATCGTTTAATTATTATCACGTATAGCTGATTAATTGATATAAGAGTGAACTTACCAAACAAGTTGAAATCAATGATTCGAAAAGTTTTATTATATTTGAACAGAATAAGAAGTTCAGTTCAATGAATTACTCAGTGAGTAATGAGAACAAATCAATAGAAATGGATTAGTTGTTATTAATAACCATTAAGGGAATGTTATTAAATTAGGAAACTTCGAATGAGAAATTTTTTATATAAGTTATCGCATATTATGTTATCTAAGTGTATTTCCCATTGCAGTTGTAAAATGATTTGAATAATAATAAATTAATACGGATACAAGTTGATTCACGCGCGACATTACGAGGTAAACTGATAGAGTGATGGTTACATTGAATGAAAATGATTGGTAAGAAAATTGAAATTAGATAATATCAACCGACACCTGAATTGATTAAAAATTTGTTACGACTAATAATTGTCACGATTAGCAAATATTTTGATTGATAACCTTCACTAATTGATTTAGATGTACCATGTTAAATATATTGTACTTTGTATCTAAATCAAAAAGATCATTTTCCAATCGTAATGGTTAAATTTCATCAAATATATTTAGTTTTGTTCAAAGCCCTTTCGGGATTATCAGGATCCAAAACTCGTTCCCAATTCTGACCAACAACGAAACCTAAATTTCTCATTTTTTGTTGATTTTTTCTTTCTTCGACATCAGCCCATCGAACCTGAAGATAGAAAAGATTATTAGTTATACTCGAACAGTAAAGGAACAAATAAACTAAAATATGGAATAAAATTAAGAATAAAATTAAGGTACGAAAGTCATTCTGATACTCACTCTCTTCTTGTTGGGCTGATGATCGTCATCATCATCAGGTAATTGTAAGTATTCATCCATGGTTATTTTACGCTTCACTTTGAAACTGTCCAATCGATCTAAGAAGAATAGGTAAGTTCGAATTGAGAGCTGAAATTGCTACGATTTTGATTACTCACCATGATCTACTTTCGACGATTCTTCTAATTGTTCCCAACGACTTTTGCTCGACTGGATTTGTATAAGTTAAATGTTTTGTAAAGGAAAGGGAGTGACAGGAAGTGTCAGTTTTAATAATCTAAAGATTCATCGGTATCAATGAATTTTTCAAATGAATTATTGCAAAGTAATTATATCAGAACCACTGGGATTGTGCCAGTGAATTAAATTCAGAAAAATTTTAAATCAAGAACAAGTTTTTCATTCAGAATACCCTCCGATTTTAGATTCGACTATGAAAGTATAAATTTAAACATTGACATCGATTAGCATTTTACCTTCTCTTTAGCCTCAACTTCATCGCGACTTGGATTTACGCCTAAGGCAAGTTTCTTCTTGATTATATCGTCTTCTTGGGATTCAGGGTTTTGTCGTTTTTCAACCATATTTGACTCGGAAGAAGATGCCAATGCCTTAATAAGAAATAAAAAATTGCAACCAATCAAATCATTAAACTTAATCAGCTGAAAGCTTACCTCTTCTTGTGAAATCTTGTTTAAGAAACTCATAAATTCGAGTTTTATGTAATTTTCTGGAGTTTTATTCCACTTTTCTGATAATTTTTTGATATCAGCCAATGAGCGATTATGAACGTTCATCTTAACGCAACTTTTCGGGTCTTTGTCATTCATTTCACAAATATAGACGGTAAATCCTTTGGAAGATGCATGAGACTGAAATTCGTGAAAATGAGGTACTAAGCAATTTATCGCATCCACAATAATGAACTTGAAATAAGGAGCATCGGCTGTTTTCTTGAAAGCTTTCAAGAGACTTTCTCTATAACTCTCTTCCAAAGATTCCTCATATTCGTAAACAAACTCTTTAGCTTTTATCTGTTTTCCATTCTCATCGGTCACAACAATATCTTTTTCGACCATAAAATAATCATCGATTGAAAGTATTCTCGGCGCAGAGCCACAATGTTCAGCTTCTTTATCTCTGATCAGTTTAGCAAGATGCGTTTTACCTGAGCCAGGTAAACCTCTCAAAATGATAACGATCTTTTTAGGTCTAAAATCACGAGTTGGTGGATAAAGTAGCTCTTCTAAAGATACTAATTTTGATGGGGGTGAAGTATAATACTCTTCGTCTGTATTGGTGAGCTCTTTGACTGGTATCTCGAATCGTTGAGGTCTTTGGATTGGTGGTAAGAGACGAGTAGGTGGATAAACTTGATTGGGTCTTTGAGGCGGAATAGGAGAGCCTGTAAACTGAGATCCTCTAGCCTGAGGTCGAAAACTCGGTCTTTCATTGAAAGACGGTCTTAGTGGTGGCCGATTTGACATCGAACTGAAGTTGAAACCTTGAGCGGCCAGTGAATCATGAGAAGGACCACGATTGAATGGTGGTGGTTGTCGAATCCCTCCTCGTGGACCCTGATAGATGTATGGATGAGATAAATTGCGTATTCCAGGTTGATTCGAGGTTTGAGGTGAAGAAAATCGATTAAACATCTTAGAAGGATCTTCCGAGGTTGAACCAACGATTGAGGGTGACCCATGATCATAGTGGATTGTTTTGGCCACATAAGCAGGTCTTGACCGAGAAATTTGATTGTCATTTTTATGATAACTCTCAGGGTGATGTCTTTCATGATTATCATCTCTAAAATAAGAGAAGTTAAAAATAGATTAGTGGTTGATTGATCACAAATACAAAAAACGCGAAAATATGAAAGTAGAAACTCTTACCTTCGACTGGCACCAAGAGTTTGATTTTTCGAGAAATGGTGAGATCGCTGAGGACTAGAATCAATTTGTTCAATTATAGTCGTAAGACCTTCGGTGCTGATTTTTTCTCTGGTTTGGAATGTCCTTGATTGATGTTGCTGAGCGTTTTGTTGGTGCTTCAAAATGTTGGTGTGATCATTTTCTAGATTTGATGGTTGAGAAGCTTGTTGATCAATTGGTTTAATTGATTTCATTTGATTCATGACTCCAGTCAAATCAAAAGGTTTATTTTGTTTATCATTCACAACTTGTTCTATCAGAATGTCTTCTTCGGAGTCACTATCACTGATCAAATTTGATTTTTTTACTAAATCATTTTGATTTGAACTGTTTTGTGACTCTCTGAACTTCGGATAATCTTGTTGATCGCGTCTTGATGATAATCTATCAAAACTTTCGGGAGCTTTTCTTTCAGTACTGTGAACACTTTCATTTGTTTTTCTTCTCTCAAGAGAATCTTGGTTAGAACAAGTACCTGAATTCTTAGAAAGGTTCAGGACATTTTCATTTGAACAACCAGTATCTAAACGCGTCGGTGTCTCTCCTGTAAGATCAATTGTTGGCAAAGTTTTTTTGGAGTGAGAATCATTATCCAAATCATCATTATCTAAATATTTTCCAAGACCAGGAATCTTTTGACTAGCTCGTTTAACAATATCATCCATGTTATTAGTAGATGAGGATGAATATTGTGATTTGTCGGATGCTGGTGGTTGGGATTTTGGAGGTTTATCTTTTGATTCAACCGACACCGATTGAGTTGACATTGATGATGATGATGTTGATGGTGGAGGCGGTGGTGGAGGAGGAGGTGGTGGTGGCGGCGGTGGAGGAGGTGGTGGTGGTGGAGCAGCAAGCAGATGAGGATACATGACTGGGGCATGTAGACGTGCATTCCAAGCCTGTAAATTAAGCTGCCCTGGAGCACTAATCAATCCAGAATTAGTTTGTGGTAGATTTGAATGAATGGGTTGAGTTGGGTGAATCTGAGACTGAGCCATTTGAGTATTTGCATTCATCAAATGTAAGGGTATAGATCCTGGATAGACATGTTGTGGAGGAACCACTAAACGCAAAGAAATGAGGAAAAAAAACAATTATCACCCATGAGAAATGATTATAAATGGAATCAGAAAGAAATGGAATCCTTATGAAAGAATCAATTTACTTGGTGTGAATCTTGGTTGATATGGCACAGCAGTTGGTAGCCTTTGACCAGTAAAATAATGAGAACTTGGGTCAACCGGACGATTGAAAGATTGGTATTGATTATAAAAGTGAGCAGGTTGTGATATCACCTGAGGATTAGAAGGAGCATAATTTGGTTGCGGTGGTGGTAATTGGTTAACATTTTGGATACTTTGTCTTTTCTGCTCCTTTTGATTCGATGCTTGTGATTTCAACTGAATTAGTGTTAATTTGTAAAGCCTTTGCATCTGATCTTTTTGGGCCAATAGTTTATTTTTCCATTCTTCCCATTGTTGACCATATTCTCGATAAGATTTGGGATCACTATAATTGATATTAGCTTTTCTCCAAGCTTCCAGTTCCCGTTGCCATTCAAGGTATTGAATATCAAATTCTTGTTGCTGATTTTTAAGATCACTCAAAACCTTTTGTTGTGTTGGATTAAGATAATCAACCCAATTCGGATCTTCAAACTCGTCAATCATGTTGGTTGAAGCCATTGGTCCCTGAAACAGAAAAGAGAAATAAATTTATAATCATCGTCTGATTAGTACAATTGCTATCAACTGGTGGCAACAATATACGAAGACCATTATAGATCGTGACATTATCTCTGATGATGTCGAGAAGCTTTTCAAAAGTAATAACTATTGATACTATTTAACCAGGAGACGAATACATTATGAGGCTTTCACTTCACGGAAAAATCTTAAATCTCAGTAGCAACAAAGTGAATGGCCAGATAATATTTGATCACACAGAGCCAATGAAATACTTTACCTTTTTTATACATTTACTGGTCGGTCAGTATCAATAAAATTATCTATCGATGGTGGAAAATAATTGCACCGATAAATATGAATTTATTTGGAATATTAAATTTACTGTTTTCTGCTCAAAGTAAATGATGAAGTAAAAAATTTTTGCTTGATAGCCGATGAAGCGATAAATGTTATGAGAGAGACTCTAGGTATTCACAGCGACAGGAGATGAGTGTCCTCAGTTCACTTAGTTTGTTATAACAATTGTTTTAATTATTAAATTCGATGAAAATGGTTTAAACTGGGAATATAAATCATCAACAAACAAAAAAATGTAACTGACAAGCCGATTGAACAAAAAATCGTTTGATGCAATCGATTGAATGATCGATCAAATGGGTGAAAAATAATCGAGCTACAAATAATCTATAAACTATTTAATCGATCTCATTTTCGATAAAATCTTTAAAAAACTTCAAATTCGAGCCATAAATGCACAATAACTAATACAGTAGATTTAGAATACGAAATTTACTGAGGTTTGAGTTATATTATATTTCAACATGATAATATTTTTAAGTCTCTCTAGTTTAGATCTACCAGTTATAAACTGCACAAAAGTTCGAGTTTTAATAGTAAATATCATGGTAAATGAGAATCAGTATTAATCACGTTGCTTTTGTTTCATTTTCTTTTATTCATCTTTCGTAGATTTTGAATTTGAAATTTACTGAGGTTTCAACTCACCTTAGTTTTCTTGCATTGAATTCAGCTCTCGAAGCTTTGACTAAATCTAAAGATACTATCATCTAGTCATTTGCAAATCATCAATCAAATATGGAAAAGATAAACTTGGAGTTCAATTGGAATCAATCAAAATGCTTAAAAACAGACTAAATCTCAAGACACACATAATTAATTAACTTTAAGTGTACAGATTATGTGGTTTCAACTAATTTTAATCTAATTTGATAGTAAATTTGATTGTGGTTTAACAATTAGATCTAATCGTATGTTTCTCTGTTTTCAAAGATTATTACTAAAAACCACATAAAAGTTTAGTTTCAATGGCGAAAAGAGATTTTAATTCAAGTATTGAAATGTAAAGACAAATTTGGACTCGGAAAAAGTTTCTAATTGGTTTAGCCTTTGATTAAGCTTTCATTTTGTATTTCGAGTTTAATTCAGTCATAACTTTGAACGGAAAATAGTCAAAGATAACTTTGTACTTTAATAAAATTAATTGAATAATATTGAACAAATCGAATCAGTACTATGACTCTATTCATATTGGGACGGGAACGATCAACAGCTTAAGAAATTTCTTCATGAAACAAAAGTAAAATTAATTCAACTGATTATTAATCTTTATTGTTACTTTTCTCATCAAATTAATCTTTGGTTTTAACTTTTCAAATACTTTAATCCATTTCAAAATAATAGCTCTTGATATTAATAGAGAAAACAACATCAAACAATTGATTTATTGTAAGATCAGTCAACGCTTATTGAATTGAATTCTGTTCGATTTTGCCTTCAAAGTTCTCAATTCAATCAAACAAAATGCCTCATATTCGTACATGAAAGGATTTTCTTATCTCGATGTAAAAATTTGACCATCGAATTATTTCGATCTTTGTAAGACATACTGTGTTAGACTCTACCTGCTAACAAATTAGCTCAAGTAAACTACTGGTCAATAATACTAATTTTCGATATTTTGTTAATTAATTTAAATTTCTTCTCAAGTCAATTCCTAACATGAACCAAAATAACAAAATCATATGTTCATGAATCTTTGCTGATTCATTAAGATAAACAGAATAAACTATTAATTCAATTACTTATTGTCAATTAGTATTTCAACTTGACAAAATTTGTCAAGTTTTTAATTTCTCAGCACAATGAAGGGAAAATATCAAACATTTTGTTCATAGAAAAAACATTGTACCTGGTGATTCGTATTGCTCTTTTTTGATTAAAAAAAATACACTGATACCAATTCCAACATATCTTGCCAGTTTCGTAGCCTCAATACTATTAGAAGCCTAAAATGAAAGATTACATTTCCCACGCACCAGTTGTAACCGCAAAAACATCTTATGTCCCAAAACTAATTCATTCGATCTGAAACTTTGTCAATCAACTTATTAATTAAACGATGAATGAGCTAATATGAATGAATATACCTTACCAGCTTTCATACAAGAGAACCAAAGGCCAGAAAACGATTTGATACCCAACTACATCTTTTGTTTATCAAATTCAAAAATAAACTTAAGAACTTGAGAAAAATCTATTAAATAGGAAAAAACTTTTAAACTCACGTTGCAGTTGTAATTAATTGTAACGTACAAAAATATTAAAAAAGACGATTATTGAGAGCTATGATTAATAATTTATTTGGATATTTGCTTTTTTCAGGATACCGATATGAATAACAGGCAATTAAAATCAGAAAATCATAAATGCAAAAAAATAATGGTAAAGTTTTTGCAATTTTGGGTCTTTTCTATTTGTAAATGTAAGTTTTTCTTAAACTTAGGTAAAATAGGCCCATTGAAACTATGTCAATCTTCGTTAGACTTTACCTAATTAAAATATACAGAAAATAATACTTACTAATTTTTGTCTACAAATATATTGAAAAAATGACAATTCGTAAAAATATTGTTTGTTTATTTGAATTTTTGGTATTATAATATATAAAATAAATAAATGATAGGAAATGGAAGCAATAAAATACTCGTGAGAAAAATTTAAGCGGAAGGTATCGTAATATTTTCCATTTATATTCTAGATTCTACGTAACTTTTAACTTCTAACGTTTTATTTAGTTTTTTTCAAAGATAAAATTAGCTAATTGATTGAAGTTATCAAATGAAGAGAAAACACAGAGATAAAATATATTAATAATAAGAAAATTATGTAGAAAGTTCCCATTTTAAGATTTTTCACAAACTCAATTATTTAGTTCGATGTAACTAGAGACGAATTCTTCATAAATCTTTTATTGGTTAGATAAATGTTTCATATATCAAATGCAACCCATAATTATGGTTTTTCTTTCAGAAATAGTTTTACATTCAAAAAATCTCGAGTATAATTGATTTGATTTGTCGAAAGTTTATCATTTATTTGAGAAATTTTAAGAACAGGTAAGAAACGCTTAGATCATAAATGACTTGGTTTTGCCAATAATTTGATTCGGTTAATCTCATTTCTCGTTGCATCACTTAAAAGCTATCAGTTTAGTTAATATTCTAATGCTCATTAATAAATTATCACTATGTGGACATTGCCTTTCGTCATATTTAATTCAATAAAAATTAGCTGAAGACAAAACATTGGATTGACTACGAAAAAATAAAATCGTAAAAATCTTCCTCATTGTATTTCTTGTCACAGTATAAGAGATATTACCATGTTCAAGTTATCCAGCCGTGAAAAATGAGTCTCAATTGATTTTTAAATCCATCAGTGATTGTGACCAATTCATTGGACAATAATTTTTCATGGCTGTATTAATATGTTTTCCCATAATAATATTTTTAAGTCGCACTAGCTTACCTAACCTGATCCTCCAGTTTAAAATTGTACAAAATTTCAAGTTTCAATAGTTAATATCATGGTAAATGAGCATCAATATTAATCACGTGGCTTTTGTTAGATTTTCTTTTATTCATCTTCCGTAGATTGTTCAAAATGCATCTCATCTCAATAAATCACCAATAATTTTCTCCGAACAGAAATTTCTGCTAAAACTTTTGTCATTCCTCGTAAAGGGTGTTTGTTAGATCAATAGGTAAACGATAGTATCTTGATCTCTTGCGAGCAATTATCCAGATGAAATTGTCTCCAATTTTATTACCAAAATCAATAGATAATCTTAAAGTTCATAAAACGGATCCAAAGTAAAATAATCGTGAAATATTCCACCTAAAACTTTCTTAAATCTTGAGTTAACATGAAACCTTTGAACTATTAAAAGTCTTTCGCGACTTTAGCTGAAATGTAACTGTTGTAATCTCTTTTTTAAGTCTATGTAGACATTACTTTCGTCTTATTTTATCAGTTAAATCAAAATTATCTAAGGACAAAAATGTCTTGAGAAAATCAAAAACACTATGACTGACCATCAAAAGACTACTATCAATATTACTTTGTATCGTTTCTTTACTCCTTCGAACAGTATTTGCATTCGTAAGAGAGGATCTTTTTCATAAAAACTAATGAATTTTTTGCGTCCATGATAAGATTTTCATTCATTGATGAGGCTTTTTCTTGCTGGAGTTTTGTATTTTTTTGACAAGTATAAAAACAAGTTGTAAAAATCTTCTTCGTTGTATTTCTTGTCTCTTCTAATACAAGAAATGGTACAAATTCTAAGAGACATTACGAGGTTTGAGTTATATTATATTTCAACATGATAATATTTTTAAGTCTCTCTAGTTTAGATCTACCAGTTATAAACTGCACAAAAGTTCGAGTTTTAATAGTAAATATCATGGTAAATGAGAATCAGTATTAATCACGTTGCTTTTGTTTCATTTTCTTTTATTCATCTTTCGTAGATTTTGAATTTGAAATTTACTGAGGTTTCAACTCACCTTAGTTTTCTTGCATTGAATTCAGCTCTCGAAGCTTTGACTAAATCTAAAGATACTATCATCTAGTCATTTGCAAATCATCAATCAAATATGGAAAAGATAAACTTGGAGTTCAATTGGAATCAATCAAAATGCTTAAAAACAGACTAAATCTCAAGACACACATAATTAATTAACTTTAAGTGTACAGATTATGTGGTTTCAACTAATTTTAATCTAATTTGATAGTAAATTTGATTGTGGTTTAACAATTAGATCTAATCGTATGTTTCTCTGTTTTCAAAGATTATTACTAAAAACCACATAAAAGTTTAGTTTCAATGGCGAAAAAGAGATTTTTAATTCAAGTATTGAAATGTAAAGACAAATTTGGACTCGGAAAAAGTTTCTAATTGGTTTAGCCTTTGATTAATCTTTCATTTTGTATTTCGAGTTTAATTCAGTCATAACTTTGAACGGAAAATAGTCAAAGATAACTTTGTACTTTAATAAAATTAATTGAATAATATTGAACAAATCGAATCAGTACTATGACTCTATTCATATTGGGACGGGAACGATCCCTTGTACCTTGGTGATTCGTATTGCTCTTTTTCGATTAAAAAAATACACTGATACCAATTCCAACATATCTTGCCAGTTTCGTAGCCTCAATACTATTAGAAGCCTAAAATGAAAGATTACATTTCCCACGCACCAGTTGTAACCGCAAAAACATCTTATGTCCCAAAACTAATTCATTCGATCTGAAACTTTGTCAATCAACTTATTAATTAAACGATGAATGAGACAGAAAAGAACATAAATTATATTAAAATTAAATTTAATCAGGATAATAGGGAAAGTAAAGACTAAAAAATTTCCATAGTAAATCTTAACTTCAAAAAAGAAAAGTAAATCCAATGTCATTTTCGTACTTACAGTAAAAAGCATCAATTTCTTATGATATGATTCTCGTGGATTATCAAACCAATTTTCTTTCTTGGGTACAGTTTTTCAAAAAGTTGAATAGATTAACTGCCTTCCGAATGTTCGAGATGAACTTATCTATTATTGTAATTATCTTTTCGAAGTGTTTGTAGATTACCGTTTTCTTAGTTTCGGTTATATTTGCATATCTTATTAATTTCATTCAAACAGATCAAGGCGATTCTCACTGTTACCTCTCATTTAAAATCTCGCTTTTCTGATAAAATTTATTCAATAGAAGATTATTAAAAAAACTTTTACTATAAAATTAATTGATAAAGTTGAAGTTTCACATAATCACTTGTCGTAACAATTTTTAAACATCTTTTTGTTTATCTCGACATGTAGACTAACCTAGTTATGATACATTTATGGCACAATAACTCCTGTGACATTTTGGTAAAACATATAAAACATTATCTTTAAAAACGGGATTGATTTGTTTTTTTCCTCATTATTTCTCATATCACATCTTAACCATGTTTAATTTCAATAACGAATTTCTCACTTTGGCTACTCAATTTTTCTACAAAAGTTATTGAAAACGTCTTTGAAAAGCACCGAAAAATCCAAAGACATTTTCATACTTAGTAAAAAGCATCAATTTCTCTCATGATATAATTCTCGTGGATTATCAATCCAATATTCTTTCTTCGGTAGATTTTTCAAAAATGAATTATTTAGTTCGATGTAACCAGAGACGAAATACAATTTCATAAATCTTTTATTGGCTAGATAAATGTTTCATTAATTAAATACACTCCATAATCATGGTTTTTCATTCAGAAAAATCAGTTGAAATTCCAATAATGATAAGTAAAATAAATTGGATTCATTGGAAATTTATCATGAAAGAACAGGTAAAGAAACGATGAGATCATAAATGAACTTGATTGATATCTTCAGGTCAAATTTACTCAAAAGCTCTACGATGAAGTTATACAATTGAGATAAAAGTCTTCAGTATCTCAAGATTGTAGAGAATCAAAAAATTATGAATAGCAGAAACAAATGGAGTTTAGTTTTGTCAATAATTTGGTTCGGTTAATCTCGTGTCTCGATAAATCACTTGAACGGTCGCAATAAATTTAGTTAGTATTCTAATGCTTATTAATCATATGCACATTAAATCATCAATATACAGTAAGTGACGATCAATGATGTTCATCCAGAAAAAGATAAAGTCATAATTAGTCTTATATTAATAATATGAAGCCGAAACTCTTAACGAGATGATTGTTATTAATTCCATTTCAAAATGCATCTCATCTCAATAAATCACCAATAATTTTCTTCGAACAGAAATTTCTGCTAAAACTTTTGTCATTCCTCGTAAAGGGTGTTTGTTAGATCAATAGGTAAACGATAGTATCTTGATCTCTTGCGAGCAATTATCCAGATGAAATTGTCTCCAATTTTATTACCAAAGTCAATAGATAATCTTAAAGTTCATAAAACGGATCCAAAGTAAAATAATCGCGAAATATTCCACCTAAAACTTTCTTAAATCTCGAGTTAACATGAAACCTTTGAACTATTAAGTGTCGATTGATTTTATGCAAACAGATCAAGACGGTTCTCACTATTACCTCTCATTTAAAATCTCGATTTTCTGATACAATTTATTCAATAGAAGATTATCAAAAAAACCTTTACTATATAAATTGATAAAGTTGAAGTTTCACATAATCACTTTTCATAAGTTTTCTTAGTTTAAAACATCTTTTAGTTTATCTCGACATGTAGACTAACCTACTTATGACGCAGTTATGGCACGATAATTGCTGTGACATTTCGGTAAAATAAAAACTGTAAGAGCTCTTGTAAGTAAAGTAAATTCATTCAAACACGATTTCATAGTACATCTTCACTTCAATAGAAACGGAACTGTGGATATCCTTGTCTGCTAATTTTAATCTAAATTCAATCGATCAGTATAGTTTATAAAGCAAAAGTTTTTTCAATCCTTCCAACATACGAAAAGTTTTATTGTAAGATTAATCTCTGAGGCTATCAGATATCTTTTCTTAGAAAAAGAAATTGCCATCTAGTCATTAATCCGACAACGAAATGTCAAACAAATCAATGATTCTCTATAAGCACGAGATTGAATTTTTTTTCCTCATTATTTCTCATATCACATCTTAACCATGTTTAATTTCAATTAAGGCACAAATTACTATTGAATTTGTCTTCTTTTTTCGTTTGTACAATCATCAGAAAAAATTTTTCGACAATCATCAATTTCCACTTTAGATAAAAAAAATTCCTGGACAATCCGATCGATATATTAGGGCAAGCATTATGTCTAGTGGTTAAAACTTTTTATAAGTGAATCTACTCTCATTAATCACGAACTATTAATAGTATTAATAATAAAATATTCATCAAGTTTCAATGAAAAAGATTCTCACTCTGTAGTCTAGAAAAATTCAATCGATTTCATTTTTGGACGTTTTTTCGAAAAATTCAGTCAATGCATATTCTCTTCCATTGAAAATATTCAAAACTTGGAAAGCTTCGGCTCGACTTAATAGAAATATCATCCAGATTATAATAATGTTGATAATATGAAATTCAAGAAATGAAAGTACTCTAATAATCTCATTCTACCATAAATTAATAAAGCTCAAGTTATTCGATTTCCATTCTAAATTGAAAATAAAAAGCCCACTTTTGATCGCTTGAATTTATCAGCGAGAAGAAACAAAATCAACAAGAATTAATAATAAATATACATAATTTAACATTTTTCTTAATGATGAATTATGAGTTATTGAATGAATGTAAAAGTTTTATCTAATTAATGAGTAAATGAAAATTTATTCGCTTACATGTGAAGATCTGGTGATAATGCTGAATCTGAATATACGTTATTCTTGGATCATTCGAACTCGAATACTATTGTAAAAATTAACTGATCTTAATTCACTCTTTCGTCTAGAGTGCTAATTATAGTTAGAGTATAAGATATTATATTAATAATAATAATTTCTACTATTTTACTTTTAGAAGCAAAGTATTAATTTGATGGAAAATTATATTAAAAGCAAAGCTTGAATGGCTGAAATGAAACTTAATTACAACAAATCGAAAAGAACTTAAAAGTAAATGATGTTTAATCATGAGCCTTGATTTAAGTTGTATTGATAATTATAATTCACTAAGCAGATAACAAATTTGATAAAGATAAATTGACAATTAACTTTTTTGATCTCGCAAACTCAAATGAGTGAGAGAGCTGAAAATAAGACGATTAAGCTATTGTAATGACGATACACTTGAAGGTTCGTTGATTTTGTTCAATCTATTCAGATAAGAAAATTTGTTTGATTGATAAAAACAGTTAATTTACATAAGTTAATAATAATAACGATAAGAAACTTAATCATCTTCCAAATAATTCTAAATTCATATTTTCACCTCGTCTTTTTTCGTTTGGTGGAGCAAACGATCTTAATGTTTTCGGATGATTTTTGGATGAATTTAGCTAATAGAGGAGATGACGGTTGATTCACATAGCAGAATGAGGATTTTCTTTCACATTCAAATCCTTTTTTACATTCAATGACAATGTTATTGAACTTAAGTTGTAAATAAATAGAATTGATAAAGATGAGATTATATTTAAAGACGAAATGACTAGATGATTATTTCTTTTCTGGTTAAAATACAAAGACAAAAATAAAATAATCGACAGTCACATAGATAAAAAGCTCGAATGATAATATGAACGCCATTTAGAGCTTAGTTTCTCCTTAAAGTATATTCTCGTGTCTGTCTATCGTAAGTTGATTTGGAATATTAATATAGTGAAGTTGATTCAATTCACTGATATATTCTTTGAACATAACATTGTATTGATATTCAGGTTAGAATGCAGAATTGATGTTTGTCAAACCAGTTTAACCTCATTATATCAATAATTAAAATTTCTTATTTCTCATTCCATTCTTAGTCTCTTTGTTATATTTGCTCACAATTATATCGACATCGCTAAAAAAATTGAGAACATTAAACTTAACTTAACTTGAATTGAAGAAAATTTAAAACTTTCGTTCTGTACATGCATATCCATCTGGACAATTTACTCGTGATGATCTTATCTTAACACAAAAGCTACAATAACACGGTGAATATTTTTTTCGAGAAATTCTAACTTCTTTTTGTACTTGTGAAAAAAAACAAAAATTTTTTGAAAAAATCGAAAATAGCGGAGAGTTTAAAAAGGATTTTAACGTGAAGAAAAATCGTCACTGTTTTAAGTGAATAAACCGTCATTCTATGTGATTACTGTGATTGAAAGTTCTAGTAAATTGTATCTTCTATCTGGATGCTACATAGTAAACGAAAAGATCCATTAAAAGATTGTCCATCTCTTAAATTATGTTACCCTGTTAACAAATTCTACTATTGATGGAATACATTACATATGATTCTATCCTTTGAACAAGTTATTGTTATCTTCATAATGTGATATCGATTTTGCTGTCATTCGATGTTGCATCTTGAAGATTATCATGATCACAATGGCTAAAATCAATATAATAGTTTTACATATGTTTCTGTCGAATTTCTTCCGATCTAATTTACAAATCAACGAAATTTTGGTGATTTTTCAGTTCTGAACTCAATCTAAGACAGTCCCGCTCTGCCGCTAAAACTTTAGCCAAAAAACATTTACTTTTCTCTTGTCTCTCGTAAGTTTAATTTTTGCTATAGAGTTTACAATTTAGGCTTTAAATTATCAAATGAAGATGATTTATTGTTGAAGGTAAAATTAATGATGTTATACTCGCATCAATTAGGAGCTATTTTGAAATGGATTAAAGTATTTGAAAAGTTAAAACCAAAGATTAATTTGATGAGAAAAGTAACAATAAAGATTAATAATCAGTTGAATTAATTTTACTTTTGTTTCATGAAGAAATTTCTTAAGCTGTTGATCGTTCCCGTCCCAATATGAATAGAGCCATAGTACTGATTCGATTTGTTCAATATTATTCAATTAATTTTATTAAAGTACAAAGTTATCTTTGACTATTTTCCGTTCAAAGTTATGACTGAATTAAACTCGAAATACAAAATGAAAGCTTAATCAAAGGCTAAACCAATTAGAAACTTTTTCCGAGTCCAAATTTGTCTTTACATTTCAATACTTGAATTAAAAATCTCTTTTTCGCCATTGAAACTAAACTTTTATGTGGTTTTTAGTAATAATCTTTGAAAACAGAGAAACATACGATTAGATCTAATTGTTAAACCACAATCAAATTTACTATCAAATTAGATTAAAATTAGTTGAAACCACATAATCTGTACACTTAAAGTTAATTAATTATGTGTGTCTTGAGATTTAGTCTGTTTTTAAGCATTTTGATTGATTCCAATTGAACTCCAAGTTTATCTTTTCCATATTTGATTGATGATTTGCAAATGACTAGATGATAGTATCTTTAGATTTAGTCAAAGCTTCGAGAGCTGAATTCAATGCAAGAAAACTAAGGTGAGTTGAAACCTCAGTAAATTTCAAATTCAAAATCTACGAAAGATGAATAAAAGAAAATGAAACAAAAGCAACGTGATTAATACTGATTCTCATTTACCATGATATTTACTATTAAAACTCGAACTTTTGTGCAGTTTATAACTGGTAGATCTAAACTAGAGAGACTTAAAAATATTATCATGTTGAAATATAATATAACTCAAACCTCGTAATGTCTCTTAGAATTTGTACCATTTCTTGTATTAGAAGAGACAAGAAATACAACGAAGAAGATTTTTACAACTTGTTTTTATACTTGTCAAAAAAATACAAAACTCCAGCAAGAAAAAGCCTCATCAATGAATGAAAATTCTGAAAATCTTATCATGGACGCAAAAAATTCATTAGTTTTTATGAAAAAGATCCTCTCTGACGAATGCAAATACTGTTCGAAGGAGTAAAGAAACGATACAAAGTAATATTGATAGTAGTCTTTTGATGGTCAGTCATAGTGTTTTTGAGTTTCTCAAGACATTTTTGTCCTTAGATAATTTTGATTTAACTGATAAAATAAGACGAAAGTAATGTCTACATAGACTTAAAAAAGAGATTACAACAGTTACATTTCAGCTAAAGTCGCGAAAGACTTTTAATAGTTCAAAGGTTTCATGTTAACTCAAGATTTAAGAAAGTTTTAGGTGGAATATTTCACGATTATTTTACTTTGGATCCGTTTTATGAACTTTAAGATTATCTATTGATTTTGGATATAAAATTGGAGACAATTTCATCTGGATAATTGCTCGCAAGAGATCAAGATACTATCGTTTACCTATTGATCTAACAAACACCCTTTACGAGGAATGACAAAAGTTTTAGCAGAAATTTCTGTTCGAAGAAAATTATTGGTGATTTATTGAGATGAGATGCATTTTGAAATGGAATCAATAACAATCATCTCGTTAAGAGTTTCGGCTTCATATTATTAATATAAGACTAATTATGACTTTATCTTTTTCTGGATGAACATCATTGATCGTCACTTACTGTATATTGATGATTTAATGTGCATATGATTAATAAGCATTAGAATACTAACTAAATTGATTGCGACCTTTCAAATGATTTAACGAGACATGAGATTAACCGAACCAAATTATTGACAAAACTAAACTCCATTGTTTCTGCTATTCATAATTTTTTGATTCTCTACAATCTTGAGATACTGAAGACTTTTATCTCAATTGTATAACTTCATCGTAGAGCTTTTGAGTAAATTTGACTTGAAGATATCAATCAAGTTCATTTATGATCTCATCGTTTCTTTACCTGTTCTTTCAGGATAAATTTCCGATGAATCCAATTTGTTTTACTTATCATTATTGGAATTTCAACTGATTTTTCTGAATGAAAAACCATGATTATGGAGTGTATTTAATTAATGAAACATTTATCTAGCCAATAAAAGATTTATGAAATTTTATTTCGTCTCTGGTTACATCGAACTAAATAATTCATTTTTGAAAAATCTACCGAAGAAAGAATATTGGATTGATAATCCACGAGAATTATATCATGAGAGAAATTGATGCTTTTTACTAAGTATGATGCTGAAGTCTTTTTTCTCCACCAATCAGGAAAAAATGACTCTCCTGTTTGAACCAAGATTCACAAGTTCGTCGATGGATTAGAGCACGATGTTGCTGTGCTTGAGATGATGAGAAGAAATTTTGTCATTCATTCAAATTATTTCATCTCTAATGTCTTCATGTCACATGTTTGTACTGTAGTCTTTAATCTCACTTGGATAACTTCATTGTGGAGCTTTTGAGTAAATTTTACTTTCAGATATTAATAAAGTTTATTTGTGATCTCATCTGATGAGAATAGGTAAAGAAACGGTGAGTCTCATCGTTCATCGTCAGAAATTTCCGATGAATATAATATTATAAATTAATTATACTTTTCATTATTGCTACTGCAAGCAATTAAGTAGCTTCATCCTTGAAAAACTCAACAAAATAAAGTTGAGGAAAATCTAGAATGTGTAAAAAATTACAAAATCTTCCGTTTGAATTTTATTTATAAATATTTTATTGATTCCATTTCCTGCCAGTTATTTATATCTATATCTTTATCTCTATAATGTTTTCACATTAAAATAAACAATTAATGTTCTCACGAAGCGTCATCTTATTGTCAATATATTTGTATATAAAAATTATAGATAGCCAAAAGGAGAAAGCCGTTGCATTATTCTTGGATTATTACTTATTTTTAGACAAATTCGATAAAATTCGTGTCTTTGTTGAAATCAAACACGGTTAAGATTTGATATGAGAAATATTGAGGAAAAAACAAACAATCCCGTGTTTAGTTATGATGGAATATGATGATTAATGAGTAAATTTTGAGAAATATTTGTTGTTATTGATATATTAATTATATAATCATAATATTGATGAAATCTCAGATCTAAACATCATCTCAATTATGAACAATAAAATTCATTATTTTTATCAAATTGAGAAATTTTAAAGCCAAAATAAAAAAAATAATTCAGGTTATAAATAATCATACAGTAAATCAATTATTTCATGTTGTTCTCTTCACTATTTTATTTAAAATGCTAATTTTGAATGAAAAATCGTCCGCTTGATTCTTCTCATGAATATTTTATTTTATTAATTAGTATTCTATATTTACCAGTTATTTATGTAATATTCTTTAAAACAATAATTGCTAAAATAAACATTGTAGCTTTCGCAGATAGTCATTTTATTTATGAGTAACTACAGCATAGTGCAGGTTTTTATTTTTTTCTATTTTATTAATTTAATAGATTTTGATGAAAGCTCATTCACAAATCTGAAGAGTCATAAACATAACTCATAAACAGTCTAATTTGGATTTAGCATCGATTTATACATTATTTATTTCAACATAATTATATAAAATATTGAATAGGTTATTTGGAATGGAACAAATGATCTATCTATAATTTTTAATCCGATTAACAATTAAATCAGTAGAAAATGGCGCTAATTTTATTTGATCAGCATTTTAATTTCTCAATCTGGAGTAAGAAGTGAAGATGAACCGACAATTTTAATATCAGCTAGAGGTTGATCTTTGATTGATAGTCGAACTAAATTGCCATTGATTGACTGCATTCGGTTAATTTTACCAAGAATATGGCAAAGAGTTTCCTTTGGTTGATCACTAAAATTAAGACTTGATTCCAAATAACGTTGAAGTAAATAAATGTAAGCACAGTACTCCAATCTATTGAAAATAATGAACGAAAAGATTAAAGAATTTTTCTTAAAAATAGACTATCATTACCTTATTGCCTCCGGTGACTTGAGATTTGGTAGGTTACAATTGAACAGCATTATAACAATAATGAGTTGGTTGATGATTACATTGTTTCTCCAAATTGGACTAAGAGTTCTCGCAAACTCAAGATAATCCTCGTAAAACGATTTGTCAAATCGCTCTATGTCTTCGAATTTAACTGTCATTTTGGTTCCTTTTATCTATAATTTTCAATAAATTACATGTATTATTATTATGATGAATTTGCTCACAAGTTCGCTCTAAGTTTGATCGAAGTTTGAACTTTCGCAGTTGAATACAAAGATTTGAAGACCTTAATTTTTAATATTAGCTATTCAATTATCAAAATCTACTGTTAATATAAGATATAACTCAATTGTTCATGTTTTTCATGCTCATTCCATAATTTAATGAGAGATAATTTGCCATTGTAAAATTGGCTCACCACAAAGATTAATGAGCTCCTTCACTCTGAATAATCTCTAACAGGTAATAGATGGCGTTCATAATTGCACTAGTTTCTATGGTTAAGTATTAATAATTGCAATCGAAAGATGGAGAAAGAGCAAAAAAGGTAAAAAAGTCAAGTGATTTCGATAAAGCTTATCAGTGATTTGTTATCATGGGATTTCTGGTTGATGATTTTAATCACTTTTGTTTCTTTGTTATCCCGTAATCAAGATAATCATTTGAACAATTGAACTTCACTAGTTTACTTACCGGCCAAAGTAAATTTTCTACATCAAATAAGAAGATGCCTCTCATCGCCAATATATCGGCATAAGTACCTCGAATTAAATTCATTTGATCTTCGACGGGAAGCTCAGCGTATGCGGTTAACTTCTTGGTCATGGAGAGTAAATAACCGACCGAAACATTGTAACAATCATCAATCAAACTTTCTGCAGTAGTAGTTGGACAAGCCAAAGGTTCGTTAAAAACTCCATAGGCCAAGGTAAGTTCTATTAGTCGAGTCTCTTCCATTGAGTTCAGCGCTAATGTTGCCATGTGCTTTTCGTTTCTCATGTTGATTCGAGTGAAATAAGAGTCAATTATATGATGGAAAACATTCAAACTAACTGCTTTAGATGATTCCGATTGTGAAGATGATAATGATGATGAGGTGGATGTAGATGGTAAGGTTGAAGTAGTTGGTTTTACAAAGTTATCAATTTTTTTATCAATCTCTTCAGTTACCCAGTATTTCATTTGTTTACATAGACTTGGTTCAGGTGTTTTCATTTGATTTTGAATTGACGACGATGATGATGATAAAAGTGGTGGTTCTGTTGATTTTTTAATTGGTGCTATTTCTGGTGTGTTGACTGAGAATGGTGATATTGGTTTGGTAGTTGTTGATGATGAGGCTGATGAAGATGAAGATAATGTTACATGTGAACACAATGGTTTTGGTTGTTGCTTCTTGACTAAATTCTGGTAAACTGGCAAACAATCTGGATCATAACTGTTGATAGTCAACGAATTAACTTTCATTGATACATCATTAGCACCTTTGCTGTCTAAAGCACAAACATCTTGACTTGATCGCTCTGGAGATGAAGTAATTGAGAGAGAAGGAGATGACGAAGCTGATGATTTACCTGTAAAAGTGATAACAGATGATCTTTGTAATGGACTTGATTGAGCTGAATTACGTGAGATCGAACTTCTTGTAGGAGTTTCATTTGCCTTCACAAGATGAGCAAAAAAGTTCTGATCAGAAATCTTATGAAAAAATTGAGCCACTGATTGCCTATTATTATTATCAATCGGTTTATCATTTGTATTTATGTTTACTGAAGTTGAAGTAGTTGATTGCCATTGTCTATTGACCCTTGATCCATCTAAACTCTGTCCATTAACATTAGTGCTTGGCCAATTTGAGCTTCGCCTTTCATGATTAGTTCCAGCGTTGGAACTACTATTACTATTTCCACTAATTGAACTTCCTCCGACACTGTTTGTGGCACCACTTCCACCTCCTGTTCCAATCGGTGGGTTTGTTTTGAACCTTTTAGTCGATTGTCCACTTGTACCCATTTCTCGTCGAAGTTTACGTTCTTTTAAAATCGCTCGTCGAATTTTCAACTGCTCTTCAGATTGAATCCATTCTTTTATCATTCCAACAGCAAAACATTTCTCTAGTCTACATTTGCGACAATGTTTGCGAGTTGCGATCGTAATTTCACAGTTATCGTTGAATGGACAAGCCAGCTTCTAGTAGGGAAACAGTTAAAGGATTAAAAGAGTACCGAAGACTAAAAGTGCATTACAAAGGTACTTACATCACGTTCATTTGCCGTTCTCCTGAAAAAGGCCTTACAAGATTCACAGGTTATGGCACCAAAATTATTTCCAAAAGATTTGTCTGAACATACAAGGCACGAAATTGGTTTGTCGGGTCTAGAAGAGGGCACGTACGAACGCAATGAGGCTGTGTCAGGAACCATCATGAAAATGGTTGATGCCAAATGAAAAGATCCAAAGAAGAAAAGTTCAACAAAGAACGAACTTAATCAAGATGATTAAAGTAACCTTGATGAACCCAAGACTGTCAATGGAACAGTTTGACTTTCCGCAGTTTTTGTTGCTGTGTAACAATTAGAAATTAACAAGTCAATTGATATAATAAATGGATGAAGCTATAAAATATTTCTTGTAAAATCCTCGATCAAACTAAACTGATCTAGTGATCTAGGTGAATGTTCAACAATTGAATATAAACACTGATACCATGGATTAAGGTGAGTTCACTAATTACAAGAAATAGCAATAAGTTTAAGTAAATAACTATCACTATAAATATAAACAGGACACTAATTAGTTGAGTGCTCAGTGTATTAAGGACAAAAAAAGTTTATCATCATTGGTTAATTATCTTGATTAAATATGGTGAGAATATCAAATGGTACGCATGTTTCGTTTGTGTAATTAAAACGTATATAATTGTTACTCAACGATACAGGGCGTTCCAATTTCACTATTCTGTTATTAATCATCATCTAATTAATATGGTTAACTTTGTTTCCTTTGTCTTACCTAATCAATTAATTCATCAATCTTCAGCACCTTTGAAACTTTGTATCCTTTTTCCAGATTCATTTGTCCTTTACAATTAATACTAATTGAATTCATTTTGTATTCAAACAAATGATAAAGTTGCATAAAACTTTTCATCACATTACAATTTATATTAATACATTAGTTACATAAACTTTAACCATATGAAACAGTCGATCTCTTTACCAAGATGTTTAATTATTTTCAATTCTAATCAAAGAATCATATTGAATTGCATGCAAGTCAATCTGTCAACAATTGTACTCAAAGTAGTGAAACGAACTGTGAGTACAATTGATTATCTCAATGATAAGTCAACTTTGATCTATTAATATGGGTGATAAATTTGATTAATGAGTTGATAAGCTGATTTTGAATTAACAATTTAACTTGTCTAAACTCTAAATCAAGTGAATCATCTGATGGGATTTCATCAAATTTAACCTAATTACATTCCTGAACTCTATGCTCTCTTGTTGATACTCAGTCAATATCAACTATTAATATAAGTTCAATTGCTAGCACGAAGTGAATTTTGTGATTAGAATTAAACGTTCGGAATTAATTTCTCGCAACTTTCAGGTTTCCCTGTAATTATCGATACAAGAATCAGAAGAAAAAGTTTCTTCAGTTTCTATGTGTCAATCATGTTTCGTTAACTTTTTTCTGTTTTATGGAGCTTATTACCTTTAGATTAATTTCCATGTAGATTGTCTGATTAGATTATAACTATTAATACTGTCAACATTTACTAGAGACACATAGTAACAAAATGAAGAACGGCTGTTTCTTGCTACGATATTTAATTTACTCTTAATCATTATTTACAAGTAGAATTGACGACAATTAGAGATGTATTTCGATATCTGTCAATTCATAGCAACTCATCTTTCGACTTTCCATTCCATCAATGCGAATTATTCGACCTTTGCTGGCCACAGTTGTGCTTCGAAAACTAACATCTAGACCTTTTCTACTAAGAGAAAAACGACTGTAGATATTGAACAACAGAATAGACTTTTTATCATTTATGTGGACATTTGATGATAATTTATATAAAAATAATAATTAAAAGAATTACATTGAATGAAAAGAGAAATTCTATGTGGAAGGTGGATGGAAGTTTCCATAAAATGCTATGAGTGCAAGACATGGAAGTACAGTAACATTCTGAGAGGAAGAGATCGATATTTTTTGGTTACATTCGATGAAAAGTATAATCACAAAGTTAATTTAGTATTAATACATGAATTTATGGATCATTTTAGTTCCATAACAACAGGTTTATTTTCAGCCGTTTTTTTTCGTGAACTTATAGAAATGGGAGAAGTTGGTGTTGTGGTTGTGGTTGTAGTTCCTTTCGAAGAATTTTTCCCAGTGAAACTCTGCTGATTGAAAAGTTTAGAACTTCTTGTGGATAAAGTTGAAATTGGATTTGATGATGATGTTTTCGAGGAAAGAGATGAGATGTATGTTGATGGGAATTTGCCGGAAACCATTCTAATGATCGCTGGTCGAGCTTTACTATTCGTAACGATCTCGAAGAGAAATATGAAAATACCCTACAAAGAGATTGAGTTAATTAATTAATTGACTAGAGTTTACTTTTAAGGATAAGATAATCTCACTTGTGATCCGTTGATTATTATAAATAGATAAGATATCCAATCTGCCCATTCATTGAAATACAGAAAACCAATTATCCAAGTGAGTCCAAGTAAAATTAATAATGAACAAGATCCTTTCAACCAACGACGAACTAGCCCGTTATCTTGGCGATTCTGGTCAGGTCGATTTCCTCTTGCTGCCCAACTCTTTTTCTTTAAATTACTTAATAGCGCGATCTGTATCGATTTTCCATAGATTATCATATTTGACGCTATTATCAAAGCAACTGGGCCAGCAAAGAACCAGATTCGTGATGGATACAAAGGATTAGATATCCAACAACTAAAAATTGATTCAGATAAATGGAAGATTAGAACCAAATGTTTACGAATTGTAATCAGACCAACTTACTAGTAGCTTGTGTCGTCGTAAAAACATTCAATACCAAGAATTGCAACAGTAACACCCAACCAGATTAGTGCTAATCCATAGCCAAGTAAGTAGAGCCATCGACTGCGAAATTCAAAGTTTAGAGGAACCACAACAATCATTTGGTATAAAAGGTAACCCTCAAGTGACATCCATGTAAATGTTGCTGCTAGGAAATAAAAAAGTGTCGCTGAAATGACTCGACACCAGAGCTGAAATAGAAAAAAAGATTTGTAAAACTAAACTTAACGATCAAAATATAAATTACTTCCTCAATGGTTATTGTTAGTATCCAATATAATATCGATCGTTAATGTTACTAATTATATATACGTAAAGAGAAAAGTGTAAAATCAATTATCAGTTTCACACAGTTTCTGATGATGTTGAGTAAACAATCAAGAAAACATAAGTGATTCATTTAATTTCCGAGGAAATGGATTTACACCTTTTGAAATTTACTCATATACAGGACGTAACAACCAAATATCCGGACTTTTGACGCTCTACCATTTCTGAGCTATTTATAAGCTACGATTTTTTTCTTCGCGATTCAACAGAGAAAATGAGAAAGTTTTGTTGTGTCCTGGTTTGGAACTTTTCCATAGAGACGTTACCGAACAGTGGCCTCTCAAAGTCGGAAAAGTGGTACATTTAGATGCAAAACTTTTTTCTGAATTATTAATAGTATTTAGGCCAATTTAATCTTCATCATTAGTCGTTTAATAAGTTTATAATTAAGCCAATTAAGCTACTGAATGAAACAAATAGGCACTGATTTTAGACTAGCTAGTACATTGAGATGAACTTTTTGTCGTAAATACTAATCTGGCGTCGGGAATTAACTAGGACTTGATTTCAAGGCAATCGAAAAAGGCCAAAAAAGAAATATTTTCAGAAAAAAAGTCACAAACCAGGACACAACAAAACTTTCCCATTTTCTCTGTTAAATCGCGAAGAAAAAAATCGTAGCTTATAAATAGCCTAGAAATGGTAAAGCGTCAAAAGTCCGGATATTTGGTTTTACGCCCTGTATAAACAATTAATCTAATTTAAAATACATGAGCATCAATATTTTTGCTGATTATTGAGGAAGCAATTAAACGCAATCAATTTCGTTTGATGAAATTAAAAAATCAATTACTCACAATATTTTCTGTGTGTTCAACACCAAACATTAGGATAAAATCGGTAATCAAAAGACAAATACAAAGATTTGTTGTTATAGTTACTCGCTTATTAGTTATCGGAGTGCTTTTAACCGGAGGTAAAGTGATGAGGAAAAAGATGGTTAAAATTAGCGATATAACGGATGCAGTTAAGAAAACGAGAGTTAGAACAGATTTGACTTGGTCGTCTTCCTGTCGACCAGAGAGGTCCATAAGAATCGCGAAGTTGGTTAAATGTGAACAATGACAAACAGTTTTTCGTCGAGTTGATGCAATCGGATCGTAAACACATCCAGTCGAGTTCCAAACTGTATTAACTTGATCCCAGAAAACGCATTGAACAAGGTCACCTCTGTGTCGCAACATGTTATGGGACAAAGAGACTTGGACATTTAGATTGGCAACTTTTTCTCCGAAACTGAATGAAACCAAATCGGAGACAATGTTGACTTTTTCTTCTGGTGGTTTCATGTAATTTGAAATCTTTTTGATTATTGTTCCAAGGCCTGATGGTCGACCGCATGCTGATGCTGATGTAACAGTGTCGAGGTCAAATCCTGGATAAAAATCAGCCAAATCAATGTTAATTGTTGTTCAATAATTCAACTTCAAGTATTACATTGATTTAGAAAACGATATCGATTTGATAATTTACTATCATAAGACTGATCTCTGATGGTATTTGTGTAAAGTAACAATAATTACCTAAGAAAGAATTGAAGCAATTTTCAACTTTTATTACCAAATGATTGAAATGATTAAACTGAAGGAAAATTACCTCAATAAAATAAAATAAAATAAACTCGGCGTTAATTGTTGTAAACCCAAAGAGGCAAACTAATGTGTTAACATGATAACATTTGTTTATCTTTTAGTGAGGATCAAGGTAATAAAATGATAGTTGATCAATTGCAACGCGAATCTCAAGTTAATCCAATTAACTCACTGTTAAATATAATAAACTAATTTACCAATTGTGATGTCAAACAATTGACTAAGTGTGGGGTGTAAATATTTACCTGATGGAAACTTGATCTGTGCAACTTGTGATGAAGCCGTTTGTTTTGATGGAAAGGCCACTTCTTGGTTAATGTAACTATGGTTCTCGAAGGCAAACACTTCCATTTGAATCGAATCGGCATCAATGGGAATAGATGAATTTTGCTCCAATTCACAAGCTAAATTCAGTCCAAACTGCTCAGTTTGCGAAATGATCTGCGTCGCGTAAACGGGCGTCTTTTCAGTCTCCGTATTTTTCCAACATTGCTCATTCTTCGTCTCCATCAATGCTGACAAAATGGTACAAAGCTGTTGTGTGAATGTCACTCTTTTGGCAGTTGCAACAGTCTTGTTTTTTATTGCATCTAATTCGGAGTCGATTTTAGCACCCAATTTTTCAGTTAGCGCAACAGTTTTCAGAATATGGTCAGAAGTCGACAGGACAAAATTATCTTGTTTAATATCATCCAAAATGGCCTGAGTAAGATCTTGTGAACTTCCTTCATCGTGAGTGATGTTTTCGTTGATTTGGGCAAAAAAATCATCAACGTTTTTAGGTTCGACTTCAGGATTAACATCCGTTTGGTTTTGTTCCGTTTCTTTTGCTACAGTTGTAATTGGGTCTGGAACTTCAGTAATTGGAGATTCGGTTGGTTTTTCAGTAATGGGATCAATTACCGTTGTGGGGATGTCAATTATTCCTCTGGTTAAAGACAAAACAATTAAATGATGCACATATTTAGATTTCAGAAATTTTTTACCAATAATCAACTTACGGTTTGAAACGATATTCACATAAAGCGTGACCTTTGGCTTCAAGATTCCGGTGAACTAATCTGAAGTTTGGAAAATAATCAAAATTCTAGTGACTCTGAATTGACAAGATCAAAGAAGGGCAATTGGACTTACTTGGGTGTGATGGATAATCTATTAACGAGCAAAACTAAAACGTTTCCTTCCTTCGGTTCATCGCTTGATTTGATAATGTCTTTCAGGCAATTCGATTGTAAATCTGTTAAAGGGTTTGATGTACTACCACTTAGCATTTCCATTACAACTTCCGGCAGTGAATCGTTCTTGGTCATTCTGGGTCCAGAAATAATTTGTGTCCAAATCCAATCATGTGAACCAGATTCAGTTTTAGCTTCAATGAATGGCTTTATTACATCAGGAATCTTCTCCCATTCGTTACAAGCTCCAATTGAGATTAGATCGGCCGATCGTAACCCTCCGAGTTTTTGTCGACACCAACGTCGAGCTTCATCAAAACCTTTGATTTCTGGGTCATAAACGTAAATTCGGCCTTTTTTAGGGTCACAAGTAGCAGAACTTCCAGGGAGCGAAGCTTCTTCGCATCTCTCTTGCAAAAGCTCGATTACTTCGTCACTTATGTTATCGTCTGAATTAAAAGCGAAGAAAGAAAATATTTTTAGATTGATTTTTAACTTGTACCATCAAGATTGTTCGTCCCATTATAGAGTAATTAGAAAAATTTTTATTTTCGTTTTCTTTAGGGTTTAAGGAATCGCTTTCACTTACCCTGTAAGGAAATTGGTACCAGAATAGTCAAAACGATCACTAGTGATTTGAATAAGTCCATCACCTGGATTTTAATATGTCTTATTGTAACTACAATGGAAGAACAAAAAGATAATTAAGATTACAGTCAACTTTTAATTAGTCTTACTAATTATCTCTGCCTAAAATATACTCGTTTTTGGAGACATAATAATACTTGAAAGAGAAAAATAGTAAAAATGATAGTTGAGCATTTTAAGGCTTTTTCGTGACAATTTAACATCAAACGAATGCTTATAAAATCTCCATTTATGTAGTTGAAATTAAAAGATAAAATAAATCAGGTAACAATCAAGTGATGATTTAATATAAATGTTACAATTAATCATCTTGAATGAATCAGACGAATTTACTTCTCAACAGTTACAATAAAATTTTATTAATAGTTTCAAGACGAATTGTTTTTCTCAATTGCTGCTTTTTGACACTAAGACTTAACATTAATTGTGTGATTAGATTGCCTATCAATTGATCAATCTATTTATTGGCGTTTCAATCGTCACTTTATCAGTAGAGTAAATCTATTGAAATGACCATTTCTAACTCGAGGTTAATTACCTTCCAATCAAAAGATCAAAACTGTACAACAAAAGTATTTATCGTTGATGATTTTAATTAATCTAATCATTTGTGGTAATTACTGCTGATTGTTGATGATTAAATATATTTGTCTTTTGTTTAAACTGTTGGTGTCAAATTGCAGGAAAATTAATCTAAATTAGCAACTTACCTTAATTTGGAACTAAAATTGTTAACTTTCGAAATGTTTAATCAAAAGGACCTTTGATATTATTATTGTTCAGATAATCACAATAGTTAACACTTAATTTATATAAAAACATAGATTAAGATTATTGATTGAAAAGTTCATCTTGAAGTTAATCAAAGATAAATTGTTTACAATTGAATGATATTGTTATCGTTGTTCAATTGATTTGTCTCATCACCGATCACAAAGACACATGAAGAAGAAGTGAGAGACAAAGTGAAATAGGATTAAAGTTAATTGTTTAGTAGCAGTCGATTACCATTAACAACAAAAAGATAAATAAAATAGTTAATTGTAGTAATCAAATTTGATAAAAAGCTTTTAAATACTGACAATGTTATAATAGAAAATTTGATCAACGAGAATGAGAGTTACTATTTATCTCTATTGTAGTGGTTACATGCGCCAACATTTTGATTCTAATCAATTGATTAATTTCACTGATTTAACTTATCGCCAATTACTCTGTAGATGGCACTAGATATTTATTGCATTTCTATTAATTAAATCAAAGTAACTCCATCTAGATGTTTAATTGATTTCAATTGTCATTTATTTTTCGTCTTACACCCGATAAGGTCTAGTTTGTAAGGATTGATGTCCAATTTTCATGAAATATTATTAATTAAAATTAAATTCTTTATATTAAGAACAGTCAACAATTAATCAGTCCATTCAACTGAAACTTTTGTGTATTTCAAGACTAAAATTTTTAACCATTTTGCTCTATTGCAATAAAATAGAAAATTTACAATTTACCATAGACTTTTACTTACTGGTTGATTTCATCGAACTCCATAAATTCCTTCTTATCAGGACAATTCCGTGAATATGGGAAACAATTAACAAGAATAATTTTGGAGTTTGGAATTTGAATTTGGCGGTTCAGTTGAACAATCGATGTGATCATATGCGACGGTGGCGCCATCTGGATGCACATTAAAACCGTTCAATTTGAAAATATTTGTTGTTTGGTGAAAGCAAATTGTTTTCTTGATTAATTTTGAATTTAATTCATATTTTGTTGAATTAATTTTCGTTTAATTTGTGTATCAAAATGCCACAAAAAAACATATATTACAGTGATAAATATTATGATGATAAGTATGAATACAGGTAAGTGGATTTGTTTTTCTTACAATTTCAAACTCTCATCTCTTTTCTCTTCTTTCTTCCTTCCCTTAACCATTTTGACTTTAAAAGACATGTAACTTTACCCGCTGATGTAGCAAAGCTTGTTCCTAAAACTCATTTGATGTCGGAAGATGAATGGAGAGGAATTGGGATTCAGCAAAGTCAAGGATGGGTCCATTACATGGTACATGAGCCTGAGCCTAACATTATCCTATTTAGAAGGCCAATTAAAGGTCAGCCTCCAAGTCAATTTGATCAATTGAAAGCAGAAATGACTGCTGAGCAATGATTTTTTTTCAAAAAAAGTCAACCGTCAAAATATATTTTAATTACCTCTTGTCATTCCGTCGTTTTCTATTCACTTTTCAAATGAAAAGTAAATGTAAATTTGAAAAAAAAACATTCGCTGTATAAAATGGAAACTGTTGAACACAAACCTTAAGGCTAAATCTCCACTAACTGGTCTCTAACATCATTAAAATATTCCCGCCTTAATCAATGTTTGTTTTGTTTCGCGTTGATGACGCTTAAATTTTACGAGTTGAGACTCAGTTCTAATTTTAAACGATAGTTAAACCATTTTATTAACACATTAAAATTTTGTAAGTGAAATTTTGAAAAGAAATCAACATTAAATACATTCTATTGGATAAAATTATGAGAATAAACAATTTCAATAAATTATAATAAATTAGTTGAAAAATTAACCAAAGTATTAAAAATAGATAACAAATTTTTTGAATTAATTGGAGATTTGGATCAGACTTTAAGTGCTATTTTCACACTAAACTTGTTTCGTTTTTCGAGTTTTTCTGCTTTTCCAAATATTGAGCGATGTCGTTCAGTTTTCCTCTATTTAAGAAAAGTTTCGCTTTGAGTGACCTTAATTTCTTTGGAATTTCCAATTCCCTTAATGATTCAGATACATCACGTCTCCATGGTCCAGGTAATTCCATTGAACGGGCAATCAGTTCAGATTTGAACTTTATTGGTGCTTCGATTGTGTTATTTCCACCAATCTGGACGAGTTTTGATCCCAAAATTTGCAATTTGATTCCATTAACCGAACCAAAAACAGTTAAATTTGGCTTAATTACGAGGTCACCCTTAAAAGCGATAGTTGCGTTTATATTTGCATCGGCATCATTGCGAAGATAAGAAGATACTGGAATTGCGTTGATATAATTAACGACTAGATCATCAATTTCAAGAGAAGTGAAATTTTTCCAACCATAGAATTGGATTATCGGGTTGAGATTATTTAAATCATGGAGTAGATTTGAACGTTTACTAGTCCTCAGATCATCGACTTGAAGACTTCCGTAAATTAATGTAGAGTTGACCTTATTAGGTTTATCTTTAAGGAAAACACTACGAGGGAAGTTGATATCGTTTCCATTGAAATTGACCTCAGGCGAATTAACTAACCCTTTACGGAATATAACTCGACCAGGGAAATAAAAATTGCCTTCGATGTTTTGATCACCTCTACTTTGTAAGTTCATTGAAGATGCTCGCAGAATATCAATACCATTAGTTAGAACATTACGACCTGATAAATGACCACCGATATAAACTGGACCAGAAAATGTCGCATTTCTCAATATCACTTCGGAATCAATTGTCTGATTCTTAGTTCTACTGAGATATGTTTTCTGTAGATAATCAACATGGAAATTATTCAGCAGTCCTTTCAGGTTAATCGGCCCTTTGATGTTAAGTTTATTGAATCTTTTCACTCCTCTGATTAAGTTGGTAGTTAAGCGATTGAATGGTCGACCATTGACATTTCCTGCTTGAATCGGTTGTTCGGCAATAACATTACCAGTGATTGTTAGCGAATAAGGTTTCGTGAAAACATCTTGAATTGGTTTACAAACTGGTCCTTCGATTGTGACATTATTAATTGACGAAACAGTGAGATTATTAACTTTTAATCCATGAGCAAACGAAGCATCTCCAATAAAGTTAATTGCTGATTTCCTAGTGATCATTTCTTGACCGAATTTGATTCCATTAATTGTTGATGATTCGACATTTCCATCTATGATTCTAACATGACGAAATTGCATCGGCCGAGTAATAACTATTGGTTTATCGTTGATTGGAAACTGTCGAGACGTTGATCCAATATTTAACTCGTTGATTCTTCCAGTTACAATTAGATCGTTTTCAATGAATAGATCAGAATCTATACTGATATCAGCGTTTATTTCAGATGGAGTTCGCGTTAAATAATTCTTAGTAAAATCATCTTTCGAGTAGCCAGCGAAACTTGAAGTAAATACTAGATTACCAAAATTCGCTTGAGAGGTGAATCTTTTTCTTCCTTTAATTATTTGGGTTTTATTGGATTTAAGATAAACCACCGAAGATAAAATGTCATCAAGCTTCATTCCTGCCAATTCGATGACATCTATATTGGTGCCCATTGGAATAACGAGCTTTTTCACATGAATGTTTGATGAAATGGTTTGGTAATTTCTCTTGGTGATTGAATTACTGAAAAGTTCATCAAATGAGATCGAATTGATCGCTTTAACACCCTCGATAGAGTCAACTGAACTTGGACCCACCACATTAATCGAGCTGAAAGTCTTGTTTCCTAAAATGATTCCATTCCCATTCAGCAAGACGAGATCTCTCATGTTCATATTGTTGAAAGAGGTCACATTCAAGTTTTTAACGTAAAGGTTACCGTTAATTACTTTGGTCGCTGTAATTATCTGGTCTCTAGAAGATGTTAATGAGTCCCAAAGAGCAGCATTAACTTCGTACCCATTAACATAAGTTAGATTCAACGCTGATGTAATCACTAAATTACTCGAGAGGTGAATATTATCATTGATGAATTGTTCAGTATTTGTGGTGATGAAGTCATCGGGAAATTTGAGACCATTGATTTTGTCACAATGTAGAGACTTTTGAAAATTTGCTCTCGCAATGTTTAAATTAACATTAGGGATCTCAGTTTCATTAACGCGCAAATAGTCGGTCATTAAATTGGTTAATTTGATTCCATTTATTGTTCCATCGACTGTAATGTCTTCTAACTCGATTGGACCCGATAGAACACGATCTTTACCCCCTTGAATCATTCTTTCTGCTTTGCTTTTCAATAATTCGAAACTCAGTGGACCAACATTTCCATGAAGTAGTGACACATTTTTTACTTCAATATCTAAGAAATCCTTGTGACCTGTAATCACTTGCGGGCCTCTTCTCAACAGGAGACCAAGAGATCGGTTGATAATTGGATGATGATTTATGTAACCATCAACCACCATGGATCGTATGTGAACAGGGCCAGCGAAAACTTTGTCACCTCTAATCAAAGTCGGTACATGACGACGAACAATAACTTCTTCCAATTTATTACCATTAATCGTGTCAACCTGAATATTACCATTTATGGTCAATTCTTTAACATTAACAACTGAATGAATGGTTTGTGGATCATCGCGAGTAAGCAAATGACGACTGAGAGCTGTGAGATTGAATCCATTGATTGTGTCACCTTCAACAAAAAGATTGTCAACAGCAACATCATTGAATGTTTTTCTACCGGTGATAATACGATTATCACCAATTTGTACCACATTGGAAAGAAAAGTGTCAATATCTGGTCCAATCTGAGCCAAGTTCCCTTCAACATTAAGATCTTTGATAATAATGTCATGAGAAAATGTAACGGGCGAAGTTATGATTTGAGAATCACTTGTAGTAAGAACAGTCTCTCGACTGATTTTATGTCCATTTACCGTTTTAGAGACATTCAATTGCTTAACTCGCACTGGACCTTCAAAATTGACCTCTCCCACGATTACATGATCTCGATCCCTTGTTACAATATCGGCAGTGTCAATGTTATTGATGATTTCAACATTCAAATTATCAACAACTAAATGGGAAAAATTGAAAGTTTCCGCAAGAGTAACATCCTTATTCAAACGGATAACTTTCGATGACAGTTCTTCAACATTGCGACCATTAAATGTAAATGTGTTGATGGACTTTATATCACAACCAACGTCTCCACAATCGAAATAAGCATGATTGAAGGTTATGTTTCCGGAAACTTGTTGATTCCCATTGGTTTTCATTGCACCTACAAGAAGATCGTTCAACTTGACAACTTCTTGCTCAATAGTATTCAAACTGCTAGCGACTGTTTCAAATTTTCGATTGAATTTCTCTCCATGAGAAAGTCCATCTTCACTCACGACATCAGGGGTTTCAAGAGTTTCCAATATACTCAAAGAGTCAAATGTTAAATCTCCATTCAAATGGATACCGTTATGATCGTCGATGTAAAAGACATCGTTGAGCATTTGCTTTAGAGTTTCAATTTCCACAAGATTCTTCAGCGATTCTCGACATTCAATTAAACTGTCGTTGTACCATTTGAAGAAATCATCACTCGGCTGATAGTTTGGATCTCCACTGAGACCACGTTTTTGACGAGAGAAATTTGGAGAACCATTGAGATTCTGGTTTAAAGCCTCCAAATTTTCTATTGTGATTTCATCCAATAATTTTTCGAATTCTTGAACACTTAAATTCAGTGGAAACTCAGGTATGGTGATTGCAGAATGAGTTGAGTTTTCATGTTGGTCACAAGAAACTAAATTGGAGAGGTTGATGAAAACCAAGAGATGAAACAACTTTGAAATCATTTCCCAAGAACAAGGACAGAAGAGACAGAGAACAATCAAACCCAAGAAAAAGTCACAAAGTAATTAATTGCTTGAGAATAATTAAAACTAATACAAAGAGAAGATTGAAGACCCTTGACCTCAACTTGTTGACTTTTTAACATTGAAATAAACTTTTGATCATCAAACAATTTGTGTCAAAGGAAATTAATTGTTTTTTGGCGCAAATTATAAAACAATAAAATCCAATAAATTAAATGCGATAATCAATTCGTTGCTAACTCATTCATACGTTTCCAAGGAATAATATTAAATCTCTCCAATCTTCTCATTGAGTCTCTGAGCCCAATCAAGTTGCAGTCTAATCACCAACTTGTTGAATCAATTGATCAAATCATTTTCAATAAAGTCTTTGATGAAATAACATCGTCGTTTTGACATCCATTCAATTTTTTTGATTGACTTTATTTAATTGTTTAAAAATTAACTGTGAATGTTGTGAATAATTGTATAATTGAATTTACCAAGTGATTAATCAAAATGCCAATCCAATTGTTTGAATCGGAAACACACGCATCGACCTATGCTCAGGCTCGACCCTCTCCACCTCAGTCGTTAATTGGTTCAATTCTGAGTTTCCTCGAATCAGGATTTCCACCAGATACTAACGGTCTATGGCCACAGGCAGTTGATGTCGGCGCTGGTTCAGGACAAACAACTTTTCTTATGAAAGATCATTTTAAACACATCCTGGGTATCGACATAAGTGCCGCTCAAATTGGTGAAGCCAATAAGCGAAACATTTATCCAAATGTATCATTCAAGGTAATTTGAGAAAAACAATCAAGAGCAATTAATCTGAGTATATTTTACTAATCAGGTCTCTCCAGCTGAAACAATTCCACTCGAGAATGAATCGGTATCACTAGTCACGGCCTCTCAGTGTCTCCACTGGTTCGACCTGGAAAAATTTTACACTGAACTTAATCGGATTCTCGTGCCTGGTGGGGTTTTTGCTACTTTTGGGTACTTGCCCGTACCAATTATTTCAACAGACGATTCTTCGAGTAAAAACAAACTCGCTCAGTTAGTTGAAAAATGTCGCCTTGAGCTGAGCGACTTATGGGAACAGCCTGGAACTGATTTTCTCAATTCGAAATACACTGGCTTGAAGTTACCCTTTAATGATAATCATAAAATCAACACGATAAAGTGTTCAGTCCCATATTCTGGACAAAAGTATTTCGACTACATCACCTCATGGTCAGCATATAATGAGCTGATGGAAAAGAATCCAGAAAAGGCCAAAAAATTCACCGATAATATCGTCAACCAATTGAAAGTTATACTTGAAACTGACGATGTTTTTTCAGCACAATTTCATCATGAGTTTGAATTTTTCCTTCTCATGTCACGAAAACCAGAAAATTAGTTATCTACAATACGGTTCATAAATACTCAAAGTGACAAATCTAAATGAATACTTGAGTAAACAATTAACCTGATTAATGTTTTATTTTAATTATGTAATTGTTGATAATTCAACTGATAAAAACAGTGGTAAAACAATGTAAAACAAATGAATCTGCAATTTCCTGAATGTTTGAGCCTTAATCATTTCATGACAATAATCCCACGAGTTTATAAACAATAACAGAACTTTAATCAATTGAATCAATTTGTAAACTGATAGTATTTTTGATTTATTTTAATGATAATGATTCAATTAATTTCATTTATGTTCATTTAATTGAGTTGAGCAAATTAAAATGGATGAAATTACAAGTTTTAATTTAGTTTTTATCAATTCTAATAGTTGAGACGATGTAGTGATGATGATTCCAATTAAATAATCAGATTAACCTTCAGATTTTTCAGAAGCAACTGATTTCTCCTTCTGATTCTGAGCCCATTCGGGTTTTTCCTGTTAAATTGACGAGACACAATTAAACAACAATCAGTTAATCATCGGATACTACTCTTACCTCTGCCTTTTCCTTGTCGCCCAAAGAGTACTTGTTGACCTGTTTAAGACCAGAACGATAATCCATTTGGGAAACTCGAGCAGTGAACATACGAATCTTTTCCATTCTAATTGTAACAATTAAAATCAACAAGATTAGAACTCGATGAAAATGAAATGAATGATTAACTTACTGTTGAGCAGTTTTGGAGACCTTTTTCAAAGGAGGTTTGATGCTGAAAGAAAAACAGTTAGGTGATTAATGATTAATATTAATTTTTACGATTTTTGTTACTTACAATCGCCCACGAACATCGTTAACCTTAGCAGCAAGTTCTCGGACCTAAAATCAACAAAAATTAGCACTGGTTAATGATTCTGAGGCAATTTAATTTCCATTGATAATTACATCGAAATCTTTCTTATTGACTTCGTATTCGAGATCCCATTTAGCGCTTTCAAGTCTCTTAACCCGTTCATAATACTCTTTGATGATCGCATGGAGTTGAGCTGAACAAGTAACAGAGAAAACAGTTAATCGATTGATTATAAACACGCCAATTATAATGGAGTGCGAAATAGTTGATCCATTGACATATTCTGTATTCTGTGACAATTATCAACTAAAAGCTTTGAATAACATGAAAGTGTTATGATGATTTATTTCCAATCAATTGACAAACCTCAAGATAAACAATCAAGTTTCACATGTCACCAATTTCACTCAGAATCGATAGTCTATCGATAAGCTTTCATTTTCTCATCATCATAATGTTCAGTTTTCCTTCCTTGTTTCAACACACTAATCATCAATGATCAGCACGAAATGATTGAATTAACATTTCTGACTATGGATTTACCATGTTTTTGGCTGAATCATGAATATTCATTTTCAACTTAACCAAACAATTTTAACATGAAGTAAATGAGACATTATCCTAGCAAAATGCATAAAAACAAAGCTATCATGTCTCAACTGAACCAACTCAATGATCATCATGAATCCTTGTGACTTTTAACTTGGCATCAATCATCAGTTTTAAAAGCTCAATCTCTTGCATCACAATTTAAGCCAAAAACTACAAAAGATTTTCCAACAAATATCATATTGTCAAACTTATAATAGACAAATAAAACCCCATGAAAATAAACGATAGATTTTATTATCATCATCGTTTTCTGAGTAATAAAGTGGAAATGTTTGAGTTTATTCCAGACCTGAGGGTAAACCCTTCAAATTGAAAACAACAGAGATGAGTAACTGTTAATCCTTTTGACGTTGATTGTTGACGTTGATTGTCACAACCATAATACTTTACAATCATCAACAACCACGCATAAGTGTAACACTCAAAAGTGTCGAGATGATAATATGTGGCACTGAATGAGATTTTTTTGTCTTTTCGTGATTTTGTTGATAAGGAATAAGACTGATAATGGTTAAGATGGAGATGATAATCTCTAAGAGGCTGGCTAAAGGTATTGAGGTAATTGTAAAATAATGGGATAATCTTATCAATCAGATTATCAATTTGATCTCGGCTAATTATCATTGATAGTTAATAGGTGTTTTCATTTATTACTCCACTTCTGTAACTCGCATCATCGTTCTCACTGTGATCAAGGTGAAACCTTTTATCCAACAAACAATTGACTGTGTGATTTATTTGATTAGTTGACTAGCACGAGAAAAAGTATTAAAAAACTTAGATTGTAACAATTGGAAGATAATAAACAATCAATCTGCTTATCTCTGAGTAAGCACAAGGTATCAAGTTAATTGTTTGTTTATGTTGTTGATTGTGATAAGTATCAATAATCTTGGAACAGGATCATTTATTGATCAGGAATATCAATCTCAAAATGCTAATCTTTGCCAATAAAATGTTCAACTGATTCTTTAAAATCACTTTGACATTATCAGTTCTAGTGAATCTTTGGCTTATGATAGCATAGGAAAAAACACCTTCTCTTGTATTTTTCACAATTAAGACAATGATCGCGATTCTAAAGTTAATTTTACTCTAAAATTTTCAATCAACCAAAAGTTTAATCTATTCTAAGCCTTTGTCAAAATTGGAACAATTAGTAAATTGCTCACCTTCATTGATTCCATCTATTCCTTTGGGCTCACCAGTTCGCTGACGAATGATCTTTCGACGCTCTTCGGCTCTTCTTTCTTGTTCTCGTTTCAATTCTTCGGCAGCTTTTTTTCTCAATAAGTTCTATTGAAAATCAATCAGGGTAAAAATATCAATTATTCGGCTTCCAATTTGATTGTAGGTAAATTAATTTATTACTCAAAAGCTTCATCTTCAAGTTGAATATGTGCTTATGACTGTTGTTAAGCTCGAGTAAAAGTTTACTTGATGTTTAACAAAAATTATTAATCTGTTGGGTGAAATATGAGTCGCATTCATCATAAAGTCGACATGATTGTCAGAAAACATGTTACTCATTTATTATCCTGAAAAAATGAAAAGTTCTGAATGAAACTTACTCGGAGCTTCTTTTTACGAGCTGGTGTCATGAATCCGCGTTTCTTTTTGGCTGCAGCTGCTTGTTCAAGTCGAGCTCGAACTTCAGCTCGGCGTTTAGCTTTATCATCCTGTTAAAATAATAATTAAATATAATCAGATTATCAATATTGAGTAAAATCCATTTGAATCCAACTCATCCAATCAAAACTTTCAATCTAGTTGATTATGAAGGAGAGGGAAAGACTAATAATCATCTAATTGATTCTGATTATTCAAAGAGTATTATAATACAGTAACTGAATTAAACTCTGAAAATCTGATAAAACTTCGATAAATCAATCACAATTTAGATAATTTCAGTAAATGAAAACAGCCAATGAACGTCTCTTAGTGACACTTATCATAATCGATATTAGAATTGGGACTTTTAAAAAAGACAATAAAAGTGAGTATTAGACAAAAAGTTATCATGATTAGATTAACTGATTTATGTCAACGAAATCATTAGATTTACAATCAACAGTTAAAGGATAATTTCTTAATCAATTGATTAAGTATTAGTACTCACCATGATTAGTTGATTCTAAACGGACACAAAATCAAAAAGTTGACGAGATATTAAGTCGATGTTGGAAACAATAAGCAAAATGAAAATATTGTCTATGAAAATTTAGGTACTTTTGAAAATATGATAAAATGGAACCAGAAAAAGTCGAGTGAGCAATTGAAGGAGGAAGAGAGTGGGACAGAATTCAGTGTGTATTTAAAATTAGGCTTAAGGGCGGTGGTAAAATTGCGATAAAAAACATCAGAGGAACCACTGGGATAGATTGTGAGCAGTGGGAAAATAAGGAGCAAGAGAGACACTTTGGTTGTCGAGGGTGGATGAGCTTGAGCTCATCTTGAAGATGATTTGAGCTCAATTTGAGTTTCATGATGAGAATCGAGATGAGGAACAAGTTATTTTTGAGGTTTTTTCTTTTCTGAACTTCCATAGGATGAGAGCAGAAAAATCAGCGAACGAAAAAGAGCTTAACTGAATCTAAATTTCTCGAAATTTTTCAAAAGTTTAATTCGTTTGCAATAGTAATTTAGTTAGTAATTGAGATGAGTTTCACCATGAAAATAATGATAATGACGAAAACCATGTAAATAAATGGCCAAAACTTAGTAGAACTCAATGAGAAAACCAATCTTGGTGTAAAATCTTCTGGAAATGAGACAATTTTCTGGTAATTTGATTCGAAATGATCCAATCTGCCAGTTTCCATAGAAAAGCTATTCTCCGTGAGATTTTTTTATATTTTATTCGAATCAATATTTAATTGAAACTAATTAGATTTCCAATTTTCGTGAATAAGCTTTTTATCAATTAATATAACGATTTAACAGCAACTTTGTTAATCTAATCAATTGATAATCAATTCGATTTTTCGATAATTTAAACCTCTTGTTGCTCTTTCTGGTTCATTAAACATTTTCCTTCATTTTAACCAGAAAATCAACCAGAAAATTCAAGTGCCATCTGTTGGTCGAAAGAATAATCTGTTGGTTGTTACCTTTGATCCATAAGGATAAAGCCGATTCACTCAGGCCATGAGTCCCTTTAAGGATACACACCAGTGGCTTAATTGCACGAATCAATCTAATTGATTATTTGAGGAAAATTCCGAGAGTATTCAAAGCAAGATCTATTCATTCGCAAATTATAATACGGTTAGTTATTAATTGGCTAGAAAATGAAGGTCGACTCACAATCGTTGTTTAGATCAATTGCAAAGATTAATTGAAACAATTAATTAAAAGGCGATAATCGAAATATTTGAGTTGTTTCAAGTTAATTAATTGCTTTGGGGCTCAGTTTGATGAGCTCTTTGATTAATCTTTCGAATGCATGTAAACCAAATTGCAAAAGAATGAAAATCTAAATCAACAATTAACTTCTCTCTAGGGTTAGTCATGTTCACCATGAATATTATTATTATTTCATTTCCATTCATAAAGTTGTCGCTTTAATGATTTTGATAGACAGAAAATGGCGAAAGAGGGACAATTAAAATGAGAGAATAGAAAAGCGTGACAGAAAAGTAGACAGAGAAAAAGAAAGGAAGTGAGGGTGGAAAGAAAGAGAAAAAGAAAGTATTATGATGATGATGATGATGATCTTTATTTAGGACAAGCGCGACATTAGATGAAAGAAAATATTAAAACGTAAACACGAAAGTTGAAAAGAGGAGAAACATTGAAGAGGTCATTTGATTGTGGTGAAATTGTCGCAACATTTTAGCGAGTTAAAGTGTCGTCATGTCATTTCCGTGGAATAATTCAGTCAACATTCATCGACCAATGGAATTATCATCGCAACCGATTGAATCATGTTGATTTTAAGTAAATTGTTTGCAAATTGTTATCTTTTTTCTTGAGAATAAGTTTTTTCACACTTCATTATAAAATCATTAAATTTGTGTTTTTACTTTCGCTTTGATTGTTGATTTTTTTTCATCAGACTAAATTGTTATTGAAGTTAATTAATCCAAAATGGTGAAAGGATTTACTAATTCATTGATACAATGTGTCCTATTCACATTCAACTTTATTTTTCTGGTAATTTAAATCAAATCATTGAAATTTCACTTAAATTAATTTTCATGAAATGATTAATCAATTGTAGTGTTTCGGAGCCATAATCGCAGGCCTTGGTGGTTATTTCCTAATCAAATCAATGGATTTCAAACAAATAATAGACACTCCGGATACCGGAGCCATGATTGTTGTGTTTACTGGAATCGCTGTTTTCGCAATTAGCTTCTTGGGCTGTTTTGGTTCAGTTAAGGAAAACTCATGTTTACTTAAAATGGTAACAATTAATTAGAATAGTTCCTATTCATGATTCACTGATTCGCTTTCTATTTTCATTTCCAGTATTGTTTTTCCGTTGGTATATTAGCAATATTAATCATTGGACCGGTGATTATCTTCATGGTTTACAGTGTTAAGGTAATTGCTTGTTGTTAGTATTTCTTAGCGTTAATATAAAATCTATTTGTTCCAATAGCTTGATGAGATCATGGAGAAACAATTGTTGACTGCATTTACTGAATATCGAATAAATGATCCGAAGAAAAATTCAATTTCGGCTGCGATTGATACTCTTCATCAAACATCGAAATGCTGTGGGTACAATGGTCCCGCTTGGTGGGCCGCTAATCTACCAGAATTTGAAGATAATACTGTCCCTGCTTCTTGTTGTTCCAGTTCGCTTTCGATAAGTATATTGAATCGACCTCAAAATAAGTGTCCAATCGATAAAGTTAAATTTACTCAAGGATGTGAGGGGGAATTGAGAACCATTTTGAAATTGTTCTTCAACACGATGATAACGGTTCTACTTGTGATCGGACTGACACTTTTAATTGCTGCCTCAATAGCTTGTATCTTAGCTCGAGCTGCTAAAGTTCAATAAAAAATTTGTCCAGTTTAAGTTTATCACCAATAATTAAGACCATGAATCCAATCCATTCATTTCTATAATCGTTCATCCATAAAACTTTTCAAAAACTTTTTGAACTTTAGCTTTCCTTTCATCGATTGTGATTACTCAATTTAAATTGATTATTATGGTTTCATGTAATAATAATAATTAGTTAATTAGTGTGTTGATTAGTAAACCGAAAATAAATGACGTGTTCATGTCGTTAAATTATGCAAATCACTTCTTCTTGGATGAAATAATTATATTTTCGGTCTTTAATCTTCAATGAAAAAATGATGACATTATTATAATATCATATTTCAATTGTAATAATCCAATTTGTATCTACTTTGTCTCGATTTTATTTGACAATAAGATACAATTTGGTAGAAACAAATGGATTTGATGTGTATTGCTCATTAGGTTGTTGTTTTTAACTCTTGTAATCAGTAGTTAACGGAAGTTCCTCAATGCAATTGAATCAGCAAAATACCTTTGCTTTTATGACTAATATCTTGAAACATGCTAAAAGTTATTCTAGTTTCAAGAATTGAAGACACAAGAAAATGTAGAGAAACGACTTCCTGATTAAGAGAGCTACCTCTTCCGTGCCCTTGGATCTTTTCCTTGAATGACTAATGCAACTTCTTCAGAGTCTAACGTCTCATATTTGAGTAATGCTTCAGCTAAACGACGATGTTCATCTGCTCTGGATATTAAAATGTTCTTGGCTCTTTCATATGATTCCTACAAGAGAAATGAAGATAATTAAGATTAATGAAAGACAATTATTCCAATAAGATTATGGATGATTAATACCTGTAATATTCTTTTGATCTCGTTATCTATTAATTCAGAGGTCGAGTTAGAAATATCGTTCATCACAACTAACCCATCTCGAGAGTTTTCAAAGAATCGAACCCCAACCTAAATCATAAAGAAAAAATCGATGAATCAGTTTCGATTGGGATATCGACAGAAAAGTCGTGGCCTAACTTACTTTTTCTGACATTCCAAAGTGTTTGACCATATTGGTGGCGATATCAGTGGCATGTTTGAAATCAGATGAGGCACCGGGAGTGACCTTGTCCTCCCCAAAAATGATCTCTTCGGCCACTCGACCTCCCATGAGCACATCAAGATCAGCCATGAACTCTAATTTGGTTTTTGAATATTTTTCTCTCTCAGGCATCAAAGCGGTGTGACCTAAACTAAGTCCTCGAGGCACAATGGTTACTTTATGAAGAGGGTCTGCACCTTTAGTATACAAAGCGACTAGTGTGTGTCCAGCCTCGTGATAAGCTGTGTTTGCATTGGCTTCTTCATCTGGTATTTTGTTTTTACGTTCAGGACCCATAACAACTTTATCTCGAGCTGATTCAAAGTACTCCATAGATACAGATGATTTACCATCGATTGCTGCCCTAAGTGCTGCTTGATTAACCATATTCTCAATATCAGCTCCAGTGAAGCCAATTGTCCTCTTTGCAAGACGGTTTGAGTCAACATTTGGAGCTAACTTGATACGGCTAAGGTAAAGGTCAAATATATTCTCTCGGTCTTTTAAATCAGGCACAGAGACATGAACTTCAACGTCGAAGCGACCAGGCCTCAATAAAGCTCTATCAAGATCTTCTTTTCTATTTGTAGCTCCAAGAACAATAACACCTTCATTCTGACGAAATCCATCCATCTCAGTTAGAAGTTGATTAATAGTCTGATTGGCATACGGATGAAGAACAGAATTTGTTCTCTTGCCACCGACAGAGTCTATTTCATCAATGAATATAACACAAGGTGCTTTCAATTTTGCTGTGGCAAATAAGTCACGAACTCTTCTAGCTCCTTGACCGACAAGTATCTCATCAAACTCCGGACCGGCGGCATGAAAAAATGGAACAGCAGCTTCACCAGCAACTGCACGAGCTAAAAGTGTCTTCCCTGTTCCAGGAGGACCAACTAAAAGTACACCTGAAGGCAATTTTCCTCCTAAAGCTGAAAATTTATCTGGATTCCTAAGGAATTCAACAATTTCTTGAAGTTCTTGTTTAGCTTCCTCGGCTCCGCGAACATCCGAAAAAGTAACATCTATATCTTCAGGACTAACAAGATTGCCACTTCCTATTAGTACTCTACGAAATGGTCGAGCTAAAATAAAACGTAATCAAAAATTATTAAAACGAATAAAACGCTCATCAACTGTAAACTCACCTGATATTTCAATTAAAATCAACAAAGGTAAAGTCATCACCATAGCAAGAAACAGATACTCTTTCAATCGAGTTTTGAAAGGTTTTTTAGTCGATCTAGGTTTTCCTTCTGCGGCGACATAGCCTTCGGCAAAAGCGATCTGAGAAAAAATAACCGGAAATGATAACCAACGGTGATTTTAAGAGTCTCATTTTCTTCAATTAAAGATTACCTGAAGTCGTTGAACCTCATCTGTGGTCAAGTTTTCATCTCTGATTATTTGACGAAATTTTTCATTGGACTGTTCAATACTTGGAATTGTTTCTTTGTTTCTCTTCAAATTAAGAGTTTCATCTAGTAACTTTTTGAGAAGAGATCTTTCTTCCTTCCTGGACAAGCCTCCAATTCCATAGACCTTCCGTTCTCCATCAACTGGTTTATTTCTATCTGCCTTGAACCATCTCTTCTGCTGGAATAAAGCAGACGAGTTGAATATCGAATAAAGGCTGCAATCCTTGAGTCGAAATTGACCTAAACCTCTTTTATCAGCAATGAGAACCAGACAAGATGCATAACGACCCGAAGGAGAAGAGAGTAGCCGAGCACAGTCAGTGACAGGAAGAATTTTAGCTCTAAACACTGGAGAAAATAGAGAAAAGTGAATTAAACTTGGGTTGGAATTGACAAGTTCGCATTTGGATCTTACTTTCACATAAAATGAAGAACAGGCATCAGAATAGAATAGAAGGAGAACCAAAGGACAAAATTCAGAGATTAAATTAGAGATCAACAAATTAATTAACTAATTAAACAAAATTAATATTTAAACTCGATTATCTGGTTACACCATAAGTACCGATAAAAATGTGTTCAACTTAATCATCAGCTGATTGGCTACAAATTCTCATCTTTATTGTGGTAAATTCAAAGAGATCGAGTGACGATCTTTGCAGGAACGAGATGGAGCCACAAGTCCATTTAGAAAAATAATAGCGAAAGACTTTAGTGCGATGAGAATGGCCTCGGTTCGGCCACGATTTAGGTCTGGTTAGATCAAGTTAAGTTCGTTCTAATCTCTGCTCATTGGCTTTGGTTACAAAAATTTCGTCAAATTTTCGTGATCCACATGATCCCTCGTCTTTTTATCTTTTTTCTCATTTTTGACGAATTACATTGAATTAAATTTCTATTTATTGGTTGAGTAGATGTGAGAAATCAAGAGAGTGAAGCAAATGATTGACACAATAAATGATGTCAAAGGCCAAGAACATCATTTCCAATCAAACACAAAGAATTGTCAACATTTTAATTAACGTATTATGATTGTTATGGAGAAAAGCCTTCATCAATCAATGGAAGTCGCTCTTGATTGGGATCAAGTTTTCGCAAGGTTTACATCAACCAATCTGATTCTGCAACTTTTACGAAAAAGGTTGAAAGTCAGAGGAATAAAAAATAACTATTGGTGCTAATTAAATAAGACAATTAGAAAATGAAGAGAAACAATATTCCAAAGGAGATTAACAAAATTGAAATAAACTAATGGATTATAAACTAATCTTTTCAATAAATTGGGATCTGATCAGGTTCACTTAGAATTGATTGATTAAATTTTTCACTTTAACCATAATCAATAAACCATTCTTGGCATGGTTAACTTTCACAATTTACAACAATCAGTTGATGATCGATTCTAAAAATAATTAATCCAATTGTCTCGTCAAATCTTCAAAATCAAGGTCCAACTTTTAACTTGACATTTGAATCGAATCAATAAAATCGGACAAGAGGAAAAGTTTCCTACTACACATTCAACGATAAACTAAGCAATTAAAACAATTAGATAACTGAAAAGAGTTTGAAAATTTAATTTGATTGGTTCCAACAGTTTGATATCTATTGGAATATTTTCAAATTACCTTCAACGAATCAAGAAGCTTATGGTAATCTATTTACAAGGAAAACTTAATTGGCCGAGAACACAGAAAATTCTTGACTAATTGAAATGTACAATTGCTCAACTTGTATTGATGGAAATTAAGTTCAACTATAAATCAACCGACAATTAAACCAACAAAAGGCAAATCTTATTTACGCCAATGAGGCTCAGGTTTCAAAGTTGAGATTTAGAACAGAATTTCAACTTGTCCGCTTGATGTCGCCACTTCTTCTTCTTCTTTTCTTTAGATTGGTTTACATTTTGTCTTTTCCGTCAATGGTTTATTGTTGATTGTCTTAAAAGTTAAGTTGATTGTTACTTTCAGCTTCACAATTAATTGTTTTATAAATAACTTTTAAAATCTTCTCCTTGTTAACTCATCTTAAACTTTAGCTCTGGTTGTTCTTAATTAGGCCAATAAGTCTACTGGATATGTTCTCCACCAATGGAATCATCTTCTCTTTGTTCCTTCTCAATCATCTCAACAACTTGGTCATTTGTAAAAAGGCCGAGGAATCTTCAAAATCTGTTGTTCCAATTAAACCAGTGGTGTTAAACACGACCAAAATAGTTTCGACGGAATTAAATGCTACGAATTATGGAGTCACTAATAGTTCAGAGGCAAATGCCAATGATACCTCAGTAGATGATTTAGACAGTATACCTGAAGAGCCACAGCTTCCATCTAATTTGTCAAGAAAGGTGAGACTATTGCTACACAATAGAGACCATCACTATCATACCTTAATCAATTGTATTTTTGTCTAATATCAATTATTGTTTTTTACCTCCTCTAACGACCCATCTCAAACCAGAATGACACGCATTTATATTATAACTCAACAATACTCAGTGATCCAAATGAAGCCATGAAATACTGGGTTGACATTGACAAAATGCCCAATGTTACCCTTCATCAAATGCTATCCAAATCTCACCGACGTGCTGCACCCGTTAATATGACCTTTGAATTCCCTTTCTATGGGCATCCAATAAAAAATGTTACAATTGCAACTGGTGGTTTTCTTTACCTTGGTAACACTGTACACAGCTGGCTGGCTGCGACACAATACGTTGCACCCTTGATGGCGAACTTTGACACAAGGATAGACGATTCATCGAAAATCAAATATGCCGAGAATGGAACTGCTTTCGTCGTTCAATGGGAGCATGTTGCAATCAAGGAACTTCCTGGTGAATTTTTCACCTTCCAAGTTACTTTGAAGAAAAACGGTGACATTGTATTTGTTTACAAGGACCTTCCACTTTCCCTCAGTCAACTACCGGATACCCATCATCCTGTTAAAGTGGGTCTTTCTGATGCGTATGTAATTGACAAAACAGCTTTCTGTAAGTTCTTTTCCTGTGTTGAATCTCCCCTGAATTCTGTTCATTTATCACTTGACTTTTTCTTTATCCTTTTCCCCTTTCTTTCTCCCCTTTAAATTCATTACTCTGTTGAACAAACAACTTACACTCATGGCATCTAATCACTTACACGTACAACTATTTTCTTTTCCAACAGTCATTCGAAAAAAGACAATCTACGAATATCACCGAGTTGAATTGAAGAAAGAAAATCTCGCCAACAACACAGCCATTTATTTCGCTGCTTTACCAAGTATGTTTTCATCAATCATATTCTGCCCTCTTTTGTGGTCAAGTATTTCACGGAAGAAGACAACTATCATGTCCACTCTTTTATTCTCATTTTCTCTCTTTACATCTCAACTCTCTTTTTCTTTCGCTTGACCTTTTCCCGCTATTAAGGAACAATTTAGTTTTTTTCTTTATTTACGCAACATCGTTACTCACTCAGTTCAGGCAACCTAATTTTCAAGAGTTTTCTCAATCCATCATTTTTTGTAACAACTTATCTTACATTTTTTATCATTTTTCAGCTTGTATCGCATTGAAAGACTGTCCAAGTTGCTTGGCTGGTGTTAAAGGATTCGACTGTAAATGGTGTGAAAGTCTTGGACGATGTTCCGATGGTTTGGACAGAAAGAGACAAGATTGGCTTGGAAAGGGTTGTGATGATGAGTCCAAGAGAAGCAACTGCTCCGCACCCACCAATAGTTCAATTATAATTCCAAGTGCGGCTCCCACTATTTCAGTCTATTCAGGTAATTTAAATTCAATAGTTCAATTGGACTATCATCTTTTTATGAACATTTTACTTGCTTTGTTTGTTTATTTCTTCTTATCATGAAACATCTTGATAATGATTCTGTTGTTTGCGATGAGATATACGGTAGCTCAAACTTATCATGTGCTCCCTTATTTGTTTACTCTTTTGTAGATCTACTTATACTAAAACCCTCTTTCTACTTCCTTTCGTCTCTCTTTATTCCTTCATTTTTTATAATCACGTCTCATGATGAGTAGTTGATGGTGAAAAAGTAAGGAAGGAAGTAGCAGCAAATTGAACCGGGACTGATTGGTTGAGAGTCTCATCTTAAAAAATCAATGCTCAATACTCTTTACGCCCTCAAATATAACTAAGATACACCCTCTCAACTTTCAAGTCTTAAATATCTCATCTTTTGAGCTCTCAAACTGGGCCACTGAGTAGATAAAGCTTATCTAATTGATGACAATACTGGCAATTAAGTTGAACAAGTAGCAGTAGTGAAAAGATTTGGTTAGAAACTTTTTCAGGTCAAGGTGGATGGTTTGTGCAAAGACCATTAACGGAGTAAAAATATGTCCAGGTTAGGGTGCCAAGATCAAAGTGTTATTGTTTCGTTGTTTCATCTTCTTTTCCGATCTCAATCAATCATGTGTTGATGATCACCATGATTAGATTGTGAGTAACAAGATGGTTAAGATTGATTCTTTCATAAGTTATCGCTCTGTTGCATTTGCTTCTATCTCTCCCCAATACTTAAGTTTCCTTAATTAGCTATTTAATCTCATCTTATTCAAATAGTTTTCTGAGATTTGAACTTCATGGATAAACACACTTGTTAAACGCTAATTTACTAATCAGATTTCCAAGTTTCCTTTTCTTACACTTCTCAAGCTTATTTCCCTTCTAAAGTTTTTTACGCAGCACAAAAATATTTGATTATTCTCGTGATCAATGTTGCAAAATGATCTAATAAATTTTCAATCAATTCACCTTTTTGTCTTTTTCTTGTTCTCCTTGATTATCAACTTATTAGGCAAAGTTAAAAAAGCGGAATCACCCTCCGTCAATTCACCTCTCTACCACCAAGGATCAAACGCGAATAGTAAATCAGGAAATGGAAAAGCAAGTTTTGTGGCGGTCATGTTATTTGTGTCTTTAATTTCTGGAGCCGTTTTATGGATACTTTATGCCTACAAGAATCCACAAAGCTCGTCAGGACAATTTTTAATTAAATATCGACCTGCTCAATGGCGTTTCGCTGGAAGTGAAGCTCGTTACACAGCAGCGTCTATTCACATGTAAAATAAGCTCAACATCGAACAATCAACTATATCACATTCAACCAATGCCTTCAATCAAGAAAAGCGTCTGTGCCTATTGATAACTTTTCTATGAGCAGCATCATTTCTCTCTCTCTCTCTCTCTCTCTCTCTCTCTCTCTCTCTCTCTATGCTAAAACTCAAAAGCTCAATCATATCATCATAGTGCTTCCTTTACATTTATTACTCCATGCAACCTTATTGACCGCATCTTTTGTCGTATCGGTGCATTTCGCTTTCTATTAACATTCATCAATTCACATTGTAAATACGACAATTGATTATTTTTGGAAGACTGAAACGACTGAAAACGACGAATTAAACGATTCCACCCAATTCATGCTGATATCTTGTCATGATTGATTAGAAGACTGAAACAACGAAATATTCACGCACATTCACACGAAATCAGAATCTTTCCTTATCCTCTCAGTGCTCTCATATGAATTAAGTAAAAAACTCTGTCTTTTAATCAATTGAAACAAAAGAAAATCAATTTCAGTTATCATTATTTTCTCCTTCCCATCATCGTTTTTATCTCATCTTCTTGATCCGAGACAATTTAACTTGTACAATTAACTTTACCATTCAGTCATTGATTTACCACATTAATTGTATCATCTCCCTTAGTTATACATTAATTTGAACATTTAAATAAAAAGAAAGGTTCATTTACAGTTGAAACAAATTCAACACCAGATCGAGGATAATTTAAGATAATCAACTTTTGTATTAATTACTATTTAATTAACTTGTTAAGTGTAAATCTACAACCGAAAACTTAATCAGTAGCATGGCGGATGAACTTTATCAACGAAAACAATTTGATTAAATGTTAATTATTGTCAATTAAATAATTGTAACACTTTAATAATAATCAGTTGATTTTCACATCGAAGCCTTGACCTTAAATTGTTTATTTGTTCTGATCAATTAGATGAAAAACAGAGAAAAACAATTTAACAATTAATCATTTAAATTGTTGACGCATTTCAATGATACATTTTTCAATTAGTTAATTGTGATGAAACAATGTATCCAAATAGAGGGAAATCTAATTAAATAAAATGAGAGCAATCATTTAATTCATCAACCACAAAACTGAACAACATTTTTATTTCAAGCTAATTGTCACTCTTGTGGACAAATTTACTTTCAATGATTAAATCGAAAGGAAGTCAACTAACAATCAAGGTATAACCTTGATACAAATTAATCAACAATTAAGTTTAAATTTTTCTACTTTCCTATGAATCAATTCAATAAACAATCAAGTCAAAAGCTTCGCTTGCTGAATTGCTGAATATTCAACATGCTTTTTAAAATTTTCTCATTTGTGATTTAAATTAATTGGATTCTAGTATTCAAATTAACTTTGCATATGGTTTGAATAAATATCGACCATCGATCACTGGATACCTGATGAAAGGTCACGACCCGACTCACCCTTACACTTCTCATTATAAGAAGATTAGAAATTGAAAAAGTAATCATTTTTGGATCTCTGAATAAATCAGTTGACTGAATCATTGAATTTACTTGACAAAACGTCATTAATAATAATATTTGAAGGCTCTAATTGAATTTAATTGATGAAAGAAACAATTGATTCTTTGGTCGCCGTCTATTAATAGCTTCAAAAAAACTCCAATCTCCCTGACCAGGGCCGAATGGTCAAACCTTGAGTGATATATTCAAGGTGAAGGTTCGCCTCCCCTTGGCCAATCAATTTGTGATTAGCTCTAATTTAGCAAAGAGATTCTCTCTCCTCTGTGTTTCGCATTTCATTTGTATAACCAAGATACTCGTTCTTTCCCCTTTCTTCAATCAAATTTAACAATTAATAGTTTGCCCAGTTTAATAATTAATCAATTTTGTTTCAGTTTTGATATTTCTCATTAAAATCTTATTTAATTAAGTTTTGATTGCAAGCAATTGTGCTGATGATCAAATTGATGCCGAGGACCAGCCTTGATCCAAGCGATTAACCTTCATGTCAAGGTAAACGGGGCCGTACAGATGAGATGAATTTTTAATTGTTGGTGTAGATTATCAACTAATCTAGTGACAAAATGAGATTGTTGCAATAGACACAATTGGCGTAATCTCAAGAAACCTTGGGCAACAATTTATTTTAAGCCAACAGAGATAATCATCTTCAGGAATGATGAGGATGATAGAGATTGAGATGATTATCATCATTTCCACCAACACAAAAAGGTGAAGACGAAAATTGTAAAGAGTGAATGAGGATCAATAAGTTGAAGTAAATTCTGTTCCGCATGTGATTTCATTTCGAATTCAATTTCTGTTGGAGTAACATCGATAGTAAAACTTTCGATCTGTGTAAGTTTTTCCTAATCCAGTTAAATTAATCTAATTAGAATATTCGACCATTTCTTCAATTACATTGATCATCTAATCATCGAGAAATAATGACAAAAATGGAAATAGGTGAGTTGTAATCAATCGTTTTTCAATCTGGTTGCTTGAGATTCTCGCAACTTCCAGTAGTTTAACTATTTAACAATTACAATTAACTTCTAGTAAGAAACAAATCTAATCAGTTTTTTTTATCAATAATCAATTTAGTCAATGAGCTAATGTTTTCACCTAAACAAGAATCACTAAAAATTCAAGCTCAAGACTAACTAATTGCAAGACCTTATTGATCAATTATATGTTAAATTATTTTAATAATTAGTCTCACAAGCTAATAGATGATTCAATGGATATCATGGTAACTGTTTACAATTTAGATAAATAGGCAATTTGATTCGTTGATAATCAATTTACAATCAAAGTTTTATTCCTTTGGATATAAACAGATATTGCGTCATTGCTCAAATAGACTCAGAGAATAAGCATTTCTGTCAAAACAAATCCAATGTAAGTTTAAACAAGATCTGGGTTAGTGTACAATTTAAGTGTATTTGATTAATATTAGTTGTTAGTTAACCCAAAAAGTTAATCACTTTTTATCAATATTATTGTTCAGAGGAGAAACACAGCAAAATATTTTGAAGGACATGAAATGTTTCTGGTTAATTTTCAGTCTTTTGAAAACAACTTTTTGATCATTCGCCAAATTGATTCATGAGGTTCAGATAGTTACATGGTAAAAGACAAGACTCTCATTGAATGAGCCCAAAAGCCTTATTAACCTTGCCTCCCACCCAAAGACCCTGTGAGTGATTTAACTCGTTCTTTGTCATTACACTCAACCAATAATGGGCCAAGTTTTCAATTAATCATGATGTTAATATTGAACAAAACTCTAACATGTTGAAATATCTCATGGCTGGACAGATAATCTGATTAATAACTTGGAACATGATTTACGCGCAAAAAAGTCAAACAAAACAAAGTCATCATCAGTTATTTCATCACGAACGACAAAAACGATAATATCATCAGGCAATAAGAAGCACGAAGAGATTCGGAAACACCAGAAGAATGAATCTTATTCAGATAAATCGGTTATTTTTCCACCAAATCAAAGGGAGATAATCAACGAAGATACTCCACAATACGATGTGAAAGTAAGTTCAGTTCCGGTCAAAGCAAAGGCCAAAATGTTTGACACGATTGTCTCAAGATCCGAGCCTCGGAACGAAACTCCCAGTCCTGTAGTAGCAATACAATATCCTCAACGAGAGTCTCGATCTTTAACTCGTGACAACACTCGAAGTAATCCAATGGCGATTGCTAAGCTTCGTTATCGATCAACTTCCTCATCCGGACATCGAAGTCCAAGTAATCATTATGATAATAAAGTTAACTATCGAAGATCAGAATCATCCCCAAGAAGACAAGAATTTTTCCGTCACCGAGACTCGAGACATGGCAAGGTAAGAAAAGTAGAAACCTAAATACTTCAATCAAATAATCACAACACTAATTTATTTTCAATCAATTCTTTAGCCTCTTCCTGGAGTAAATCAGTTCATTGGATCATCTTGGCCAAATGGATTGGATCAAGCCGGTAAAAGTAACCACGATAATGATGGAATTCACTATGAACATTATCCTCGACCAGTTTACTCACCTCAACCCTCATCAGTTGGCTGGTCAACACCGGCTTCAAGTCCTGAGCCGCCTCGTGAAATGTCACCAATCAGGAAAATTGTCGTTAAACGACAAGAAGCTCCTCCGACACCAGTACCCGACTACATGAAAAACCTTCGACTCATGGAACTGAATGATCCACCTTATACTCATGTGATCCCACCTAAATTTGGTACATTAACTCGTCGTCGTTATCCAAATATTGCCAAAGATCCCAATCCTCATGGTCCACCTTGTGGTCTATGTTATGATCCAATTGATGAAGATCGTTGTATCGTCCAAGAGGGTGTCCAGTACCATGTTTGGCACTATGCTTGTTCTTATTGCTTAGTGACATTGAAACAGAACGATTTCACTGTGGTCAAGGATAATAAGCCATTTTGCACGAATTGTTACAGGAGAATGTTAATTCCTAATAATTGAATCAATTTTTGGATTGAAAGTGATCCAATTAAGAGGGAAAAGGCTCGATTAATTGCTAAGTAAACAAATTGTCAAATCGCTTCTGTATATTAAAAGATTCAAATCGATTAACCAATAAAAAACTAAATCCTATTATTAATACAAATAAAATTGTTGCTCGTTAGGTTTGGTAATCTGAAAACTGTGTCATGTTTTCAAAACTATTTTGATAATTTATTCATTTCACAGTAAAAAAAACAAGTTTGTTATCGAAATCGTTAAAATCATTTCGATGGATAATATTAATAATTGAATTTATCAATTTTTGAGATGAGTTTTAGCTTTTTCAATGATATCCTTTCTGATTCTTGGATAGTCCGGATAAATTTCAAGAATTGACTGAGCGACATCAATGGCATCAGCATAACGTTTAACTTTCATATAATCATATGCTAATTTGTACCCGACGGAGGCATAATTAGCGCCATAGATTTTCCAGGCCATTTCGTAATTGTAAATCGCTTCTCTGAAACTTTGGCTTTTATCCATAATGAAGCCAAAATATTCATAAGCCTTAACACAAGATCTATTGTATTGTAACACGCGTTTCAATAACTCTTGTGCAGGTTCAAATTTACCTGATTGTATGTAAATATCTGCCAATAAAAGCCAACATCTCTCGAGGTATTCAGCTTCCTGGAGAGATTAAGATAAAATTAAAATCAAGAACAATTCGAGTCTAACTTTCAACAAACCGAATATGACCAATCAGTTTTAGTAACTTTCTTCAAATGAGTCCGAGCCTTTTGCGTTTGTTTGAGAATAATGTAACTACTGGCCACACCAAGCAAAGCACCAGAATGATCTTTCTGTTAGTGATTAGTTTTATTGTAATTAGTAAACACCAAACTCTTGCATTGCAACTTACGTATCTTGAATCATTGAGTATTTTGGCAAATTCGGAAAGAGCAACTTCAGCATCGGTTTTTTGTTTTCGAGCCAATAGAACAAAATTGCACATGAGAAGATAATCAACATCATCTGATGCGATATCACGAATCTCCTGATCAATTAATTGTTAGAAATACATGAATGAGTAAAGATAATCAATTGATTGTCAGCAATTTTTCGCACTTACTCCTAAAAGCTTTTGAGCTGTTTTGATTGCTGCTTCTTGAGCATTCATAGTCTCTAAACTTGTTAGACTCGAATTGACCGATTCGAATGTTTCACCACCGATTGTCCCTCGTTCAGGATTAATAAAGATCTCAATCATATGAAAAGAAGCCATGAGTCCAAACTCTTGATCTGATCGGGATCGATTGAAACACTTGATTGCTTGATTAATATCTCCAGTGTACCTGAGATTAAATGATAAATTAATTTGCTTATCGCCAATGCATCACATGGACTCACCAACAAGCTAATCCTTTACAATAATTAAATCCACTTTCTGATGTAGCTCTTGGCGTTGATTCTGAAACTTTATTGATGTAATTATGAGCGATATCAAGTTTACCAACACGACGAGCAGCTTCAATAAGTCTCGCTAATGCAGGATAATAATCTGAAAATTGAGTGATTCAATCAATTAGTAATTAACACTTGAAAAAATCAATTAAAGTGCCAACAGTTAATACTTTTAATGTTATCCATCAATTGCTGGAAATGTGATAAAGCTCCTTCAAAATCGTTCCTTCTAAACATTAGATCAGCAGTCATCTAATAAGAGAGAAATGATTTGATTGATATTATCAATATTGTTAATTGATTCTCTTAGCATCTAATTACTCACCAAGAGAGAATCTTTATCATTCGGAGCATTTTTCAAAATCAAAGTTGAATATTTTCGAGCCTCTTCGAGATTATCGTTAGCAACATACAGTCGTTCCAATGCTGTGAGAATCTGGAAGAAATGATCAACCGATAAATGGACAATCAACAGTTAATCAATCAGAACGATCCCCAACCTACCAAAATGTTATCCGGATGATAACCAAGAGCTTCTTTGTAGATTTGAACAGCTCTTTTCGAATCACGTAAATGGCTCATAATCAAGTTTGCTAATTGTAAACTAATCCTAAAGTTCATTCAAATTATTATTATTAATATAAAAACTTTAATTGGATGGTCATTATCACTTACTCAATCGCTGCTTTTTTAACCTCTTTCTCTGAATCGGGTCTTTCGGCTGAGATGCGTCTTAACACCCTAAAGATTCATTTTAATTATTTACATCTATATTAGAATTATTAATTAAAATTATATTGATTATTGGTTATTACTTGAGGTACATGTTATGAGATCTTTGTAGCGTTTCAATGCCAATGTCTTTTTTTGATGTTTGTAGTTGAATTTGGGCGAGAAGATTCAACATTTTAGCTTCCCATTCAAGGTTATTCAGATCTGGATCTTATTAGATTAAAATATTGAGTTAATCATTCATAAATCAACAGTCAATACAAACAACTTACTTGAACCAGAATCATCATTTGATGATTCAATTGCATGAGAGATCAAATCTTGAGCTTCCGGGTAACGTTTCATTTTGAATAAAAGTAAAGCCAAATCAAATTTCAGGTCGATATCAGGAGATGATTTAAGAGCAGCTTTATAATAAGTTATCGCCTAGACAGATGATGAGAATATTTAATCAAGTTAATCAACAGCTAATTAAACGACCTTTACCTTTTCAAAGAGATGAGTTTTTATCAAGGCTTGACCAACTCGCCGTGTGAGTAGCCCATTCTTTGGATTCTTTTTCAATGCTTGTTCATATATTTCAACTGCTTTTTCAGGCTAAAGTTATAAGAAAAAATTTCGCAATCTGGTTAATATTACAAATGAGTTTTAGTGACAATTTCTACCTCGAGAATATTCATATAAGCATCACCCAACATTAAATACGATTGAGGATCGTTATATTTATCAAGAATGTCTTTATAGCAACTTATATAGAGACGACGATCGCGGCGATGTTTAAGATACAGTGAGGCCATAATTTGTCTCGAGCAAATAAAATCTCTGCCATAGATTGGTGACACCTCTCGAAGAATTGTCAAAGCTTCTTCCATATTTCCTCTACTTTGTGCCAACGAAGCTTTGATTATCAATACTTTACTCTCTTCTGGAGTTCCAATGCAATTCTTGGACAATCTGTCCAACAGATCAGATGCTGAATTCTAAATCAAATGCATTAGATTCATTGATTACTATCTAAACAGAGATTCAAATCATTGAGAAACTCACATTATCTCCCTTCATGATGTAAATATTGACCATTTCTAATTGGATTGTTACTTTTGAATTCCAATTGAGGCTGAACTTTGCTGTTCGATCGACCTCATTATCAATTAAATTATGTAGGATTTTGAGACATTCATCGAATTCCTTTTGATGTTTTAATATGCTGATTTTAACCATAATGTAGTCCAGTTTATCGCGAATCTGGAATTGAAATATCATCAAATCATTTATTTCCATTCAAATGTCAACATTACCTCAAAATTATGACCGAGAGCTATTTCTAAGGTTTGAGCCGCTTTCTGGTAGTTTTCTTGATAGGCTAATATCTTTGCTTTGAGCAAATGTCCATCGATGAAAGTTGGCTCGTGGTCAACTGACTTGTCAAGGTAACAAAGAGCAGATCTTAAATCACCCATGCAGTAATTAACTCTCGCCATATTGTATAAAGATCCAGTCAATCCTGGACAGTTGGATATTAATACTGTGAGTAATTCCTTTGCCTTGGTTAATGTAACAGGCAACGGTTGACCCTTGACCCCAGGTTCGAAAGGTAAATCACCAAAACAGATTTGAACGACATTCAAACAAAATTGTGGATCCAAACGGAGATAATATTTTAATCCAAGAGAAAAAGACTACGTAAGTGATTAAAAATTGTAAATTTAAGTTAGTTTTGAGTTAATCAAATAATTAAGGTTGATAGTTTACTTTAAGACTGTTCAATCGATCGTCAACAATTTGAGCCAAATACTGATTAGTTTGATCGTGATTTCGGCCCATTGAGCGGTTCCACAGGCAAATGAGGTACATTAGCTCCTAAATATTAATAGAACATAATTATTTCGTCAATTAATCAACTCAATCAATCACTAACATGACTCATTCCAGTTGATTTGTGAAGCTCTTCCATAGCTTCAACTTGATCAGAAGCTTTGACAGGGTCATCGAGAATTGAGCAATGAAGAATTCCCAATGCAGCCGACAAATTGGCCTCATCTGACCGAGTTACAGCCGTGAAGTGTCTCTTAGCATCCACCAATCGATTAATGATCAAACATTGATGACCCAGTTCAAGAATATACTCAATCCGATTCGATTCGAGGAAAGTCGCTTTTTCTACCATTGAATAAGTTTGCTCGATTATCCTTTTCTTGTTAAAAGCCTGAAAGAAAACCAAGTAAAACTTTATCAGTTCGATTGCTGCAAGTTCATGATTGATTGCCAGAGTTTTCGATCAACAACAATTACCAATCTTGCGACAAGTTTACCAGTTTCGTAAAGGAGTGTACCATTTTTCGGCTCCCTGATTTCTAAGGATGAAATAAGATCATCGAATCTTGATGATGCTGAGGCTTCGTTACCTTCCCAAACCAAGTCATAGATTATTAAATAGCGATGCGCTTCGATACAATGTCGATCTAGTGCCAATATCCGACTTGCAGTGTCAATCGCTTGTTCCCAATCCTTCAATGCCACTTGTAATTTCATTTTCTCGATAAAAGCAGGTATAAACGTCGGTTGAAGGACAATCATCTGATTTAGTTGTTCGATTGCTCTCCAATAAGAGCCATTGCGTTCAAGACATTTAGCTTTTCCAAGTATTCCTTCAGGGTCATTGCTAAATCATTGGAAAATGAATAAGAATCAAGGTAATTTTTTGAAGTGGTTTTGACTTACAGTTTGACGCCACTATCAAAAAATTGATTCGCTTGAGCTGTTGATTTATCTCCACCAGATAAAAGTTCTAGCCATCCAAGTAAATTTGATGCTTCTCGCAAATTGTTATTCAATTTCAACATTCGATCACAATATTCACGAGATTTATCAAATCTACCAACGAAAAGTAAATATAGTCCAGCGAAATAAAGAGCAAACTCTTTCGCCTGTTTTCGTTGCTCTCTTAGTCTCACCTCGAGTTTACTGATCTCTTCTCGATCTGTAATTTATATTTAACGAAACATTTAAAAGTATTGAAGCAAATGACTGACTTTAGACTTTACCTGAGGATTTACAAGCCTTATGAGCGTGGATAAGTGCAAGTAAAGAAGCAAGAATCAGATTTTGATCTTCTTGAATATTATCCAGTTCCCGAATCGCTTCTTGATAACGAGCTGAATTGAAGGTGGAAAAATAAAAAAAACACTGGTGAGTAACGCGACTTGACTGTTCTTTACAACAAGTTGAACCAGTACAGTTCAGTAAGATTCCTGCTCGAGGGTCTATTGAATTGGAAGGTTTCTTATCGACAAAATGGATTCTCACAAACAGCGCGAAATTTACTGGAGGAGTTTAGCAAGATAAACATGGAGCTCAATCGAAAAACATTCAACACCAATTAGAGTAGATGAAATTGGCCAATCTCTCGAATAAACTTACCTACTGGTACACAAACAATTCTTCACTTATTCGAATATCAAAGAGTCTAACATTCATTCGCTACTCAGAAATGTTTTACCATTGATCCCGAATCGAAGATAAAACTCACCCTCTAAAAGCAACGAGATTCCATAATAGAGTCTGAATTTGAGATCCGAAGGGAAAACTCTGATTCCTTCCAACGCCGTGTTTGCCATCATCCGATTGAATCCATGAAGACAATAGTAGTGAATTGTACTCTGTCAATTAATCAATTAACTGATGATTACATGATAATACAAACATGAAACAACTTACCCTGATTACAATTTCTTTGTCAGATACCATCTTGTTAATAGAAATCAGCAATCACAATTAAGATATTGAAATGAGAGTGAAACTCACAGTGAAATGTTTATTTTGATCGCAACCATGACAACAATTGAATCAAACACACATTAATTATCATCTCAAATGGTACAATATATTAGATTGGAATCAATTCATTTATTTATAAATTGTCTTGATTGTACAATAAAAAGCAGAAAATATAGCAAATAATAATATTGGAAAAATGATATTTCTTAATATTGTTTCCATTCACACCAAGTTTTCACGAGCAGCCGATTGGTTGATGAAAACATAATCCATCTCAACAGCTCAAATCGAATCGTTAAATTTAAGATTTCAATCAATAATATTAACCCATAGACGATTGTGACTTCAACGGATGAAATGGAAATAAATTAATGTCACTTGAGGTTAAGTTCCAGTGTAAATAATAAAATGAATAATTTGTGTATTCAGTCAACACCAAAAAGACTTGCAACTTTGAGCACGTGGTAACTTTGCAAATATCAGGTTGTTGATTATCCATAATTAACCATTCTTAGTGAGATTATTACAATATTAACTTGGGTATTAATTCGGATCCGTGTATAGAAACACCAGAAAGGACAATCAATTGATTGTTTGCATAAATATAAGCAATTTACGTCAAGAAGATCAAATTCATCAACTCAACAGTCAAAAATCAACTTCTGGGGTAAAAAAGGTCATTTGAAGAAATATAAATGTAAATTTTGGTTCGATTCTGTTCTTGTCGAGCGACTTCAAAGATTCTTAGAATTACTTGCCGAATGAGCGTATTCTAGTTCCACTTCTCGATCAGACGCCATTCCCTCTTCATCGTCGTTGAGAGTTGCACTTCTATCCTTATTATTGTCTTCTTCGTCTTCATCGTCATCTTCTTCCAATAGCTTACGTGCTAATTTAACAGCTTGGAATTCATTGTAGTGCATTTTACGTTTCATTTCGAATTCCTTTCGTTTCTTCATCTCTTCTTCGGACAATTCTTCAGGTTCACTTTCGTTTTCATCTTCATCATCTTCTTTGTCAACAGAAGAGTCGCAAAGTATTTTCGCTTTTCCTTGTTTTATCTTCTCTGATACCATTTGCAGATCGAGATTAGTCGCAGATGAAGAGGCCACTTCTTCATCATCAGAAATCGGTTCGCCATCAACTGTGTCCTTATAATGACTGAACGGAGTCTTGGGTTCCTCAATTTTCATTAGTCCATAATCTTTACCTGGTGGATGTAAAGTTTGGAGGATATTCATCTCATCCCATTTGATTGGTTCAATGCTGGACTAGACGACAAGTAAATTAATTCAACCAGAATTCAAATTGGAAGATAAATGATACGAAAAATTAAATGAGTAAAATTATCTTTAAACCACAAATGAAGGAAATGATTAAGGTTATGGATTAATGAGCAAAGAAAAACAAACCTCGTCTTTGAATGATCAGATTGACCAGAATTTGAGCTCGTTCTCAAGATTCCTTTCGGTGGTTTCTTTTGTAAACTGTCCATAGAAAGAAGATGATCAAACCAATTGAATAAATAATTAAACTCGAAATAAAACAGAGCAGCGACAATCAACAGATAAGAATAAATGTTAACACTTGAAAGAAAAGCAGCGAATGAAAGAGAAGAGCAAATAAGAGAGAAAATGACTCAACGTCAGCTGATTTTCTATTCTCGTGTTTCTTTGTACTTGTCTTTCTATTTTTCTCTTTATTTAATTTCCTCAATTAAACTGTTCATTTTCTCGACCTTTTTCCGAACTAATTGGATCGATCATGAGTCTATTTTCCAGACAAACCTATGATGCGATGCACAAAGTGGCCGTTACTGGATTAATCATATTCACTGGTCTCGCTGCTGTTGACTGTATGTTCACCTTCACCAGTGTGCTTCAAGTGAGGAAACAGCGGATCGCCAAGATTGAAGAAACCAAGCCGGAGGAGATTATTGTTTAGATTTTATGTGTTATTGCGACGATTATTATACCCTAGTGCCCTCGTCCCTCTCCCGTCCTTTCATCCATTTCCCTTTGATAGAGAAATTTGTTTCCCTGTAAATAATTTAATTTGTCCGCCAGTAGAAAAAAATGTTTCAATATTTACCAACATCAATTGTGTTTATCTTTGTGCTTGTTAGCTTTTTTGAGGTGAGTTGTTCTCACTTTATAGATTTTTACTAATCATTTCCAATCTTTATTCATTATATTTCTCTGACTTCAGTAACTTCTCTGGATTCTGTTGACCATCATGTCAGACCCCATTCTATCCGAGTACTGGCAATACAATTTTCCACCTTTTTTCACCATCCAACCAAACCTGGAAACAAGGAAGGCTCAATTAGAAGCTTGGTCATCACTAGTTCTTAATTATTGTAAAAACCACCGAATCCATAAGATTGATTTGAAGAAAGCCTTAACTGAACCGCCTTTTCAAAATGTTTCAATTTCACGAGGCTTAAATATGGATGGATTAATGATAATCTTTGACGACATGAAGGATAAAGGAGTTGCTGATTGGTCAGATAAAAGTAAATCAGTTGTTTTTATCTATTGGAATACACCGGAAGCTTGGGCTAATTTGATCTATCATTGGGTCTACAATTCTGGTTATATCAATTCTGTTTGTACTCTTTATGAGATTGTTTCAGGCGATGAAACGATAAAGGAGCCATTTCACGGCCTTGATTTCGATGTTCTCAAGAAAAGCCTTCAAGTGTTAGAGAAACAAGGTAAAGCCTCCATCATGAGTCTCGATGACAATGGCGGTGTTAAATTCTTAGGATAATTATTCCCTCTCTCTCTTTTACCTTGATACAGTTTATATTTTATAAAATGTCAAACGTTGGTGGTAGAAGTTGATGTAACTTTTAGCAAATTGAGTTTCCATGGAATCATTTCTCTCTACTAAAGCTCATTAAAGTAAATTGTTAAATCAAACAAGTTGCTTTTCGTTTCTTATGAATAAGTAAATTAATGTAACTTTTCATCTCATCATTTTCCTTGGAACAAGAGATTCACCAGCAAATTCTGAGAAAGAATCACTATGGATTCTTTTCAGTCATTCAGATTTCCACTAGGAAAACAGTTTGTCAAGAAGAATAGACAGAATATTAGAGAGAATCGAGCGAGTGGGTGGATGAGACTCGGAGAGAGAGAGAGAGAGAAGACGAAAGGGAGTTGGAGAGATTGTACTCGGTTGAATATTAGAAAAAAGATTCGATATCAATGAGTTTGCCCTGAAAGAATTTCTTCAGCTTTTGATGTTATATTCTTGTGGGTCTGCGTGGAATCTTTTACTCAGCCACTGATATTGTGAGAGGAACCAAAATGGTTAAATTAATTAACAGTTAATATTAACAATTAACTTCCTCACCTTTTGTATAAACTCTTGTGTACATAAACATGTTGATAACATACAAGAAACATTAACAATCTGTTGGAATTAGAGTTGAACCAATTAACCGAAGTCCTGTCACCTCAGTGGATCAGCTAACTCTCTCTCTCTCTCTCTCTCTCTGCTTCTCACTTCTCATCATTTCCCAATGGCTTCCCCAAGTTTAGAATGCTATTCTTCATCTTCTGTGGGTAAAAAGCCAACATATTCCGAATCCGTTAGGCCGTTTTCATCTTCAACCATCGCCCCTAAAGTTTCCTTCAGATCAAATTCAATTGATATCGAAAGACGTGATAAATGTGATAGAAAAGGTAAGAGTCCATTTCTCCTTTAATGTGATCCCTTCTCTCTCTCACTCATTTGCATGATCACAATTCGGTCCCGCCAACTGATAATCCATATTTTCTTGATTGTTTTTCTCTCTCCTTCTATTGTTTAATCATTATTCTCACAACAAACATCTCCTATTCTCCTTTCCTCGTTCAATCAATCGAATACTAAGCCATGAAAAATTGAGAAATTCGACTTGATCATCGAAATTAAGGTCAATTGAGTTTTCTACCGAAGTATCTACACTTTTTCCTTCTCTTTTTATGAATCTTCTTTTCATATTCCTTCATTGGAATCAAATTAAGACTAATAACCAGAATCTTTTGCATTGAGTTTGATATAATTATTTACATTTCAGTGATCATGCCTTGAGTCTCATTTTTGTCTTCTCTCTCTTTCATTTTTCTTTTAGGTTCAGGTTCTCTTCCATCTTCTTTTGATGTGGATAAATTGATGAGAAAATTGGAAGAAGATGACAAAGCACTTCGAGAATTGGAAGAAATGGAACTTGAACGCCTCAATATCAACACAACGAGCAATTTGGCCTCAACTACACCAGCATCTTCTTCATCGGCAGTTGAAATGGACGCTTGTTCATCTCAACCACTGACCACAATCCCGACCTCGCAAGCTACAACCACTTCAACTTCTTCCATTGGGTCAACTACAACTGCCGCTTTATCCTCATCAATGCCGGAACTCAATGATCGCCAATCATATGATCGATTGTCACAATTAAACTCTCGCTCGGGAGGACCTTCCATTTCATCAAAAGAATTAGACAAATTGATGAGGAAATTGGAACAAGATAACAAAATTTTGGCTGAATTGGATCAAAAGGTTAAAAGAATATCGTCAAACAACATGGCTTCATCTTCATCTGCCTTGTTATCCTCATCGTTACCAGTACTGACCTCAAATCTTTCTGGACTCCACTCAACTACCCAGTTTCTTTCAGGTTTGTATTTCAATCTCTGTTTATCCGATAATCAATATAATCGTTTATTCATTTGCATCCCAAGTAGAATCGGATTCATAGAGCTTCTTTTCAAACTCAAGGATCAGAGAGAAAAATGATTTCTTTCAACCACCAAACTTCATCAGAATAGAATTATCAACAAATCATTAACAGCCAAAGACTTTGAGTTCGCATCCACTTTTTAAATAATTCACGCAGTTAATGATAATCAAGTAAAGATAATTTTTGGAATCTAATCAGTTGACCATTTTAAGACTACATCACTTAAACTAGTGGACAAACTTATTATCATAACTCTGATTTAACTTTATCTCTCATTGATTATATTCAACTGCGTGAATGATTTAGAAAGTATTAATTGTTGCCAACTCAAAATCTTTGGCTGTATTAGATGGCTGATTAGCAGACCTTCTATCTAAACCATCTCACTGATTGTACATTTTAATTTTCATTGGTAGATCGAAATCATGTTAATCGTGAGAAAAAGTTAACCTTACCAATAAATTCGATGCTTCCAGGAAGAGAAGATCCGTTCCTCATTTTGCAGCAAATTCGAAAAGAACAAGAACTACGTATGGCCGAAGATATTGTCGATAGTATTGAAATACCAAATCGTGGAAGATGTAAAGTATTCATCGCAAGATACAGTTACGACCCATTTAAACAATCGCCGAATGAAAATCCTGAACAAGAACTTCACTTGGCTGCAGGTGATTTCATTCTAGTTTTCGGTGAAATGGACGACGACGGGTTTTTCATGGGTGAAACACTCGATGGTCGAAGAGGTTTAGTTCCTTCTAATTTTATCGAAAAATTAACCGGCGAAGACTTGTTTGAATTCCAAGCCACCGTTTTATATGAAACCAGAGATGGAGACGAATCTAGTGTTAGTTATCCTCCCGAGTTTTATGATGCCCTTCTCAACGATGCCATGGCTCACACCAACTTTCAACATTTGATTGCACCAGGTAAACGTTTGATTAAATGTTAACTCGATCATTCCATCAACAATCAACTTTTTTCTTTATTTTCACTCTGACAGAGGACTTTCACAGAATGAATGATTATATTGAATTAGCTGAGTCTCAGGACATTGATGAAGAAGATTTATCGGACCCCGAAAGAGCTCAAGCCACTGCTGCACGCGATATGGGTAACTAATCATTTTAATTTTTGAAAATTTCTGTATTGATCTCAATGCATTCGATCCAATCCATTCAGTTCCACCGCCCAGGAGATTGATATTGGAGCGGCAATTCCACAAAAGCATTTTAATCTGTTGGCTGCCCCCCGACTGCCCTCCAACTTTCATCGAGTGTTACCAAATTCTCGTTGATGGTGTTCTAAAAGTCACTGTACCAAGCATCGAACGAACAAAAGCCTTAGTCGAAGGTGTTGATTCCTCAATCGTAAGTTGATTAAACTTGGAACATTTATCTTTCTCGAATATGAGTCTGATGGTTTTTCTATTTTAGCCACATCGAGTTAGCATTCGAGCCATAAATAATTCGGGAAGAGCCTCGAAAGATGCAGCATGTACTGTAATCATTGGCAAAAGTGAGTTCGATCAACTGAAACTAGCGAGTATTTCATTTCCTAATCATTTGATTCAATTTCTTCCAATCAGATGTGCCCTTTGCCCCTTGTAGCGTTAAAGCCACCAACATTACCTCAGAATCAGCTTTGATCAGCTGGTTACCCTGTAATAGTAACTTTTATCATGTAGTTGCAGTGAACTCAGTCGAAGTTAAGACCGTTGGCCCAGGAGTTTACAAGCATTTAATCACTGGTTTGGCAGCTAATACCCTTTATCGTGTTTCTATTCGTGCCAAACCTGGTAAACTTATGTCGTCAGAGGAAAAAAATCCAAAAAAACTCGAAATGTTGACCACTTTTGTCGATTTCCGGACTCTACCAAAAAGTATGTCTTCTTTTCTCAATCGCTTCCATTATGAAATTTTTCAAGTAACATGAAAACTTGGGTCGATGCTTTCAGGTCTTCCAGAGCCCCCAGTGGACATACAAGTAGAGGCTGGACCACAAGACGGAACTCTTCTTATAACTTGGCTTCCAGTAACTTTGGACCAATATGGAACCTCCAATGGATGTCCAGTGACCGGTTATGCTGTTTTCGCTGCTCATAAAAAGTTGACAGAAATTGATAGTCCAACTGGTAAATAGATTTATATTTAATTTGATCAATAGATCAAATCAAATGATAGATTTTTTTGTATTATAAATACTGAATCACAAATCTGTTTCACTTTATCGCTCAGGGGACCATGCACTCCTCGATGTTGGCCAAATTGAGAGTTTCCACAAAAAAGCTGTTACAGTTCGCACAAAATCAGGAGAAAATCTATCCCAAGATTCGATGCCTTGTCAGATACCCGATGACCTGATTAAATTGTCTGCTCATCGAAAGGTATTTACAATGAGACTCGATACAAACCTAATCCTTTTTAGATCCATTGATCACCCATAGTTGAAATTAGTAATCAGTATCATGCGATTTATGTTCAACTCATGATTTGCTATTTTCGCGATTTTTCCATCATGAATGGTTTCAATTCAATTATCAACTTTTACTATTTGATAACAGTTAAAATGGTGAAACGTAATTCCGGCAACCTAAAATTACAATTCGATGAAATGTTCATTTATATTCTATTCTTTCTATTCGATTTTATTTTCTCAATTTTCTTTTTAGACTGAAAGATGTTACGGACAAAATTACCAATCGAATTTGGATATTTATCCATCGACTCCCATCAACCAATTTAGCTTAGTTAATAATCATTTTCTCAAGTCAATTATGGTTCATGATTTTGCTTACAATTAAGATCACGACCGATTCACTGACCAATCTAAAAGATTGTTATGTTTAATTGTATTGAGTTATCAATGTTGAGTTGAATTCGTTCATCTCTTAGTTAGAGAAAAGTTTTTTAATCAACTTAATTTTAAGCAAAACAAAATGGAATCGAATTCAAGTATTTAAAGACTTCGATTACTCATTTCAGAATTACAATCATTGTCTGCATGTATTACAGGCCCAGGGTAGAGTCCATTCTGATTCTGAATCGGAAACTGAGATGAATCAACTAATGAGTAATGTTGCTCGGAGATCCAAAGTTTTCGATCCTTCAACAAATCAGGTAGAAAATCAACAAAATTGCATCGGTCATTTTTTGTGTCACCGTTTGTCTATTTGTCTTTGTGCGAATTGGATCAGTTCGTTTAACTGCTAAAATCTTAGACCCGATCAATAAATCGAGAAATTAAAGGAAAGAAAATAATTCCAAATAAGATTTTAGCACCGGTCGTTCAGATCCTTCAAGTCTCGCGTTTGTTTGATCCTTTGTTGTTCGAAAGTCTTTTGTAGCACATTTCGAATGCGCTATGTCTTGTGTCTGAATGCATGTGGTGTTTCCCGTTGTTCCTTAGAACGTTAATCGTCGTAATTCATTAAATTGTCGTAAAGATGATTCTCACTTTGAGCGATCTTGGTCCATTTTGCTATGGAATATTGAAATAACGGACAAAAGGCGCAACAAGTTGAATCATTTTTCGACTTTACCCAATTCACTTTAATTGGATGTAAGAAACTCATGAAAACTTTCTTGTATTTCCACGACAGGTACATCCAGGCCATCCGAGTTTGAGAGCACCAATGCGAACCCATCCTTCAATGGTAATTAATTATTTTCCAAACACAAAAGTCTACTTATTGTTATAAATATTAATTTTTATTGTTGATCTTATCTGAAGCGACACTATTCAAGCCAACATCACCAACTGCCCCTTCATCATCAGCCATATGCCTCACACCATCAACACCACCCTGGTCATCATTTGCAACATTCATATCACCAGCAACCACATCAACTGCACTCACAGTCGTTACAGCAACATGCTAATCTTGCCAACCGTCATGGCGGTGTAATGTCAATGCAACATCAACAATTTCATCCTCAAAATCAACACCCAATGCAAATGCAACAACAGGGCTTCCAATCGAACTCCGGAACCATGCAAACCAATCCAAACCGAATGACCATTCCATCCATAGGTAAGAAATTTTCTGAGTTTGTGAGAATTTCAGGATTTTCACAATTTCGAATTTGTTAACATTTCAATTCGGGATCTTTTTCCTATTGCATGAACTCAGCGATTACTAAAGATACGCCGAGTGAAAGCGTCAATCCAATCGAAAGCTACTCGGAGGAGGAATTTGAGGCGACAATGAAAGGCAGAGGGGGACGATATGGTGGCCCATCTCCACAGCCTCCTCACAGAAGTCGACAGTACAGTGAATATGAACGATCCCATTTCGGGGCTGGTCGAATTCGTGGACCACGAGATTTAAGATGGTTCATTGCTCTTTACGATTACGATCCACTTACAATGTCACCAAATCCTGATGCTGCTAATGAAGAGTTACCTTTTCGAGAGGGCGATCTCATTAAGGTAAATTAGATTATCTATTAATTGAATCAATAAACATGCGTTGATGAAATTTTTCTAATTAAAATTGCGACTTTTCCTATAAGATCTACGGTGATAAAGATCCTGATGGATTTTTTCGCGGTGAATCAAACGGAAGAATCGGTTACGTGCCTTGTAACATGGTTTCCGAAGTCCAATGTGATCCCGAAACGGGCCAACCTCTTCGAGGAACAAATGACAATGATCCTTGGGGCCATTTACCGGTTAAAAAAATGGTTGCACTCTATGACTATGATCCTCAGGAGCTCTCGCCGAATCCTGATACTGAGGTATAACTAATCACTTCTCGATCTTTACATCGACGATTATATTTCACTTCAACGAATTTTTAATTAGTCTTACAATCAAAAAAACACGAGTATTCTAATTCTATTTCTCAGAGCGTTGACAGAAATGCTGAGCCTAAAGTAAATCTGTCGCATCATTTTCTATTAGTATCATAGCAATTTTAGCCCAAACTCAAAATTCGATTTGTCATCAATCTCAACGAAAAACGAACCATTTCATGTGAAGTAAATGTAAACTTCGCCTTCGAGTCCACTTGAAGCACAACTGAAAATCGCCGAAATTAGAAACTAGAATTCCATCCAATTAAAGAAGCAGCTAAAACAAGATAATTGTATTGATGCTTTTGCCTGTGCTGATTAGTAGTTAGTTAGTAATACATCACATGATTAGAAAATATGAGCTCATTTAGATAGTGACATGACCTTTCATGACCCAATAAAGGGATATGGTTCATTCAGTTATCGAGAGAAAACCGAGAGTCGATTTCGGATGAGCCATAAGCCCTTTGCTATCATCTATTTGATTGATTTGATTCCCATTTATGATTTGATAGAGTACTGGGATAAAGAGCAAGAAGTGTTATTTTTAATTTAATCATTTCGCAATATTTAATTTGAATTTCGTTTGTTGTATCCAACTTCTTGCTCTCTCTCTCTCTTCATGTTTCTTGCCTTTTACATTCTCTTCCTGCTTTCCCTTAGGTGGAGTTAGCTTTTAATGCTGGTGATGTGATTTACGTTTATGGTGAAATGGATGAAGATGGTTTCTTCATGGGAGAGCTTAGTGGTGTCCGCGGTTTAGTCCCGTCGAACTTTTTAACCGAATCTACTGATCGACATGTGAGTTTATCACAATCCATGGAATGATAAGAAAACAATTCACTGTTTAAACTTTAATAATGTTCACAAGTTTGATGCGCTTTCACCTTGAAAGCTAATAATCTGATAATCTTTCAAAGACTTGGAAATGTTACTTTATATTACCTATTGAAACAAACATGGAAAACTATCACAAGCTCATTTTCATGCTTTTATATCATTAATATTTCTAACCAATCACAATTGTGATGCTGATTATTCGTTAAGCAATGACTTGGATAAACTTTACAACCTCAATCAAACTTATTTAGCTAACATCTCTCTCTCTCTCTCTCTCTCTCTCTCTCTCTCTCTCTTTGCATCTTCATCCTCTGCATGAGTGCGATTGATTTGTTCAGACAGCATCTTCTGAACTAAGTGATAGCTGTTATAAAACTGATGCGTTATAATAATACTGAGTTAAAATCTAATTATGCTACAGTTTTTTTTCAGTTTATCAAAAGCAGTAAAATTTACTTAATTTTGTTTACTTTTGTCTTTCTTTAAAAGGGTCAAATGAGAGGACGACAAGGAGTGCAAGGCTATCAACAGCAATATCCACAAGGGCCGGTGAATCAACCTTACGGGTCAGTTCAAAGCTCTAATATTTATGGATCCAATGTGTATCAAGGATCAGGTATGGCCCAAGGTCAAGGAATAAGGCCACAAGGACAATATGTTAACCAAACTATGGGAATGCAACAACAATCTCAATTTGGAATGGTAGGAAATAATCATCGTCCTAACAGTTTGGATCTCGGAATGAATCAACAAAGAATGGGCCAAGTTGGTCAACAACAAATGACGAATCAACAAATGCAGCAACAAACTCAACAAACTTCATCGTTGAATCCATTTTCCAGTTTATTCGCAAGTGGTAAAAAGATTCTTGAAGATGCGACAACACCTCGTGGTGGTCAACCCAATAACTTTAGTGGATTTGGACAACAACAAGTTCAACAGCAAATACCAACGCAACAAAATTATCAGCAACAACAAATGTCCACACAACAGCAACAACCCCAACAACTACAACAACTACAACAACAACAACAACAGCAACAGCAGCAACAGCAGCAACAGATGCAGCAAATGCAACAACAGTCCCAACAACAGTTCAAACAAGGGCCAAGGTTCGGGCCTATGCAGACAAAGCAACCGCAACCACAACAGCAACAGTATGGACAAGGCTATTATGGTGCTCCGACAAATCAAATGGGTCAAATGGGGCAGATTGGCCAAATGAACCAAATGAACCAAATGAGCCAAATGGGTCAAATGAATCAGATGGGCCAAATGGGCCAAATGGGACAAATGCAACAACAAAACCAAGCTCAACAACAGGGACCCACATTATCTGGAGCTCTTGGGGCCGTGAAAAGCATTTTCAAAATATAATCTGATCATTTCAACTTTATTTTTATTTCCGATTGCGAAGAAAATGATCGATTCTCAATCGAGGTTCGATTCATCTTTTTCGTTATTGCGATCTCCAAATGCTGTGAGAGACGAAGCAGCACTTATACTAACATAAGTGTTTTCTTTTTCATAAAACTAAACTTTGGTTTTGTCTTGATATTCTTTATATTATTTGGAATTTGGATAACCAGGAAAACTATAATTATCGTAATTTTTATTTGCTTAAGAGACAAAAACTTGAAAATAATTAAATTAATTTCAAGTATTTTACTAATTATGATTTCAGAAGAAATTAACTTGATATGATAAACAATTGCTCTCTCTCTCCCTCTCTCTATCTTGGTTTTCCAATTAGTTTTGGTCGTGCCTTAGACTCTTTTATTTTATCATTTTTTTCTTTCGCCAGATCAAAATGTTTGTGAGATAAAAGAAAACAACATAAAACCAACATCGAGAAGGAATAAAGTTCTAATACTTTGATGGAAACTTTTCAGAATTTCTGGTTCAGCCTGAAAGTGGAAACACCTTCTTAAACCACCAACAATATCTTATTGTTTCAACAAAATGATTAACACAAATTCACTATTTCTATTGGTTTCAATGGTATAATCATGATCTATTGGTTATAACACATTATTATTATATCACAATTATTATAACAATTGATTATATGCTAATCAGTGGTAATATGGTTGAAACAAATTTTTCTTTTACTACCGTAACTGTTTGATTATTATTATTGTAATCCCAATCAATCCTTAAACTTTCAATCCTAATCCTGATCCTCAAATCGACATCTATCGACGCAAAAAACATTCTATTCACATATTATGATGAATTAGTTACTGGATAATTTATCGAATCTATGCCACCCGACACCAACAGAAATTACTCCGAGCATGAAACAGCCTAAACAATGACCTGAGTGTACCTGAATTGACACATGAATTTTCAAGATTCTTCCGCTGGTGATGCCCAAACTAAAAGATAATTAAATATAAATGATTTCAGTTTGCGCCTTCAAATGGTTCAATTTCCATAATTAATTCAAACTCATTTTAATTGATGAAACTTAGAACTGAATACTGATTTTTACTAGAAACTTATACAGAATTGATATATACTGTAATTTGGATTCTGTGAATTATCAGAAAATAACAGAAGTTCAGAGCAATCAAACTCGGTGCAAATTTCCTGATCCTTTCTCTTTCTTTTATTATGTTCTAATTGACCAATGGACAGGAGAAAAAATTGACTGATTATTTAGAATTAAACAAGACAAGATAATAAATAAATTCAACTTGAGTAAGGAGAGTAAAGACAAAAAATGTCTATTATTTGGTACATGGGAGAGATTCTCATGTCATCATTGTGTCGTAAGTAGAGACAATTATCATCTACTCTAAATTTGGTGGAGAATACTTTTTACTCTCCACATCATTTCAGTTATATTCTAGTTCGTGTTGAGCAAATACTAACTCCTTGTTATCTGAAAGGTTGAATCATGAACAAGTCAGAAATCATGATGATGAGTTAATTCTGGCCTCAAATTGATTCAGTCTCACTACCTTGACTTCAATACAGCCTAAAACTCGTGAATGAGGATAATAAAATCCAATGATTAACAAGCAACTCAATCAGAATGACCTTGGATCAGGTTATTTGTAATTGAAGACCCAGAAATTCAGCGTCTCTCTTGGAGTGAAATATTTCCCCTCCTTTCTCATTATCCTCTTTCCACCCAATTGGTAGACTAAAGAGAAACTCAATTCAATTTGATTATAATAGATTTAGATGATGAGAACATAATAAAATCTATTTATTAAGTGAAATCATAATGAAATTGATGATTACTCAGGTAAATTGTGGAATCATGAAAGATGATTAACCTTGCTCTAGTTCTGATTCAACTTAATAACGGTAACCAACATTAACCAATTTATAGATTGTTACTCATTTAGACTCGAAGGTTAAGTTTACAAGGTTCATATAATATCATCTTTTACCATGTACTCAACAATTTATTTATGGTTCATGCGTGTTGATAGAGAATCACAATTAATCTAAGCCATCATTATTGATTATTTGAATATCTATCATGATGAAATTTACAAGGCTTTTCTTAGGTGTGATTTATTAATAGTTAATGATTAACATGATACATTTCATGTTAAAAGCTTGATTAACGTTAGGTAAAAGGTGACTTCAAGTAAGAAAAATGTCGCATTCAAAATGTTTTTCACATTAAAAGATCTGAGGCTTTCGATTGATAATTTTCATTCATTCAGATTAATTCATGGTAATTGTCTTCCTTATATTAAACTCTGAACAGTTGTAACTTGATTAACTGACAATAATTCATTAAGATATTGAGATAATAACATTTATTTGTAATAAACAACAACTGTAAACATTTGAGATTTGATCTGAAATGTTGAAAGAGATCAATAAAAAAAGGTGTGTCAAATGTTCAACTTGCATCCAATGATATTGTTATAGCAATGAAAAGAAAGAAAGAAAGAGAGAAAGATGAAAAGTAGTGGGTGAGGAGGAAAACGAGCCTATGGGAAATGCTGGAGTTATAATGTTACAGGGAAGGAAAATGATGGTTAGTATGATGATAAAAGGGAAGATGCAATTTATTGAGAGGGAAATTTTCTTGTGATGTTCTCGATCGATAAGTGAAGCCAGGGAACAATGATGATGAGAAGATGATCAACAGCGCATATGAAGAAGAAAATGTCTTCTTCTTTCTTTTCTCTTTCTGTCCCATTCATAAACTCACACTAAACATGTCGAAATGATTTCATTTCTTCTCATATGATTACAATTATCGAATTAATTAATTATTCTGTTGTTATTCAGCCTACAGAGTTTCAGTTATTTACTTGGCTCCGTTAAGATGATTCAGCTCATGTTATCGTTTAATTGTTTGTGTTTTTAATTGAATATTGTTGTTTTCCGTTTAATGTCAATTGTCTCTCTGCTTTGATTGTGTTTTAATCGATGTTTAATCAAAAGATTACAGTTTTTTGTTATCACCTTTATCTTGATTCTTTCATCTTATTATCTAACTGATTGACAAACAACAATTAAGGACTTTGTGATTACCTTGATTAACTATTTCTTTGATTATATTGATTGTCTACCTATCAAATTTGGTCAATTAATCTTTTTTCTTCAAATGAATCCATTTAATTGTTAATTTTTCGCAAAAGTTTAGAATTTGAATGAATTTTGATCAATTGTAAGATTAAACTTGAAAAGGTGATAATTAAACTGATCAAATAGTTCACGATGCATCTTCACTTTGAACGGATTGAAAAGCCTCATTCATATTCCGATTGCAATATACTGAGTTTATCATGGATGGGAAAAGTACCTGCTGGGTTGTTACAGTCACAGGATGAAGACAGTTGGAAATTAAACCGCACTAATTACTACCAAGATGGTTGGATTGCCTTGGGCACAAGTCGTGGTATTGTGGGTGTTACATTTACCACGTGTCGCACTAGTAAACTTCCTGCCCTTGAACTTCCCCCTCGAACCAATTATAACCTTCGTGGTCATCGGTCGGAGGTTACGTTGGTAAAATGGAATGAACCTTATCAAAAGTTGGCCTCATGTGACTCTTCGGGAATTATTTTTGTTTGGATCAAGTATGAAGGACGTTGGTCAGTTGAGCTAATCAATGATCGTAATACTCAAGTTATTGACTTCGCTTGGTCACACGATGGTCGAATGGCTTTGATCTGTTATATTGATGGTTTTGTCCTCATTGGCTCGGTGGCTGGTCAACGTTATTGGTCATCATTACTCAACTTAGAATCTTGTTCAACTACTTGTGGTATTTGGACTCCAGATGATCAGCAGGTCATTTTCGGTACTTCCAATGGAAGCATTCTAGTAATCGATATTAACGGTACAATAGTTGCTCAGCTATCGATTCGTGAGCATCACTCAATCTTATCAATGGCCTGGTCAAGTGAAAAGTTTAAAATGGAAGATATTGAAGAGGAAAACAATACAGTTAATAGAAATACCAACAACTATGCCAACAATGTATTTACAAATGAAAGTGACCAAAGTGATCAAATGATCCAAGGGTCAACCAATGGGCCGTCACCTCGAGTCTACGTGTTGTCGATTTGTTTTGATGACGGAATTTTGTATTTGCTTAAAAACTACGATGACATTTGTCCGATCACAGTTCGAACAAACTTGAACACAATCAAAATGGAATGGTCAAATAAAGGTGATATTCTTGCGGTCGGTGGACACACAATCGAAGAGACAAATCCTAATAATCATGGAAACAGCAAGAACAGTAACTATTTAAATAGCTCGAGTTGTACAAACACTTCTCCCAAATATATTAATATGATTAAATTGTACAGTGAGATTGGATTGATAAGATATCAAGTTAAACTTGATTATACTGGGCATCCAATTAGCGCACTGACCTGGGGTCATAATGATAAACGATTGTTTGTCGGGACTGGACCAGTTCTTCACATCGCTTGGGTGACCAAAAAAATAGCTCCTCTCCATCTTCTCTGTCGTCTTAGCATTTATAAACGATTGACCAATGAAACTGCTGTCGATTCTCTTCCATTGCCTAATTGCTTACAAAATCTTGTGGTCAACCTCTTTGGCCGAACCCTCAGGTGCTATCTTCCAGACAACCTTAATCTAACCAAATTTAATGTTAACCCTCCAGTCAACAACACTCGTCTCTATTGTACTCTGATCCGTCACGATGAAGATTCTATCGGGAGTTCATCATCTTACGTTTTATATCTTGAATATCTCGGTGGTTTGGTCCCTATACTGAAAGGTAAACGTACAAGTAAGATCAGGCCAGAATTTGTCATTTTTCATCCCCAGTCGCAGCTCTCTGGTGAAGGTTTAAAGATTGAAAGTCGATCGAGATTCAAAGGTAATAGTGAAAGTACGAGTGGCTATTATAGCGATTCCGGACTCAATAGTCGAAGTCAAAATAGAAAAGGCCAACTAAACACTCTTTACTGGAACTCGACATCAACACCAGGAACATCTGATAGTGAAAATGAGGACAATAGTTTGACCATTCGAGTTCGACGTAGACGCAGACAACATCGTGGACGTCGAAACCAAGGAAACGAAGAAAATGATATCAATCGACTCACTCGGCCTGGATCAGACCACGTTAAGCCTGAAAGTACTTATGCTGATTCGATGCCTGAAGATGAAAAGTTGACACTGATTACATCTAACATTTGGGGAACTAAATTCAAAATTCTTGGCCTGGTTCCTTGGCTGCCCTCAAATCTTGGATCGGTTGCTTATCGAACAAGTTTACTTCACCTTCAACCGCGACAAATGACACTGAAAATCAAGGAACTTGGTGGGAAAAGAGAAGGGGTAATCGGTGGGTTCGAGGGCTTAGATAGAAACGTAACAAGTTCAGACGACGAAGATGAGAATATGGTTGCAGGGAGCACTTCCTTCGAGAGAGATTGTGCCATTCCAGTTGCTCCAATGACACCGAAAAAAACTCTTAGAAATCATTCGTCTAGATCACATCCAATTTCTAATTACGATCCAATCAGATCAGAAACATTAGATCATAATTATGTTGATTTATTAACGAATCTTTCTGAAGATTTATTAACACTCCATGTCAACGGTAACTCAAATTTTCAACAAATGCCCAGCATGGAATTGGCCCCTGCATCGTCAACTTCATTTGTTCAATCATCAGGATACAATAATAGAGCAACAATCAAATCAATCACAGTCCAACCTCCACCGACATCAAGTTCAATATCAACACAAACGAGTTTCCAATCATTAACCGATATTCTCAATCCTTTGATACTAATGACAAATGAAAAACCAACCGTCCAAATGTTAACAGAAAATAATTTGGAGAACATTCAAAGCGATTCGAAACAAAGTTGCCTCAATGATTTCTGTTCAGTGAGTAAATCATCTACTGATTGTTATCCAGGTCCAAGTACGACTAATTCCAATTCATGGATAGCCTTTGATCGTGATGACACCTTAGAAAACGCTGTACCTACACTACGAACCAAAAAAAGCTCAACGTTCGAAATTAAAAGTCCCCCTCAACTATCATCGCCAACAGCAACATTCCCAATGCCAAGTAACAGTATTGGATTAATATCAACACCTCGAAGCCTTCATTACAATAATAAGTTTACTAACAACAATCGTGATCCACTGACTCGTAACACCTCGAGACCTGATCCCATTGGAGACGGTGGGAAGGCCTTTCCACTGATCTGTGATACAAACCATTCAAATACAAACAATTGTTACAAATTGCCTTTTGTTGAAAGTGGACGAAATGGTGCCATCAACCATATTCACCATCAGCGCTCAGCATCACCGCCTAAGACAATAAGTTCGCCCACAAAATGGTTTTCATCTTCATCTAATCCTCACCAATACAAGAATTCAAATTCTTATTGTGAGCTCGACGATTGTTTAGTTGAAGGAAAACATATTCATACGTCCAACACAGGTCATGACATTAAATTCATCGATGATGCTGAAACCGAAAGTGAAATGAGCCTCGAGATTTTGTCCCCATCGACCGGCTCCTTCGGTCGATCACCATCACTCCTCTTTTACCGCAATCACTCATCAATTGCTCAAACTCAACCAAATTCTTCATCAACAATCCATGGGTCATTCATTAATTCACAACAAGCAAATGATTCCAATTATTCTCATAATAGTAACAATAATATTAGGGAAATTATCGAATTTGCAAATATTCGAAGTGACCCTGAAGGATCGGGTTCATCTCAACGTCGATATATTTTGTCAACAAATAAACGTAGCAGCCTTGAAGATGAAAGTGACGATGAATTAAATGTAAAGTCCAATTGTTTGTCTTTCGACGGTGATCATTGTGTTGATGGAAAAGGATTAACTTTATCTTCATCATTCTGTAAATGTACCACTTTTTGCAAATGCACCGACAATGAAGATGATCATCGCAATCATTTAACTGTTAATGGCAACTCATTGGAATTGAATAATGATCATAGATCTTCACTAATGTCATCCCCTGTTCATGTGAGACGCAGGAAAGTGTTTCTAAACTTTGACTCGGAAGAGCTGCTCAACAGTCTTAATGACTGTAGCACCTTGTTGGCTGAAACATTTTCGACATCTAATCAACTTGGCTCAAGGGGTAACGGTTTGAATGGATCCAGAGGTGGACCAAGAACAGGCCACCGAGGGAGCTTACCACAGGCAGTGGCTCCGAATGAGAGTGAAAGTTTCTACAAAAGTTTTCGAAGTCAATTGTTCAATCGTAGTTTACCAACATCACCCATGTTAAATTCAAGCAAATCTCGGAAATCTCAAGGGAAAAGTATATTTTATAGCCCAACGATGTTCCGAAAAGTTATGAAACAAAAGTAAGTCTGATTAGAACTTTCAAGAAATGGACGGCCAATTTATTGAAATTCGTTTGTATCTTGTCCTTAGATTAAATTATTTCGACTGTAGTTCTGAGGATGATGGCAGCTCTGACGATGAATTTCTCAGTCAAGATTTTCGCAATTTAGGATCATTCCAAAAATCGAGTATCGAAAAGAAGATCAAAGTTAAAAGACGAAGCAGTCGAATTCAACCTGATCAATCGATTAACCAACGACATTCTGGTGGAAGGGAATTTCTATTACACAATAAGGCTCCGCTTTGGAATGAAGTTAGTCAAGTTTATCAACTGGACTTTGGTGGTCGAGTCACTCAAGAATCGGCCAAAAACTTTCAGATTGAACATCAAGGGAAACAGGTAAACTCCATGAGAATAATCAACAATCAAACAAATTATAGCGGAAAAAGAAGACATTTACTGTTAACTAAAGGTGGATGATGTTTTGGTGTATCGAGTAACTTTTTTATTCCTTCTTATAATAGGTAATGCAGTTCGGTCGAATCGACGATAATGCATACACGCTCGATTTCCAATACCCGTTCAGTGCTTTACAAGCATTAGCAGTCGCTTTGGCCAATGTCACGCAGAGATTGAAATAATAACAATAAATTGGCTACAATACTTTGGCTGTTTTCTTAATCATCTTGTGGATCGGAAATTTTGCTTAATTGACTGAGCCAGTTCCATATTCATCACACAACCTAAACAGAACTAATCAGATGCTATTGAATTGGAGTATCGCTCCTTTTAGTTTATATCTAATTGTTTCTTTCGAATCACCATAAAAATGGGAATATTACGATCAGAATACTCTTAATTTGTATACAAGCGAAAAAATTAAAAATTAAATCGAAAAGAAATGTCATCTTAATAAACGTTAAATCAATTGAGTAAATTACAAATTCAAAGTGAAAAGAAAAGCAAGATCGATAGAAATGGTTTACCAATTAAAAATTAAATAGAATCAATAATCGAATATTAATTTAATTGAAAATGATAAACTACGATAATTACGATCAATGGTTATCCGATTCAACAGATTTTCTGAATTTTTGCTGTGCAATTAACATTTTTAACTAAATGATTCGAATACGAGCCAAAATTCCTTCATAAACTCATAAGAAACTATCACATTACCATAAAACGATGGTACCAGTGGTCTCAGTCTATTCCTAAAATGAATCAGCAAATACTCAGTTTGATTCTCATTGAAATAAACTTTTATCTTGATGTTATCATTTTCTAACTGACTTCAGTTAGAAAGTGAATGAAATGATTTGAGATTAAAAATTTTAATTGAACAATTTATTGGTTAATTTAATTTAGTTAATACATAGAAATGCAATTCGAATGGTTTTCGCTTGAGGGTTTTAATTGTGTTTGCTTGTATTCGTGTTTCATGGTTGACTTTTCATCCAATTTTGTGTTTATTTGTTTCTTGTCAATTTATTTTGTATCTAATTTTTAATTGGTTATTTCTAATTTCATAATATAATAGAATGTTAATGATAATAAATTAGAAAACGATATTTTACTTGAAATTAAGATTAATATTTGATTTCAAGAACAAAGCAAAAAGAAACAAGCAATGAAATGGGACACAAACATTTCGGTTTTGATCTTGATCCCATTTACTAATTTCCTTTTTTGCTAATGAAAAAAAATTAATTGATTATTCAGAATCAAACAAGGAAAATACTTTCTCATTTCAACACAGTTTGGATTAGAATTGATTTGATTACAGTTTGCAGTGGTCCATTGATTAAATGGTGATGTTAAATACTCCAAACAGATCATTCATTAACTTTGGTAATTAATGGTGATTAGACTAATGTATTCATCAAGTGACGAAAAGATTTCAACAGGGATGAAAGCATTGAAATCGATGCTCAAGATCCGATGATTTTCAATTGTTGGTGAGAATTAAACAAGAAGAAACAAAGTTCACAAAGAAAAATTGAAACAAATGATAAACCCAAGAAAGAGGAGAAAATTCAATTGACTGTTTTATATAAAGAACACAAATTAAATGTAAGCAAAAAAACAGGGTAACAATTAGACAAGTAAATTAAGTTGAGAATCACATGAAAAGTGTTTAGAGACGAGAGTTTATATTCAGCTTATAGCAGAAACACCGTCTAGAGTTGGTTGGTTGTTTTATTCTTGCACCGCAAGACTTTTGTTTATGTAAAGGTGAGTCGATTTCGTCATTTCCAGAATATATGTTGCTCGGAAAATAGTTAATTGTAGTAAAACAAGAGCATTGTTGGTAAGTTGATTGATCACAATTTCCAAGATGCTGAAGATCCAAAGGAAAAGTTAACCAGACATTTAACCCAAAAAGTTTGTGTTTCCCTCTGGTGACTTTCTGGTCAGTCGAGTTTCCCTTCGCTCCATTGGAATAAAAAGTCACTTGAAGTTCCGCAAGATGGCGACGCAAAGCTTGGAATTAATTTTATCCTCTTGGAAAAAAGGAATTTGATATCAACATTTTTCTTTGATTGTTATCATATTTTCATAATTGCTTTTGAGTTTTTCGCTTACGATTCTGTACAAAATCGGCTGTTTGTCTATTGAAGTTACACAGAAAATTAGTGCATTGGTGCTCCAATTGAATCTTGATTTACAATGAGGAATCAATCTGGGATTTGAAGATAATTTGATTTGATTTGGTTTCCATTATCATTACAATTATGTTTCTCGTTATAATATTGGTTTTAAAATAAATAACATCGAGTTGGGAAATTTTTAACAATAGATAATCAGACGAAAAGAGGGAAACAGGGAAACAAAAAATGACAATAATTTGAATCATTTTCAACAAGAATCCATTGTAATGATATGATTTTAACAATTAGGATAATATAAGATTATCACTTGATATAATACCAATTTCGGAATAGAATTGCCGTTTTTTCGTGAACCAATAACCCATGTCAAAGGAAACATGAGGTTATAACGTAAATTAGCTGAAATGTTGAGTGAAACTTTTTCCACTGTTCATGTTTAATCAAAAGACTTTCATGATTCTCCATCATAATTACAAAATATGGAGCTAGAAACATTTTCATAATTAATTAACTTTCAACTATCAAGTTAATCGTTAATTGTAGCTGATTATCTCTCCTTCTACCCAATGGATGATAATAAACATGAACAAAGTGGCAAAAATCACCAAACATGTACAAAGTTTTTTATACTCGGTTACAAGTTCCCATTAAAAATTCATTTTGTTTGTTTTCTCATGATAACATTTAATGGTTCTTGTTATCATAAACTAAGAACATGGAATCGAAATGAAAAGAAAGCATAGATTAATAATATTGTTCTGAGGATATCAAAGGAACACTCATGATCATCATCATGAAATGTACTCATGAAAGAAAAGAAAAGAAAAGAAAAGGAATAGATGTTTTTTCAATTGGATATTTTTGATTGTGAGTTCAATGAACAAATAAGTTGTTGTTGTTGCTCAATTAAACTCTCGAGTGAATTAATCAAATCAATAGACAATTTCAGTTAGCTTATAATTATGATTTCAATTGATTTGTTGCTGTTACAATCAGTGAATAAATCGTACGACAGTTGCAACCATAAATTATTATGAAAAATTTGAGACAATTAATAAACATTTAGTTGCCATTTTAAAATCAATCATCAGCATTCAAGTATCCAAATCAATGCCAAATAAGTGATATTTTTTCATTTGTTACATTGAAATTGATTGTTACAATTTGAGGGAGACAGAAAATATTAATAATATAATACGATTGGAAATTAAAAAGATTACAATTTAGTGATAGAAACAAAACATTCATTGATCCGGAGAGCCACAATCAATAAAACCCGTACAAATACAGTTCAATAACAATTATGACGATAATGATGATAAGAATAATGATACTAATTATAATCACTTGTCATCTGAATCAAAAAATCAATTAATCACATTTAACCAGCACACAAAGTTTATCATCATATTAAAGTCACAATTGTTATTATTACAAATTACTCTCATTTAATTGATTGTTATCAAAGTCTTTTTCCAGGTAAAAATTAATCTCAATTGTAACAAATGAGAAAAAGACTTCAATTGATTATGACAATTAACAAAGAAGAAAATATCGGTAAATCAATTGAGTGTAGTACAATTAAATCAAATTGCTCAATCACTTTTCAAAACTATTGATTCAGCTTCAGTCAATTTACAATGAAGATAATGATACAAACATGATTGGTAAAATAAGCCTTTAATCAATACAAATTTCCACACAAAAATTAATCAAATTTAAGGAAAACAATTGAGATTGTTGTGAACAATAAACAACAATTCAAATTGTTCCAACAGCATTTCTATACAATTTTATGATTTGTCTATTTCTCACTATTCTTTACCCCAATGTTTGTATCATTGTGATTACCATGTAATAAGTTGACTCAATTGAGCAACATGAATCAGTTACATCATGTTATCCGAAAGATTATTAGATTTTGTTTCCAAGTTCAAACCGGTGATCATTTTCAAGATTTACTCCCCACTTGCCACCTTCATCTTTTTCTTGTTATCATGTTACATTAATATCATCAGAATTATTAACATCATTGATATCTTCATGATGATCATATTATTATTACTATTATGATGAGAATCGCCTTTTGGCGGTTTCAACGCTGTTGGGTGTTTATTAAAATGGTTCATGTTGCTTCATGTTGTGGTGCATTTCATGTTTTAACCATTTTATTGTTATATTGCTGTTTATTGGGTCTCGTCTGTTGAGAAGCTATTTGATAACAGACAGAAGAAACAACTTGTTACAAGCATTTGTTGTTATTGTTTGGTGATAGTTGTTGGGATGATGTTTCCTGAGTTTGGTGGATTTATGGGAAAACAGGGAATTGATAATAAAAAAGAAGGAGTTTCAGGGAGAGTGAGAGATGATATTTTACATCCATCATTCTTCAGTAATGGATAAATTATTAGCTATTTGTTATTAAAGTTTTTTTCTTTTTGCCACCAAATTGTCTTCTTTTGTTTTCCTTCCAAAGGGTTTATCTCAATGGGAGTTTATTTCAAGGGTGGAGGTGGAAAATAATAGAACAGTTTTTTCTCTTGTTTTCTGTACAAGGCAAGTGGAGGTTGGGAGAGGAAAAGGAGAGATGATACACCTTATTATCTTCGTTTAATTGGTTTGAGGTGTTTGGATTAGAGTTGGTGGTCAGTCCTTTTTTGAGCAAAACTTTAAACCGTCTAACGGCCAACGGACATTACAAAAAGATGAGGACATTTTTTCAGAGTAACAAAAAAAGAACTGACCAGTTCTGATCTATTAGATGTTTTAATTCAATTTAACTTTCTTCTTTTACCTTTTTTACCAATTAGATTGGTGAAAAAGTTAAAGTTGTGAAGATTTTTGTCTTTTTTGTGCGATTACAACGAGAAATATTTCGAAGATAATAAGTTGCTTGGAATTAGAAAAAGATTAGATTTAGATCATTGGGTATTTGATGTTTACGCATTTTGGTTGTATGATTTTATCTAAAAATTGATAATCGAACAAGTTGAATTTATACTTAAGACTATGTTTTACTTTATGCGTGATGATTGTTTTTCCGAATCTCAGAAATGATCAGTCTTTTCTCACATTTTGTAACCTGAGAGTTGAATCGTTGAAACTCTGATGGTGTTGATCATGTTGATAGTTATTGTTGCCAACCCGCAACTAGTTTTCACCCTGACGATTGTTAAAATTGTCCATTCTCATGTTTGGACAAAACAAATGTTGATAGTTTTGGATTGAAAGGAAAAGAAAGATAATCAAGGTGGAGTTGTAGGAGGAGATGAGAGAGTGGTCAAGATGCTTTCAACTATTATCTTTGACTGACTGGAATGTGATGAAATAAATAAAAACCATTGAGTGGTCTGGGAAATAATAGAAACGTTAACCAACAAAAATGACCATCAATCATATTCAACGTAATGTTAGGGGACATTTAATGTGACAGTTTTTATCTTCAACATTATAATACTTATTTTTTTCTTTCGTTCAAAAGGGTTAGAACAGGGTGATGATTTTTGGGTGAGGTGGCTGCAGGAATTACCTTTTCTAGCAAAGAGAATGTGTTTTGTTTGTAGAAAGAGACAAATAACAGAATTTCTCATTTTCTAAAATTGAACGTTTCCATGTTTTCTATCTCTCATTCGTCTATATCTATCTCAATATTCTGGTCATTTAGCTGTGATGTTTCAGGTCGAATGGTTTGTGCTTATTGTATGTAATTAAAGAAGCCGAAAGGAAACTTGAATCTCTACCTCTTCATATCCTGGACACTGGTCAATTTCAAAGGTTCACCTCATTTCAATTGCTAAATAGCCTCATTTTTCAAACCGTTTAACAACCTTTCATACAAATTTACAAGGTAAGCATGATAAATAACCATGATGGTGATAATATTATTATTAGAATTCTTAGTTCATGGCAACTTTTTTTCACGGGGATAGAGAGAAGAAAAAGAAAACTTGACATGACCATTGGATAACTTTTTTCTCTGGCTCACTCTGTAAACATTTTCCAACTTCCTTAGCTCTCTTTCTCTCTCATTCTCCCTGCCTTTTCTGTCCAGTCGTTTTACTCCAATATCTTATTTCACATCAATTATGATTACTGTTCACAAATGGCTCATTGGATGTGGAAAGTTGGGTGAGGGTTATTTGTATACTTTTGTGTGTATGTGACTTGTTGATGGATAGAAAATAAAAGTAACAATAATCAGAAATCAAAAGATTGAGAATAAAGGAAAAAAAAAAAAAAGAAAAAAAGAATGGCAACAATTTTTTCTTCCAAAACAATTTCTTCGTCAGTTTTGTTTCTTTTCATTATTATTTCTCATCATCATGAACATTACCCTGAATCATCAGAATCATGATGATATTTATTGCTTCCCAAACTCAAAAACTGTCTCATGATATTTTGAATAAACAATAATATCAACATGAGAGATAATTTTTGTTGGACCAAATAAATGTTTCCATTGCTTTCATTCACAATTCTCTCATAATTTTCAAATTATCTTTCAACCAGAATAATAATTTATGATTAGAAGCAAAGTTGAAATAGATAAATAAAAGAGACAGATAAAAAATTTGGAATCGAGTCTGCGAGCGAATCATATTCATCATAATCATTAGAATTCAATAGAATCTTTGTTTTCTTTTATTTGGATTATGTTTCTTTTCTCTCTCATCATCTTTAGCATCATAAACCATCAACAGTATCATCACCATCATCTTCTCATTTCAATGTGTACCCATGAGATTGCTATTCAATCTCATGTGATATATTTATTTCAGTTATCACTTTGTTTCTCAATTTCATGTTATCATTTGTGAGATGAGAAAAAAAAACTCATCCCAACAAAGGAAAAGAGATGCTTATCTTTCTGAGAAGGTGGAAAATATCATCACGTTCATACGGTGAGAATTATTATCATTGTTACTTGACATAAGCAGAGTAACTGAATAATCTCATTACCATATAAAGAAATTTCTTTAAGAATGAGATCAGCCTGGTGATCCTTTTGTTTACACTAGTAAACAGCATCAAGGTAAAAGTAAAACAGGCAGAAAAGAAATAAAAATAAGTTCTGAATTCAACTTACTTCGATTAGAGGCCATTGAAAAATGCGTAAACAGAATTGAGCATAAGCCGAAGGTGTTGTTGAGAAAAACAATTATGATGTTTTTTGGGTGGTGTATGTATAAACTTGGATTTGCTGTTCGTTTGACGAACTTGAAGCCAAAAAAGTCCAAGAGATTTAAATTGGTTTAGAACCAAAGAACAAAAAGTTTTTGTTGTTTTTTGAAAACAATTCGAGTCAATGGGAGATATATGAGAAGAGGAAATAGACAGAAATAGGAAGTGGGTTTTTTTTATGATTAACAACAAGGAATTGCCATTGAATACCTAAGATTGAGATTTGAACATAAACAAGTTTTTTCCAACATCAACAATTAGTTTTACATTATTTATATTTTCAATATTTAAACAGAACTGATGTTGATGTTGATGATTAAAGATGAGGATGAAATTTGTTTTCGTCTCAATATTGATTGAAGACATTGAGATTAGGGATTAGGGATTTGAAATGACGAAATTATGATAGAGAGGAGAGGAGAGGGATTTCAATGGCATCGTAATGAGAAAGTTTCATTTGACTTGAAATTTTGAGCTTTCAACAATTGAATTGATTAAATTTCAATTTCAATTGTCATATTAACCAAACATTAATCAAGATTAATAAGTTTTTTATATTTGAAGCTCGGAGATTGATTATTTTTAAAAGCACATCCATGAGAAGTTGTTTCATTTAATTGATTGTTATCATGTTAACTGTCATCGGTGGTGATGGTCAATTTTATTGCTACCTCGCTCCATATGCTGGTCAGTAATCAAATAACTTGATCATTTTTTCATCTCGTGATTAGAATGAGTCTGAACATGGTAACATGTTGGTATTTAAGACATAATCTTGCTTATACTTAAATTAAGTCAGGAATTGGTGATGACAATGACAGACCAAATGCAGAGAAAGAAGATTTGATGAAAATCATGTTAATCATGGAGAATTGTGCTTTACCATGATATTGATTGGAGCCTTGAAACCAGAATTTCAATAAGTCTTCAAGAAGGTTCACAATTTCCTTTTCATTTCATGTTGATATTGATGATGGTCAAGTTTAACTCAATGATTATCACTTTTTACTGACTTGATTTTCCATAAAAACAGTTCTTTCTTGTTAATGTTTAGCCTTTGACACTTATCACTTGAATCATAATCATAATCATCAATGCAAAATTGATGATGAAAGAGCAATCGATTGATTTTTGTCTTTCGGATGATTAATTAAATTATCAACAGATCAATTATTTACTTCTATCTTCTCAATTCCAACGAAAGATGATAACGATAATTCTTTATTTTCTCTGAATTATCTTGTACTTATCATCATGATCCATGGATGATATTGATCAATTTTCTCTTCTATCATCTAGAGTCTCAATTTATCACATCACAACGATAGCCGTTAGCAGAAGGGGAGAACTCGAGGTTATTATAAGCAATTTACATGGAAAATATTCTCACATATTCATTTCCATTATCTTGTTGATCCTGATGCTCACCAAATGTCCTCCAGAGTCTCTGATAAAGCAACAAACACAAGTAAAGGATATTAACGCGTTCACTTTTTACTGGATCCATCATCTTCTTTAAGGGTCACTGGTCTCATATCATCTACATTACAATCATGGCCATGATCATACTCATGATTCTGATCAAGTAAATTCCTTGGTGAACTTTCTTCAAGCTTCTTTACCATCCAAATTAGAGAAAATTTTTCTTTCCTCTTCATCAGCATCAAAAGAACCTTTTGCCACCCTTTCCACCTCTTCTCTTCTCTTTCTTTTTCATCTCCTTTTTTATTAACCTTTAACTCATCAATCCAATCATCTTCTTCTTCTTGATTGATTCCAAGGAGACAAAATGCTGGAGATGAAGGAGAAGAAGTAAAAGTAGAAAGCAAGTTAATACAATTTCTTCCGTTTGATTGACTTTCTCCAAGAAGGTTACCTGTTATCACTTGTTATCACTCGGCCAGTAATTTGATGACACTCAATCTCTTGAGATAACAAACCCATGATGAAATCAGAAAACAGGGAATGACCAGAGAGTAGAGATAATTTGAATTTCAACATTTAACTTTCATCTAATCTCTTTAATCAGCTTTACCCTTGGTGACTTTTTCCTTCTTGTTAAAGATAATCCAATATTTATACAAATCTATTTGACAAATGATATTAGTAGATTATCAGCTCAGTGGTTTTTAAATTGATTGAATTAACTAGATAACTTTCCGATTGATTGAAACAATTAATTATTGACCAAAGAAGCAAAGTCAATACAATCAGTTTCTTTTGTGTTTCCGCGATGTTGACGCTGACCATCAATTGATATTAGTAGATATTAATCACTTAATTAGTTGAATGATGAAGACAATCGAATTGATAACATCATGTTAAAATGTTGAAACTCTACCAGAAGCGAATAATGAGAAGAAGCAAAAACTGAATATTTACTGATCAGAGTGGCGATGATTTAACTGAAATAATGTCGAATATTGAAAAACAAACAGTCAATTGTTATAATTCGGTTGAGAGAAACTTATTATCTCGATTGGTTTGGCGAGGGAAAAGATGACTGGTTACCCATTTCAGCTCAACGAAACTTTCTCATTATTATCAAGTCATTTTACAAAAGAAAATTTCAAGAGAAATTAACTCGCAATGAGAATATAATTTAAATGAGGAAATTTGAAACAAGGGAAAATTTGGTTTAGGAGTGGAAACAGAAATAATTACATTTTTTGATGATTTTGTTTACCAATTGTATTGGGAATTCAGAAAAATCATTCGAAACAGTTTGGACGATCCAAGAGTTGATAATATTAACAAAGTTCCGAAAGTATAACGACCAATTTAAATGAGGGGAACAAAAAAGAGACGATTTTTGATAAAATGTTGACTCAAGATGCAGATGAAGTAGATTAAAACACGATGAACAATTCGTTTCTAGTCACGAGAATCAATTTTTCTCATTATTACAATTGCCTTTTCCTCCTTTTGTTAATTTATCTCCAATTACCTAGATTATAATTCACCATGAAGAGGCAGAAGGGGAAATGCTGATGGAAATTATCCCCCTCTTTCCTCTCACAATCTCACCTTGTTTTTGGTCTCTTTCTCGCTCTATCTTTGAACCTTTCATCTTATCGAGTCCATTTTTTGTATTCTCATTCATGTTCATTAACTTCATCAGTGAGAACAATTAAGTTTGATGAGAAAAAGGAAAAGCAGAAAAGGAATTGAAGAGGAGAACATTATTATGATGATGAAGATGAGGATGAGGATGAAGATGATAGAAAGAGATGGAACGAAAAAAAGATAAACTCGAACAAGAAAAGATATTAAAGGATCAACTGAGGACGTTGTTGTAATAGGTTTTTGTGTATGTTTTGTGTTTCAGCTTCTTTCCAATTCGATTAAAGCTTAGTTATACTCGATAATTTAAAGCACGAACTAATTGACCGTTATAGTTATTAGTTATTAGGGTTCCATCTAATTTATGTCCGAAACTTGTTCGTATTTTCTCATAAAAATGTTGAGTGTTGATGAATTCAGAGACTGCGGGTTGATTCATGTGGTGTATCATGTTAACAGTTGTCCCATTTTTATACGGATTGTATGGATTCTGGAGTAATGTTGATTCCTCTAGAAATAGAAACGATAACAAGGTATTATTAGCACGATTGTTCTGAGTGGTTACTTCTAACATCGAGTCTATCAAGATGACAATCAGTTATCTTTATGGACCAACTCGAGTTGTTAAGAAAATTAAATTCAATCATTGAAATCATGTTGATTGTGTTTATCTTTATCTTTCTGTTTCTGCAACTATTGCAAATATCATGTTGATACTTTTAGTGTCTCATGTTATCTTGTTATATTATTTAATTAGAATCTACTAATTTGATTTATTTAATTGATATTCCTGCTTATCCAGGAGAAAATTAATTATTGATTAATAACAAGACAATCAACTGATCGCTAAGCAGCTTTACGAACTTTCTGAACTTTCTTAACATGAAATATCATCGAAGTTGATTCACAAATATGAATTCACTAATGTTTCACCAAATCAAATATTTGGCTGTGAAAGTTTAATTGTTTGGACAAACAAATAGTTTTCAATCAATTTAATTGTGAAAACAATAACATTGAACAAATAACCAATGTTTTGACTGCTAAGCTCAATAAATCATAAAATGAAATGATATGGATTCAATTTTTGATGAATTTACCAAGAAAAGTTCTGATCTGAATATAAACTGATTACTCACATTTTGTATACAATTATTTTAAAACAATCTAAACTAATCACTTATTTGAAACATTATCAATTTGCTTCATCTTTAAGTTGAAAATATCACTTATTGGAGTTGCTGTTAATAGGATCAAATCTATGAGTTGAATCATTTATCATTATCTGAAAAGTGTCATACCAATTTTCACATTTGATTGGCAAATAATTTCCACAGATTATCTTGGCAATTTAAGTGAGAGATTCGGATCCTTCGGTTAAAAAACAATATTTATATAAATTATCACCTAAAGATGAGGTGCAAAGAGGCAAAACTAATGATTAAGATGAAGATAAAAGATGATGGCGATGATAAGAATGATGGAGAAAAGAAAGAAAAAGATTCATGATGACGAAAATGATGATAAAGATGAAATAAGCTTTTGCATGACTTTATCTAAGTTTTCTTGACGTTCACTGTGACAAATGTTTTCTTAAATTGATAAGACATCAAGAAGGAAGAGAGAGAGAGAGAGAAGAGGAAAATGAAGAAGAAGCAGCAATGGAAGCAAAAAGAGAATCGATAAGAACGGGGATGATGATAAGGTAAAAAGGATTAGAGAATTGAGAGACTTGATCGTCAAGGTAAAATTAGCTTACGAAAATCACAGAGTGACAGATACGATAAACAGCCAATAAATTTTATATTTTTCTTTTCTTTTTCACTTTTCCATGACTTATTCCAAGTTATTCTGAGCTCAGTCTTTGTTCGAAACAGTGATGAGACAAAGAGACAAACAACTAGAGCTACACATGTTTCCATTGTCACCTTGAAGTTGTGAATTCTTGGTGAATGTCTAATGATGGTTTTTGCTGTTTCCGCCAATTGTCTCATTCTGATAACTTCATCTTACCTCTCATGTTATTGCGATCATTTGAATCACAATTGCTACAAGAGTTTCTTTTAGTTTTTTACTTGCCAGTTGTGACCGAAAAAACAAAACATGTACAAAGAATCGAGCTGTATCGTTTTCATTGCATGCAACATATTTATTTGTTCAAAATTCACGAGATTCCATTGAATTTCTTATGCCCTTGAAACTCTGACAATTTCCCTTTTTACCTTCAGAATCCAAAATAGCCACAGAAAGCAAAAGTTAATAACTTGATCTCTGTGCGTATCATGAAGTAAACTGAATTTTGTAGTCGAGGAAAAGGAAAATCATAAAAGACTAAATAATAATGTAATATTTCCCTTCTTCATCTCTCTCATCATCTTGCAAGCTCATTCTCACTGTTATGTTATGTTTTGTAGTTACTATTCAGTTGATGTAAGTATTATGTTCATGAATGTTCAGTATTTCCATCTCTCATAGTGAATCAGAAATATCATTGGCATGATCAAATAGCCGTAAGAATACCTCTGATGGCAATAATAATAATCATCATCATGATTAGTCTGTAATAATGGTAATGGTTCAAGTAATAATGATGAAATTTTTACCACGTTAAAGCTGAATAATATTTCTGGTTTTCTCAATAAATTTCATGGAATTTAGTATTGGATTGAATTTCAATTGTTGAATTTGTTTTTTGCACGCTATCCAACTACTATGTACAACATATGCTCACCTGAATAGGCTTTCTCGCCAAAAAACTTAGTTAATCAATGGAAATGAATTAAAATGATTTACTACTAATTTTTTTAAAGTAATTGATATAACTCTGAAGAGTTATGATAACAACTATTAGGTAGCATCATGTAAATGATAATATTATCATCTGGATTATTTTTGCTCTCAGGCAACATTGCATTTTGAAAAGTCGGATATCCTCAGAGGATCTCATGTTTCCGAGGAGAAATTAGGTGTTAACATAAAGGCAGTGGTAATGTCGATGGTGACAATACGATAAGAATCATCATTGAAAATCATGTTCAACATTGATTTAAAGAGACTATTCAAACTATTGTTCAGGGAGCTGAGATATTGATTTTAAAATTGTTGGGGAGGAAAGAACCAAGATGAGTAAACAGAAGACTCGAGATTGTAGATAAAAATCCCATGTAACTGATTGTGGGAAGAAAAACTGTTGTCCTGATAAAAGAGATGATGAAATTCTGAGTGTTGATTCTGAGAAGAGAAATAAATCATGACGAGCTAAATGTTTCGACGATCTATGAACAACTCTTTTTCAATCTTCTTCATCATCTTCTAATTTCATATAAACACTTTTCGATAGCATTTGATAATTACTTGATAGTAGCAGAGTTGACAGCAAACTTGTTTCAATGATTACGATAAATTTCACAACTACTGAGTCTGAGTGACTGCTATTCTAAATAACAGACAAGGTAAAAACGTTCAACTTTTTTCACAATTTCCATGAAAAAGAGAAAATTTCATTTTCCAATTTTCTCTCATAAAGATGTAGGGTCGAACATATTATCAAATTCTAACACAAATTATTATTTCTATGAAATAGTATTGGATCTATATTTTTTTCTCGAATTGATTTCAATGGATTAGTCTGTATGCAAAAGTTTTTGGTTCCAAAAGTATTCTCTGGTGATACTAACCAATAGAATCAGGTCATTATCATCATGTTTATGGCCTTTTCTGTAGCAGACAAGGTCGACAGAAGAAGATATAAGAGAAGAAGAGTGAGGATGGAAGATGAGAAAAAAATAGAAAGACTAAGGTTAATAACCGATTCTCGGGTTACTAGCCTGAGATGACGAAAGATCGATAGAGCTTCAGTGAGATTGAGTGAAAGGAGAAAAGTTTATAAGTGAGAAGATGAAGATGGAGATGAATACCTAAAATAATGTTCAATGGAAATCGTCTCGAGAAAAAGAGAAAGAAATTCTAAACAAATTTCAGACTAGAGTTTATTAAGGGAGAAGGTCTTAGTTTGAAGAGATATGAAGACATGGAATTTCCCGCGCTTTTCAAGTATTCGCTATTAAAAGTATCAAGTTAGATTTTTGCTTCATTGAATCAATCAAATCAAACCGATTACAATTAAATGACCCATCAAACATAATTAGATAACTTCAAGGCCATTGTAAATTTGAGGTAAAATAATCAATGGAAAATCAGAAATGATTCCAAATGAATTAATCTGTCAAATTTGATGTTGATCGTGATTTAAATGGTTTTTCGTGTTGATTCATGATTATTACATAATCGTCAAATATTTCTATCTCTCAGGCTACCCCACCCTCTTCTCTCACTCCTCCTACTCTACCATCATGTTGTTTTCATCTTCTTCTCTTGATCATCATCACCATCACCAACATCTCTTACTATTAATACATTTATCTTTATCTACTCATCCTCTTTTCCACCATCACCCTGTCACTTGACACTCCAGGTCTTTGACATTCTTTAAAAAGATTTCTCGATTTCTTTTCTCTTCGTCTCTCTTTCAGTCGATCATCATTTTATCTTCATTTTCTCAATTGTTTCTATTGCAACAAGTGGATTCTTGTTTTCTATTTGGAAAGAGAATCAATCTGTTTGATTGATTCTCATCAAAGCAAATTAAAGATCATTCGTTTTCCATCAATTCTCTAGAGAACCACAATCAGGAAGAAGAAGACGAAAAAAGATGATAATGTGATGATGAAAATGAACATGTCAAGGTAGACAACAAGTAACAAAGAACATGTTCATTTAGACCTGATATATTTTGATTCACTTATTGACAGAATCTGATTACTATCATGAAATCTCAACTGACGCTTCCTAATCAATGATATTATATTGAGCTTCATTGATACAATAACAATTTAACTCAACATCATCTTTCTAGTCAATAGTGGTAGTAAATGACCACTGCTAATCTAAAAGTTCAGACAGATTATTCAAATTAACCTTGGATAATTTGACTTCTGGTTAAAAAGGTAAATCAATAAAGGTTCAGGTCAACAACAAAAATTTCTATTGGATGACAGTAAAATGACCTGTCCAAGTATAAACTATTCCCAATTGTGATCAACAGCAATAATGTTGAGAGAATGGGTAGAAAACAATTGAGATCATCATCATCATCTTCCTCTTTATCCATTGACATGGAAAAGAAATGTGGTCAGATACGATTTCTTTGGGCCTCGTTAAATTTAACGAGAAACTGTAAAACCTTTTGTCTTTTTCTCTTGTCAAGGTAAATGTTGATACTTAGACCTCTTGATGAAACTGACAAGAAACATCCAACAGATCTAAGGTTCAATGGGTTCGACTATTTTTCCCATTGAATTTTAAGGTTAACCCAATACCAGCCAGTTATTTCGAGGGAGTGGGAAACTATTCTGTCAATATAATTGGTGAATTGTCTTCGAGGTGGGTTCAGTAGGATGATCATCAAAAATTGTACAAGTCAAAATCTCACTAAATTGTAGCAATTTGCG